ACACAGAGATCAAAATATGATAGAGATAGTAAGAGAGAAGTAGAGATAGTGAAAGTGATAGAAGAGACTGTAGAGTAGTAGAGATAATAATGATGATAGAGAGGCTAGAGAGTGGAAAAGGTGATAGAGAGGAGTGATAGAGGTGATAGAAATGAGAGAGATGATAGAGATGATAAGATGAGAGTAGAGATAGAGAGTGGAAGTGATAGAGAGTGCTGTGAGGTGGTAGAGACAGTGGTGATGATAGAGGTGATAGGGGTGGTAGGGGTGGTAAGGGGTGATAAGGGGTGGTAAGAGGGGGTCAGAGTGAAAGAAGTGTAGAGGTGGTAGAGATGATAGAGATGGTAAGAGAGTGAGTGATAAGATGGGGGTAGGATAGAGATATGAAGTGGAAGTGATAGGGGGGGCTGTGAGGTGGTAGAGGCAGTGATGGTAAAGGTGGTAAGGGTGGTAGGAGTGGTAGAGGTGATAGAAGTAATAGAAGTGGTAGGGGTGGTAGGGGTGGTAGGGGTGGTAAGAGTGAGTGGTAAGATGGATAGGGGTATGAAGTGGAAGTAATAGGGGGTGCTACGGGGCGTTAGAGGCGGTGGTGATGATAGGGGGTAGATAGAGTGGTGCAATTGGCAGGCGCCACTACGTATCCATGGATTTTTGATGGGGTGCACGTGATGTCACGTGAGGTCACGTTACAGCGTTTTTTGCACGGAAAAGTTGGTTTTTCTTTAATATATAGAGAGATTGTATTAAAACCTGAATAGCGGACAATAAATAACTATACACGTTGAAGAGCACTAATTCTAAACTTGATATACTGTGAACATACAGCAACAGAATCTCCAATAAAAGTTATAACATCGAGAGTCAGTAGTTAGGTTTCACTTGGGCAAAAGTGCGACATGGCAATGCGGACTGGAAAAAGCGCAAAGGGAGCAACAAAAATAACACTGAAAAATAACAAATTAACAATAAAATAAAAATAGAAGTAAAAAACCCCTAGTAAAAGACTACCAATAATGCCTTAAAATATATCCTCGCAGACGGACCAGTCCCCGGCATCCCTACACTTCCAATAACGGCCGTTGTGAACCCAATACTCCTCACCAGTTATCTCACACTTGCCCCTAGTAAACCACTTTGGCTCAAACTCCTCGCCCTTGGCCTCCCGTTCTCGTCGCCTCGCCCGCTGTTTTTCCTCCACACGATGTTTCTCCGTTGCTGCAAAATCATACTCTCCATCCTCCATTGCACGTTGGTCCGGACGGAGCCGCGTGTCGGTTGGCGGTAAGTGAGGTCTGAGATTTTCGGGGATGGCATTCAACGTCACCACGAAAGGTGTTAAGTTGAATGGGATACCAGTTGGTCGTGGGTTGCATTGCCACACAAGGAATGCCTGTGTTGATTCTGGCTGGCGGGGAAGGTCATCAGGTGGTGGTGTCATCGAAGCTTGGTATCCCGGCGTGTGTCTAGCATATACCTTGTCGTTCCAACGGCCACCAATGCTCCACTTCGTGAACCCCTCGCTATCCATCACTTTACCAGAAACCTGGTAGGCAGAGGAAGCCTTCCAGCCTCGTGGTTTGAAGTCAAGTATACAGACTTCGCCAGTTGTCCAATTCTTAATTTCCATGGGCCCATAGTTGTCCACGGTAGGGTTACCGGTGATGATGCCAACAACCGACGATGTAACCTTTTTCCAGGTGTAGAGCTCCTCACCACCGCTGACAGGACGTAGTCTCAAGAACCATGTTCCGAGCGGGTTAATATCGAATGACTTGCCATAGAATTTTGATTTTACAGCCGATTCGCCCTACAGCAAAATTAGTATTTCGACAAATTAACTGACAAGAAATAATAACAACAATACTCAATACTTTAAGAGAAAGAGGTACATACGTAATAATCCCATTTCGGAGACTCAGCCCAGGCGGCGCCAATTGGAGGATGATGGCTGACTTGCTCAATAAAGAATCTATAACCTTTATCTGGCCTCACATATTCGAACGTTTCGCCAAGCAGAGGGTTGAAAGGTTTCGCTACACGTCCTATTGTCGAAGCATACTCGCTAACTGCAAAGGCAGCGACATAAACCATACGTTCCATGGAGTCAGTGCGATCTGCAGCATTGTCAAGCAAGTCCGTGTATTCCATATCCTCTGCTACACGTTGGAGCAGCGATGTTGGTTCGTTGAAGGACACTGGGAGTGTCATCTTGGTCATGTCTTTGCCAATCATTGATTTCAAGATAGCCTGAAACGCGGTGTTAGCTGATGATTAGTAACTCAGAGGGTTGAGTATTGAATCAAACCTACCCATAGAGAAATTTTGGGCCTATTGTCAGCGTCCATCTTAAGCCTCTTTCGAATTGGGTCCTCATATCCTTTAAATGAACTGGCAATCTCCTGGTGCTTCAAAGCTCGAAGATCAGAAATTGCCTCCGCGGCCTCTACTGGCTGCGCTTGCGGAACTTCAATAACTTGCACTTCGCCAGCATCGATAGCGTCAAAGAACTCTTCATCCTCATCAGATTCCGAATCAGACAAATTTGTTAGTTCCGTAATTAAGGACCGCTTCTTTGAAATGTCCCCGCTCGTTTTCTGGCTGACAATGGGCGGGATATCAACGCCGCCTTCGACAACGGCTTCCAGGGCATCTTGTATTTGGACATGCGACGGGCCTCGGCTGATGGGACGACTAGTGGAAGCTGAAGGGTGCTCAAGAACTTCCTTGAGTGCTCTCTTCGTTTTCTTTCGTTTTTCCTCCGACTCCCCAATTTTACTTTGAAGTTCTTCGTGTTCTTGGGCAACTCTAGCCATACTGTCTTCCCACATCTTGCGCGCATCCGCCTCCCTATCTAGGCGATATTGCCAAAATGCATCTCGATCCTTTGAGATTTTGAGTAAATCAGCCACGAGAGAGGTGAGATTGCTAACCCCTCCCTGGTAAGTAGTCAACGCTTGGTCTATTGATGGATCAGAAAGCGTGGTTTCGGGATTCTTTGACTTCTCCTCTTGAAGCGCTGCAGAAACGTGACTCAGCAGATCTAGCTGTAATTTAACAGATTGGGCGGTGATATTGAAAGCGTCTTTGTTCGACGGTTGGATCTCACGGCTACTAGCATAATCCCCAAAGTCGTCATCCTCCAAGTCTCCTTCGGCGGAGTGGCTAGTAACAAGGTTGGGCAATCTATTGGATTCCGACGGGCTAAAGGTGGATTCATACGCCCCAGAAGTGGACACTTCATCCTCACCCTGAACGCTCTCTCTTGAAGTTTGAAGGCTTAACCTAGAGCTGGTGTGGCTTGGTACACCAAGAGATAATGGAGGGGCAAGGGATTTCCCGTTTGGTCTTCCAAGAAGGCTGCCGGAGTCGCTTTGGGAGTCTAACCCTTGTTTGTCAAACTGCTCCATCTTCGCATGTCTTAGGCTTTCTGCATTTCTCGTCCGCCGTTTGTCATCTTCCTTGGCCTCATCTTTCGCCCACTGTATTGCGTTGTTCAAGGCCCAGAACCACCGCTTGGCCTCAACGATATGGTTGGCTTTGAGATGGTATTTGACTGATGATTTGCCTTGTATTTCAAATCGGGTCTTGTCCTGCGCATCCATGTGCAAGGTTGCTATACGCATATTGATCGCACCGCGACAAGCAGAGCCAGCGTCATCTATGGAGTATTCAGTAAAAGTTTGTCAAGGAGTAAACGGGATTTGTCTGAGTAGTGTTTGAGGTTTGATGAGCATACCTTGATGCTTGTAATAACTCATCACGCCATCCTCCAGTACGAACCATCTCAGCTTATAGCCACTTGTATAGTTCGTCCATTTCTTTAGGTATCCTTTCATCTCTCGGGCATCCTTTCCTCCCAGGACTGTTTCTCCAGAGCCAGGTCGCCCGCCACCTTGGGCCCCAGAGCTTCCCAAGATTGCCTTTTCCTGGATGCCCCGCTGGGCGATAACAGCCGCTGGCGACTTTTTTACGATAGCGCGAGTTCGGTCGTCCTTTGTGACGTCTTGAGGGAGCTTCCCTTTTCTATCGCGCCGGAACGGGTCGGCCCCATGCATTAAGAGAATCTGTATCAGCTTCGTATCCTTCTTTCTCGCAGCCTCGTGAAGAAGTGTGCCACCCGATATCACAGTGGCTCGATCGGTGACTAGATCCAAGCTGTTCACGTCCAAAACGCCCTCAACCCTCGGTTCGACCAACAGACGTTCTAGTTTCTCGTAGTCGCCCTGGCCTATCAGGCATTTTATTTCTTTTGTTTTGGCATCCAAAAACAATGATCGCGCTAGCTGGAGCTGCTGGAAAATCTCTGGGGTGCGCGCGAGGTCGAGAGGGGTTTGGCCGTTGTAGTTGGCAATGGAATCGTTGATATCCGGGCGCTCGAGCAGTTCGCGGACGATGGGAACTCGGCCCAGCTGCGCAGCCAGGTGTAGTGGGGTGTTGCCATCCCGGTCTCGCGCATTAATATCTAGGTCAGCACTGCTTGAGAAGACATACTCAACAACCTGCGGTTCAGCGCACTGTATTGCGAGATGGAGAATGCTGGTTCCTAGGGGCGCAGTCCCCTGTGTCTTTGTTTCGGCACAGTCCTTGATTGCCTTGTAGATAGCGGTTGTATCACCGCTACGTAGGATTTCAAAGAGGCGAAACGTTCGCACTGATTGCTCGATAGACATGGCTGATCTGGCCAATTCATCTCCTTTGCCACTGGGCCTTGCGGGAGAATCAGCACTTTGATGTGGACTGGGTTTCGGGCTAAGTTGCCAGGAATACAACTCGGCTAAAGATGCGCGATTGGCGGCGTGGACACTTGCGCTGCTGCTCAAGGTGGCACCATCAAGCCCCGCAGGTGAGACCCGCAGATTAGTCATGGAAACCGAGTGCGAGTGGGAAGAACGAGGCGCATTGTTGGTTGGGGATACTGAGGGAACCATGGGAGCTAGGGTTGAAGCACCATTCTGGTCTGGGGATTCCGGAGTTTCGGCCTCCCGCTGTTGAGGGTCGGCGCTGGGGGATCTGGAAGTCCTGTCGCGATGCAGTAGGGCGAGTGCGCGGGCGCTCTTGGAGCGTTTGTGCCTAGGATGAATAAGGAAGAGTTAAAATGTTAGCGAACTTGTTGTTATTTAGTACAGCGATGGATGGGGGTGATGTGATCCCTGGTCAATACAATCATCATAATAAAATAATGGACAAAGGACAAAGGACCCAACTTGGTTTGAGTAGTTTCAAGCCACCAACGTACAACATTATTAACAGAGAGGCGTAACAGGATAAGTATCAATCAAAGGAACAAGGGAAGCCAGTGAGTGCTGTGAGGGTGTAGGGCTATCTCCATAGCTGTGGATGTGGACAATAGGTAGAGCAGGGAGAGCAGAGAGAACGGTCTCTCGACCATCAAACAATCAAGAGGCATGCATGCCCAGCTCCCAGATCCATGTCATAAAAAAGCTATAGTTTCATATATGCATATGAAGCTGCTTACCCTGTCTTATCCCCCATTATCTCTAGGCCGTGGTTAATAGACGCAAAATGCGCCCCGAGTCGTCTGGGATTCGTGGAAGATCCTCTATCGTCGTCGTCGTCGGCTCGGTGCTTGGGCGTCCGTCTTTGCGGTTGGAGGTTCAACAGTGGAATAAGAGGTGTAATGTAGATTGGATGGAGAGAATGTAAAGAGAAGTAGAAGAAGCAGAAATAGAAGCAGAAATAGAAGCAGAAGCAGAAGCTGGAGCTGAGCGGGGACAAGGACACATACAAGCCTGAGGCGCCGATTCCTGCTCGTGAATATGTTAAATAATGCGGGCAATCACTGCCGTAAATAAATAAATCAGTAACTAAATCCTTCGCGTGTCGAGCCAGTTGCAGCTTGTGACTACAGATTGAACTATTGACTTATTATTATAGTAGTTACATATTTAATAGCCATTGATGATTGCCCAACATTGTTACTGCTCTCGAAACCGAGCCCACTTGGATAACCTCGCCACGCCACACACAGCACAGCAAGGCACATGTTGACGCGGCGCCGAAAACCAACGGGCTTATTTATTATATCTGATGGATTATATATATTACCAGACGTCATCCGACTGGATATGTATGATCAGTCAGACTACAACCAATTGGATACAACATGGTGGACAGCATGGATGCACAGGGATTTTCAGCGCTGTCACACACATATCTCCCCCGAGGTCGTCTCTGATCTTCTAATCAAGAACAAGGTGGGAGAAATCCGGCTCTGAATGACGTAGAATATCAGATCCGCAGCAAAACTGGGCGCGTAATTCTGCATCAACATCCACCCAGGACAATGACCGGATTTTGATCTTAGGCGGCATCCTGCCATTAAGTCTAATTCAAGTAAATGCACATGGTAATATACAAAATATCTATTCACACTCTAAATCTCAGAATTTAAAACTTATTGGAGCTATGTAACCATCCATCCATCCTCCTCCTCCCTATCTCCGCTCCCCGCTCACAAGCAGCACAACAGAGCCAAGCTGCCTCCGAACATCCTCCTTATCAACATCATGCGTGTCTTCCACCTCCCCCCACTTATCCGTCTGCCAGGTAACCTCCAGTGTCGACGCCTCCGCCGCCTTCTCGATGCCAAACGTCCTCCGCCCCTCCGCCTGCAGGTCGCGGAACTGCTCACTCCACTCAATAACAAACCTCGCCGCCACTAACAAGCTCTTACTCGCCAAAACACCCCTTTCCAACCCGGCTAGCTCGTACGCCGGCAAGCCGTAGATCCATCCGCGTATAACCTCCATGGTAAGCGGCAGCTGCGGCGAGGGCAAAATGCTATTCTCCTGTAGCGCGGGCCTGATCTCAATGCCCGGCCACACTTTCGTAGTCAGGAAATCGACGATGGGCCTTGCCGTTCTAATCTGGATATCACGCAGCGATTCTTCTTTTTCCCCTGTCACCCCTTCGCCGCTTGCTTCCATGTCGTGTAGATGGGAATCATAGAAGCTTTTTTCCGGCGCCCAGCTTAGCAATGTATCCGTTTCTAGATATCGCATCATGGATGCCACGATTTGCTCGCGGATGGTACTTTGGCCCGCGGCATCTTCCGCGGCAAGGTCCTGAACGCGCGCTGTGAGTGAGGTCAATGGTATTAAGTGCTGTTTTAGAGCTTGCTGGGCGGAAACTAGCAGGTCCCACTCGAGCGCGATGGCGTGTGCCAGATGTGGTTTTGAGGCGGGGATGATGAGGATTTTCTTTTCGGGTGTTCGGACGGGACGCGAGTCGAGGAAGATCTGATATCCATCTGTGTATAAACAGATAATAGAAAGAATAATTAACATATTTAGTTAACTTCTTCGATAATAATATATTTCCCTCCCACAATAAAATCCCCCCCCCCCCCCCCCCCCAAAAGGTCCTTACCATCTACTTCCTTAACATGAACATCCTTCCAGAACCTCCTTCTCAGCGGCTTCGACTCTGTAGCCGTTGTCGACGACCCCTGCCCCGATGCCACAATATTACCCTGCTGTATAAGTTCCGACTGCTTCTTCCTCCGCTCAAGGCGCTCGAGAAATTCCGGCGACGGGGAAGGCGGCTTTGGCGGCGGGCCGCTGACGGTTATGGGATGTGCAACTGCGGCCTTCGCTGTCGATGAGTGTACATGTGCATATTGAGACCGAAGGGGCGCGTGAACGGCTCTGGGCAGGCGTGAAAGGGGCCTGGGATTGAATGTGGGGGATATCCTTGGGAATGGTTTCATGGTGTGTTGGTGGATTTTGGTGAGGGGGTGAGTTGTATGGGGATGGGATGTTGTAAATTTATTTTGGTTTTGTCTAAATAACTTCCCGCAAGGAAGCTCTTCTTGGCTCTAGTTTAGTCTCCGCCCTTCATCTGTGGCTTGTTGGACGATCCCTGATTTGTGCGCTGTGTCGAACCACCCTCCTTATAGATTATATTTATTTTGATATGTCTACGCTGAGGATATAGTAACTTGGAAGCTGACGGGGCACTGAGGGTATCTTTTCCTCACTCTGTTTGCCTCCTATCTACTGTTCTCCACCACATATTCCTCGTCGTTTGAAGAATACCTGTCTAGGTTCTAACAATCGTTCAATCATTTATATATACTCTTCCTTATTGGCCAAATAGCTAAAATACACGTCCTAGCCTCTTGGGAACGACGCTTGAATGGCACACGGTATGGAGAGGCCTGAGAGGATGATTGATAACCGTCATGCCTGATTTTCATGTACTGTACTTTCAGAATCGCTTAACTCTATATGACAGACAGTCAACGACTTTATATGGCGATATGATATGGCCCGCGAATTCAATTTAGTCGAGGGATTTTTTGGGTTTTTTACAGCCTTATATTATCGGCAGGAGTAATCTGCAATGTTCTGTCTGCTCTTTGAGCCACCCGCAGTATGTCTCGCGGTTCCTGGGAAACAAAAATCAACCCGAATCTCAGACCATTGTCCAACCAGAGTTCTCATGCGTGCAGTTTACAAGTTGGCTAGGGATTGATATCCTTATTATTATACGGGCTTCCATCGAGACAGCTGTTATGTTTCGAAATAGAGGCCAATGCTGAAATCCCCGCGGTGGGATGGCGTGGAAAGTCCCAGGAACCGGGAAGCCTTCCTCTGGCCTAAGGAGAAAAACATATAACCGCTGTATGAGGGCGTTGCAATGGAACACATGCTCAATAGAATAGTGCGCGGTACGGGACCCTGATTCGTTCGGGTAATGGTAATGGGGTCTTTATTAAGTTCTACACACCCCCATATAAATAAGTTCACTTTAAACACCAATAATGACGGTTTAATCATGGCTGTTGAAACGATTCCTCGCTTTCGCTGCTCGGCCACAAACACATCCAATTCGGTATCTGCTCCCAGAAAAATTGCGCTTCAATTAGCAGAAAGGTTGAGAAATAGCGTTAAGATACTGTGGTGCTCAATGTTGGCTAAACCGAGGAAGGATTATTTTCCTGTTGCCAGCTTCTCGCCCTAACTCCAGAGCGCCGGTTTAAGTAACTAACTTATCCTTCTCAACGCTTAACTACAGCTTGGCCGGTTCTAGTGCATTCAAACTGCCGAAATCTATCCCTCGTTTGCTTGTATAGCCACGACCATGCCTATTAAGGGTGGGTGTGGGCTAGAAGTGTATATAATTGGTAATAATTTGCATCTTTTTACAAAGTTTGATCGTGTACTCCGTATCCTTTGTGTGCTATTCCCAATATCAAATCGATGCCGCCATTGGCTGAGTGTTTTAGGCTGCCTGTATAAATTCACGTGACTGATATTTCGCTTGATTTGGATTCAAGGGACGACGTTATGAAGCTCTTGAAGAACCGCAAGCTAAGGCAGCTTCTCATGGGATAGGCGACATAGCAAACATTCTCTAGCATATTTGCTTCGCTACGAGTTTGATCGCTGCAGGAATATCTGTTCTTGTGTTGTGGCCCCATCCGCAGCAATTTGGGCATCCTGTGCAAGGCTAAAATCTGAGCCTTATCACCATCAAACCAACGATCAACAGCCAAATATATTTGTTTTTCTCAAATCCGCCACCGTTTTCTCCTACTATAGGGCTGACCGGGTATGTGTTGTTTCAAGGCCGGGCGTGGTACTCTCTCGTTGCATGGTATTTTCCGTGGCTGTTTCAGCAACGCAACGGTGTTTCGATTGTTTCAGCATGCAAAAATGGTTGGTTTATCTGTGCTTAGCCCTCCAGCTGGCAAAGATACCAGTGTGGTAAGTGGATTCCTGAGATATGAAAGCACCGAACTAATGCAAATGAACAGCTAGGGTCTATCACCTTGAGCTGTCCGTCCCTGAACTTTTTTCACTCTTAGGGCGATCTCCCTGAACTTTTTTGGCGATCTTGAAATATACTTTTTATTGTCAATATCTGTGTCGGCGAAAGAAAAGTTTCGAAATATTTCTGTAGGAAGGGTGTGCGGATACTTTCTTTTGCCTGGTTATGTTAATTTAATTATTTTTCCAACGCTCTACACTTTGGGCAGATTGAACAGCACGATTACCTTTCAGAATCGCTTCTAGTTTTTATCCTTTGAGTGGTGCCATGAAGCTATGACATTTAAGGTTCTAAGATAAGATGAAAATGCAGGGTCATGACTTTTGAGTAAATGAGCTCAACTCAACGAAGTACCATTGCCGGTTATGTTTCCGACCAAGAGAGCCGCCACATAATTCAGTTGGCTGTATAAATCGAGCTAATTATACATCTGCAGAACATAATGTCCCCGATTGACGGTGTTTACCGAACAGAGCTGAAAATGAAAACAATACGTCAACGGTATCAGGTCGAAGAAACTGATAGTATCAGAAAGCGGGTCTCCCGTGAAACGAGGTCTCGAACTCGGAACGGAGTTCTTTATCGATATTAAAGGAATAGTCCCTTCAGTTTTTGTTTTGTCGCTAATCCCAAAGTTCCCCCATGTTGATCCTTACATTAGCCTGACCCGGGCGTGCATTTCCCTCTTGGGAAGCAAATATACTAGGCAACCGCGCCTCGCGCATTCCACAGCTGCGTCATGCTTGTCGAGCGGGTCTACATGCCACTATAAGAAAACAAGAAAACGAGCTGTCACCATGTCACACATACCAAGAGCCTCTGACGCGCTCGCTTTTTTGCCCAGCGATATCAAGTGTTGGGGAGAGGCTATGATCCTGACCCGTCTAAAACCATAATTCTCAACCTTTATGGCCAAAGTACCTCGTTCCTTTGCATCTAGATCATGGTCACTTTGAGCTACTGTCGAGTCGGCGAGGATCACTGACGCTGATTCACCAACCTAATCTAGGGGGGCCGAGAGAGTGGAGGCCCTTGCGTTGTGGATTCCCCAATACCATCAGCCTGCCCAACTTTTCGGCATTCCTTTATTACTCGCATGAACATCCCTGGGAGGGGACCGAGCGCAGAAGAGACCAAGAAATTTAGTTCCAATGTAGCTGACAATCAACACATGGGCACACGCACCCCGCTCCACATCTCACAACCCGTCCAAGGTACCTGCAGTGCATCTGCACGCCATTGCCAACCCTGAAATACCCCACAAACAGGCGCAGCTCATGCATAAGGTATGCAATGCCTCGCATGGGGAATACATTAGGGCGGGTTCGTCCATTCTGCTGGGCAAGTGATCATGGAAAATATGAGATCGTGCATGTGTCCAGAAAAAGAAAAGCGCACCAACAACGGTCTACAATATCTAGCCAACGCTGCAGAAACACACACAGACTAAAGCTGCCCTGTCATCTTTCCGCTGGCTGGCTTGTGCTGTTTTATAGTCGATTTTCTTGCGGTTGAATTGGTTTGCTTTCAAGACCGTCGCTCTACACTCGAACTCCATCCACTATTATGCTTTCTCCTTGGGCCCCTGCACTAACCCAGAACTTGCAGAGAAAAGAAGACGGCCAGCACAAAAAGACTATTTTAGAGCGGATTTGTATTTTTCTTTTTCTTTTTTTTTTCTTTTTTCTTTTTTCTTTTTTTTTTTTCGCCGATGGCCATCCTTCAGCTGACAGGGGAGCCGATAGTTTAATTTTCTACTCGTCCGGGATACGTAATTTATCTAGTGGGAAAAGAACCTCCTCTCCTTGTGACGAAGAGCTGTCAAAGGTATCTTAACCCCGTACACCCGCAAATATCAATCTTTATAACATGGCAATTACTTTTACATCCTCTATTTTATTCCATTTTGTCCTTATCAAAACAATAGACTTAAAACGCGGGAGGTAGTATATATATAGGAGAATAATATCCAGGGTTGAAAGTTTACATTGGCACACGGTTATACCAAATCCTAGGAAATCCGCAAAAGAAATGTACATATCAGTACTAATGAAGAACTTTTTCTAGGGACATTCTCCAACCTCAAATACGACTAGGGCCGCCTAGTAATCAATCCTCTCCCACCTTTTGGTTCAATAAAGGCCAATATCGCGCTCCTTTTTCCTCCGTTCATTATTACCACATTATGATGACCGGTAATTTAGTGTTCATGGCGCGAAAAGAGACAGACAAACTGTAGAATCATAAGTAGGTAAATGAGAATTGTTCAATGCATGACCAAAGGACATCAGATTGAGGAGTCGGGAATTTCATGTGCGAGAAGTGAAGATAACAAAACTCGGGTATTGAGGCCTGAAAGGGAAAAAAGTAACGGCCGAAAAATAAGAGTCATAAGCAAAATATTCAAAACAAAAGGTTAGAGGGAAAAAATAAAAATAAAAAATAAGACTGGAGTCTGTAAGTGCCCACCCATAACTTTTTGAGAGAAAAATAAAGAAAAGGGTTGAGACAAGATTCCGAGGTAGTTAGGGCAGGGAGGATCATTACGTCATCGGATCTTGCTCCAAACTGAAGAAAATTGAACATAGAAAACAGAATAAGAGGATGCACACAATTAGGGGAAAAGGTCTCCGCTGGCGTCAAAATATTCTTCTTTTATCCACTCCAAACAACCTGTGACATCGTGATATTAGTATTAATTGCTCCCAGTCCTGAACCATATACTTTTAGGTAGTTAAACAAAATTGCCGAAACGGGGTTGAAAAAAGAGGGAGAAAGGAAAAAGGGGAAACAAAAATATGGTGCTGTCGTCCCAAGGCTCTATTCTGTTGCTAGTTGGTGTTGATTTTCCCATTATCCAAGACGTCGTGATTTGCTGAGCTCGATCGTGATGAGAAGGAGATTCGTGACCACCGTAGCATTTTGGAGTCAGTGCTGATCAAAAAACACAACAAAGAAACCAAAAAATCGCAACAAAAACAGAAATAAAAATAACACGAAAATCAGAAATCAAAAAGGGCAAAGATTTGCAAGAACGCGAAAATAGTCCATATTGGAAGCCGAATTGCGGGACTTCGACAATCACAAATGCTCCAGACGCCAATAAGGACAAAAATATCAAATAGGGGTATATTTTTTGAGCCGGAATTCGAGCAAGAAAGGGATAAATTCTTTATCATCGCGGAGGAGCCGGGTCCCCAAGCGTGGCTTGGTTAACGCGGCACTCCTAACTGGGGCCGTTAACGGAACGGCTCGGTCCATCCTTGAAAACCACAAGTTTTTTTTTTAAGAAAAAAGTAAATTGCATGTCGTGCATTTTTCAGGTTCCATCGTGGCTCGGACAAAGAAAATCGTTGCTTCCAGATTTGGCAGCCTGCATGGAGGCATGGGGCAGGGTGGATGGCCTGAAGCCCATAAGCTAACATGAGAGGCCAGCCAGGTAGCGTGCGGGCTCAGTGTGGAGAGCTGGAGGTTTTTGTTGCAGTATCAAATTTCCGCAATTCAAAGAAACGTATTTTATACGGCCACGCCCGAAAATTTCTGCACTTTGCTGACTTCTGTGCCAAGGGCGTCAGCTCATACGTTACGAAACAAAAAATATTATTGCTTCGTAGCTCGGAACAGAGAATAATATTTCTCCCGAGTGTGCTCCTCGTCGTCTGGCTTCTTCCGCATGCGTTCGGCATCACTGGCATCTGCACCATCGCGGGTGCCCCAGGTGGTCTGAATTGCAACATCTCAGTCATGTTAGTGATTGAACGAGGAAGAGAGAGTCTTTGCGTTCAAGAGAGTGGGCATCCCTAGGGACAAAAATACAGACGGACGATGGGCAGGAAGGAGAAGGGCGCTAGCATAGTGCTCGCTTGTGACTGACTGCACAATATCAGCCAACCAAGTCGGTAGACCGACCCACTTGGCTTGTCATCCACACGTTTGAAGTGGAGATTGGCAAACGAAGGGCTGTTCTCGGAAAGAGAGAGGAAGGGCTAGAACAACTGCCAACGATCCCGGCCGGGAACTGTGTACAGGACATCCAGGTAGCGTTGGTGGGAGTTACCTGACCCACAATGCGTCGTCTGTACTTTGTGCTGGAGAACGGACAGGGAAAGTCGGACTTACCACATTCAGAGTAAATGCAGCGTAGAGTTTTATCAGGCCGTGGAAATATCCAAACAATATCGACATTGGGAGAAGGAGGAAGTCGACAGGATATCGAATGTAATGACCTAGAAGCTTGATAAATTTGCTAACGAACATCCACGCAACTAATGATTGGAGCGCGAACATGCGCGACTCCTCGCTCCATTCCTTTGTGCCGTAGTAGCAGAAGACGACGAGAGCGAGGTCCCCAATAAAAGCGGGAGGCGAGAGTGTAGTAAGATAAACGGCGTAGGTACTCCACGGCTGGCGGCTAATGGAAGTGGTGCCAACACGGACCCCTTATGTTAGCCTCTGGTCTAAATTTGGTTCGTCATCGCGACAGGGATGGGGCTGAGCTACATCTTCGGCACCAGGGAATAGAAGGGGAATTGATTGCGCGATTTGCTGTGCTAGGATCCTCAAACGGCCACAAAAAGCCAGGGAAGGAACAGAAAGAAAGAATGGGCGAGGAAACAAAGAGGAGAAAAAAAAAAAAGCAACAAAGAAATACGAAGTAGTGGTCTGCACATAATCAAGGTAAAAAAGCCGAAAAGAAAAAGAAAAGAAAAAGAAAAGAACCGAACGAAAAAATAGCAACAAAAAAAAAAAAAGAAAAAAAAAAGAAAAGAAAAGAAAAGAAAAGAATAATATGAAATCGGACAAAACTTCCTCGTAAGGCAAATTAGCGATTTTGTAGCTGAACTCGCTTTTAGGAAGACAATCGCAAAGCTCTCAAAGCCCCGGAAAAACGAGAATGCTGAAAATTCGGGCTGGGAAGAGTCAAGGAATCGGATGATGAAGTAACGCTAGCTCGAAGGGGGGAGAGGAAACCTACTACCAAACAACCTGCTCCTGAATCATGGTTGTGAGATTACTCCGCCAGTTACTTCGTGACCACCGAACGCACTGCTTGAGAAAATTTGCATTATTTTCGAGGGTTGTTTGGATTTCCGCTTCAGGGTGGTATTGGAAATATGTCTCCCAGCCGTGCGTTACCATCCAGCGAGAGAGGAAATTATCGTCGTCCGCATTTAATTCATATTTACCAAACCACCACTCCTCGTTGGTGAAGTTATATGTGAAATCCCGGTCCTGAAGGATCTTGGTTCGGTATGCGGAAGTTCGCCCGGAAAGGCAGGGCATTCCTCCGTCCACATGAGTTGTTGCGGCGCAATCAAAATTCCTGCGCTCCAGATAGAGCGCTCCTAGGAAGTCCCACACGCGCTGTGTAGAAAATAGGGGTGAATCTGATCGCCTTAGCCGCTGGCAAGTTGCTACCCCCCCGTAAATGGGGTCCTTTTCGAAAACTGCCAATAGCCATTGCAGTTCCTTCGGCGGCCAGCTTACATCGTCATCGACAAAAACTGTAATTTTGGTTTGGACCTCGGGAATAGCCCGCACCATCTGGCGTCTTTTGTTTGGCTTTGGGATGCTAAGCAATTTGATCCGGGCTTTTGATGCTGGCATCTTCTCGAGCATTTTCTCCGCGTTCCCCCTGTTGCTATCAATCGTCACCAGAATAATTTGGAAAGGCTCGTTGATAAGAATGGTTCGAATTGTTTCTTCCAATTCATCCCCACAGCCCTGTAGAGTAGGTATGATAATTGTTGCATCTTGAGAAGTCAAAGTCGGATTTTCTGGCGGTGGAATCGACCGGAATGTCCAAACAGCAATTAGATTAACAACTAGACGCACGTAACGGTAGAGGCTATTTCATTCCCGCATCAGTAAAGGGTCCTTTGATCAAGCTGCATTCCTAGTAACGACCTTCAACATTATAGCAATGCTCGTTGGCGCCAATTGGAAGTCGTCTGGGTGAGGGACACTGACAATAATATCTTAAAACAGAGCATATACATGTTGTCGAGCTCCATTATAGATGCTGAGCTGGGCCCTCCCTTCCCAGAAGCTTTTAGATGTACGCAAACACAATGCCGCCCGGGAGAAAATTCTAGTGGCCCAGTGCTATAAACAAAAAGGAGATAAAGACAGATAATAATAAAAATCAAGGTTAACTAACGTGGTCACTAACAATTGAAACGACAGTCCCAGTGGAAGAAGCACTGGATATAGAGAAAGTAGTTGGGAATTGAGACAAATAATCTGGAAGAAGAGAAGAAAAGCGGGAGAAGAATTAAATAAACCAAATACTATGGATTAATAAAGAGCGAGGAGCAGAGAGCATGAAAGCGAAGGAATGGCTGGGGGGGAGAGGGTATACAAAAACCTTGCTGTGGGGAGCTCGGAGAACAGCCCAGAAGGAACAACGCGCTCGTCGATATCATATGCAAATAAAACAGACAGAAAACAAATTGGGCTAGGATATAGCTGCCTGTGTGCCAAATTAGCCATTGTTATCCCAGTTCTCAAATTTCATTACTCTCTGACTTTTGGTTTCCTTTTTTTTCCCCGGTGGGCTTACCATTTATGCTCGTTGCTTTCAACTTTATTTTTTATTTTACTTTTTTATTTTCGGTGTTTATGCAGCTGCAGGTAATATGGATACCATACTTGCACGACAGGGGAGGTACGGTACATTGCTACTAACGCTAGCAAGGAATATCAGCGAGGGTGATCGCAAGTGCTTGGGTAGTAATACTCGAAGGCTCGTGGAAGCCGGGGTGAGCAAAAGGTTGCAGCGGATTGCCCAGCTTCACCGAAGATTCCATCAATTGAAACATAACTACTCCGTACGCCGTCCAGGATTTGCTTCTATGCTTCAAGCAACCTGAAATGAGCTTCGATTAGCGGGCGTTTCCACATGCGGCGGCAAATTTCTTGAGGGTGGGGTGGGCTTACTCCTAGGAGCACTAAAAAGAATCGGGTTGGTTCATCACTGCTCGGCCCGCATTCGCGCCCTTGAGCGAGAAGTTCAAACAAGGGCGATTGGTATTAAGGTCAAGTGGAGTGTTCCGAATCATTGCCAAAATCTCAAATCGCCAAGCTGAGGAATATTTTTTCATGTTAGAATAAATACTTTTCCTAAAACTTTGATTGGAAGCAGCATTCTCCCATTCAAACCACGATATTCTGAACGGCGCACTACCCTGGCGAGATAGTTGTTCCAATCACCTTTTCCAACATCAGTTTTCTGGCAATGCATGGAGTATTCGTCACAACAAGCGATTCTCCCAAGAATTAGCAGCAAATGGACTGCCAACAAGATCAACGCATTGTTCATGAAGAGACCAGAACGCTGTGGCAAGGGTCTGGTAGAATGGCCCATTCAAATGAGCATGCGTTGTGTGAGCTTTTAAATGATAAACAACAAAGGCACGGTGGAAAGGGGCAAGAAGGCTCAGAGATAGAAGTACGCCTGTTTGCCCTATCTTCTCATCATCCTCTGCGACCGCAAGGTCTCTATTTCCTGTCCTCTTTACATGCTGCGTTTATGTTAAATTCCTCTGTTGACTTTTCCATCATAATTATCTTCTCGTGCGTGAATTCCAGCCACAGCCAACCGAGCTTCAGATCCCAATGCCATTTGTTTTTCAACGCCTTTTCGGGTCTGGCTCATTCTCCACCGCGCAAAGTGGCGCGATGGCGCGTTGCCGTCATGAAATGGAATGATCCCAGTGGCGATCTTCATTGACGAGTCATTATTGTTGGCGAGGCGTAGCCGCTAACCCGGGTGGGGTTGACCTGGATATAACAAAATGTTCCAGTTGAATGAAGCTGAATAGCAGTAGAAACAAGGGAGAAACAATTCGAATGCCACTCTGCCTGTGGAGAAGTAGACTGACCTACCTATATCGGCATGTCTGGCAAGCCCTGTGACGTGACACATCATTTGTTAGCTGCACAGAGTGAAAAGAGGAGATGGTGAAGTAATAACGTCGACAACGAGTAAAGGTTTTCCTACTGACGGAATTCAAGTATCAATTGGCTTGCTCAATTCCTGTTCCCGCAAAATCTGGAGTGGATATCCAGCTCTCATCTCTCACCTACTGGTTCTTTTTGCGGGATTATTTTTAAGCCTCCAACCTCTATGTTTTTCATCCTTAAAACGTAAAAAAAAAAAAATCCTTTTATTTGCGAAGTTGGAGAGAAACAGATGAAGGCTGTTTGACTGGAAATGATGCGCTGTGAACACAAAGAGAACAGGGCAGAGGAGTACTTTGTAAATGTCCGGATGTTGGTGTTGGGGAGTAAGTTGTGGGAATGGTTCTGGCAAGCCTTGCTTTGAGTTTACAGTCAGCATTACACACACAACTCAACTCACACATTGACAAAGCCGTCATTGATATTGTTGTAAAGAGTCATTGATATTGCTGAAAAGAGGTTATATTTCTCACCCCAGTATTTCATTGTTTCCTTTTGTCTTGTTGACATATTTGTTTCTGACCTGGCGGTAGGGTTTCGTTTCTGTTATCCATCGCTGATTGCTACAATGCTAAAGGACTGGATAGTCTCAGCTTCCCCAGCCAGGTCTAGTCTGCGGATCCTTGTACAAGATTCGGCCCGGCTCGCTACCCGTTGCATACCTAGTTTATTCTAGCCTTCGAACGGCTGAATTGCCAAGCCACTATTGACACCTTTTGATGAATTATCCGGCAACGCGAATCTTTATTACTTGGGCGTCTCTTCTAGCCTGGAGGTGTCTTAGTTTGAACCTGCTGGGGTCTTGATTCCCTCGATGCATCATGCTAAAATTCAATATGATAGTTTGCTGCTAGTTCGACAGTTAATAATAATAAAGGGCATTATATGGAACCCCGGCCCTCGTCGCTAGTGATGATTGCAGGCGGGCGTCTGTCCGTTGTTGACCAGCGGGCTTCAATTGATCTAGACCCCACAGCCAGCTCCGATTTGGCCAAGGATTAGTGGGGCAGTGGGCCGCTGCGCCTGTTAGTGGAGACTGGTCTTGTTGAAAATTTTGCGTCCTGAGAAAAAAACATTTATCAAATTCAGCTTCAGCTTTGATCAGTTTTTCACAGGAGGGTTTGTACTGTACATTCAGTTTCAGCTTCAGCTTCATGCCGGTAAGCTCTTTGCACTGGTAAGTAAAATGTTGACATCTACATTTACACTGATGTGTTACACTATGTCCAGCTCTGCATCATTCCCTGATATTCAGATCAACAGAACACTAATCTTTTGACAAAATACATTGATGGTCATTCAGGACAGCAAGAACTTTATGAGTTTGAGGCAGCCAGTCAGCTCCTAGTTCAATAACTCAACAAGGGAATGTTCTCTGACTTATTCTCCCCATCTCTCTTGAAGAAAGTAGGGCAGGGAAGTATGAGTATCTTGAGAAGATTTGCTAATTAATGAACTGAAATACTTTCATACCTTTGACAGTATTTGCTCCTGAAAAGTGAGCTGGTTTTTGTTATCAGACTGAGACCTTTGCTTACAGTCAGCACTTTGCAAAATCAGCTGCATTCACCTTGAGAAGATCAATTGACTTTGAAGTTCATGCTGCACACACGGATGCATTATCTTCACAGGCTTGTATGTCAAACTCATGACTTTGTATATAATGTAATCAATCAACTCAACACTTGCTACTACTCACTAAATTATGATTCTTTCGAATTACCCGATACGGTATCAAATGCAACTACATGGATTATTTTCTCCCCAACAAAGGACCGCAGCTGCTACCCTTGTTTCAAAACAGTTGGTAATGTTGACACTGAAAGAAACAGAGATACCTATGTATGTGCCCTTATGTATTGAACAAATTTCACCATTGGTATTGGAACACTCAAAGAAGCCAAACGAAACGACAAACGAAGAACGCAAGATATACAACTACATAGTAGTAGGAGGAACCCACAACCATCCAGAACTATTGAAACAGACCTCAAACTCGACGCCCCCGAACAACCCAAGCGCGCCATACAGATCAAAATCACCCTCTAGACCCTCAACACCACCAGTATCCTCATCAACCTCCTCATGTAGATCCCAGCTCCCTACAATCTTTCCATCCCGGGTGAAGAATATTTCCACTGGAAGAGTTGGTGATGCGCCAGTGGCTTGGGACTGTACGAACGACTCTGGAGATGGCAATGAGAATTTCATTCCTAAACCAATTGTTTCCCCAACCTTGAATGGGCTGGTGAACTCCATCCCGCCCCATGAATCGTTCACAAATCTGCACCCATCGTCGGAGAAAACACCCACGCTGCCTCGTTCCCAGCCGGGTGATCTCCATGTCGGATAGGGTTGAGCTGCAAACCCGATGGCAAACCCGCTAGTTTGGCCATTGATTCCGCTGTGCTGGGCAAGGAGTTTTGCTTCGAAGTATATCGTCTTCGGTCTTTCTGTGACTAGGGGCGAGTCCTTTGCAGGAAAGTATACTGGTAAACCCGTTAACAGAATACAGTCTCCATTCTGGTCCTGAGTGCGTCCTCTCCACATTCCCTTATTGACAACCTCTAGGCTCCCGTTGTACTCTTCAGGCCGAACAGGTCGAAGATCAAAGTTTTGAACGGAATTATAGACAGCGTCTGATGGTGTGTATGGTGTCCACAACGGGGTGTTATCACAGAAGTCATGAGCTCGATCGGCATCTTCTTCTGATGCGTTCCCTGTATTGGAATAGAGGTAGCCTCCAATTGGGGGTGGAGGAAACACAGCTGTATCTGGCACAGCTTCTTCCCAGTTGTGGTAAGGAGGTGGATTGCCTTGCGGGGCTTTGGTGTTTTCATTATTTGCTCTGTCTTGATACCCTGGGGGAGGTCCTGCGGTAGCAGTTGTTGCCCCAGTACTTCTGGATATTATGAGCGGCTCTGACTTTTGATGGGTCACTCCTTCAGAAATCTCCTGGATGATGGTGCTAGGCCCAGCAACGATGGCCTCATTAGGACCGAAAACACGCTGCTTTTCATCGCCCGTAGACAGAGCTGATAGATTTGGAGTAGCCTGTTGTATGCTAGGTGGAAAAGACATTGGTGGTGGACATTTGCTCGGCTGTTGTTTGCTAGCTTGACTGCCACTATTCTCTATAGGCCGGCTTGGAGCCGCACGTTCATCCTTATCGGCCCCTCTGCAGCAGAAGAAAGCCATTTAAAAAAGTTCAGGAAAGAGCCAAGGGCATAGACTTAACCCGATACTGCCGTGTAGTCTCCAGGCGCGATGTCTGGGTGGTATTGTGAGATAGCCGGGATGTTAGCACCTTGGGTTGGGTTGCGTCTAAAAGATATTGTTCAGGCACAGTACAAATCAACAGTATCCTCACGTTCTGAAGAAGACAAGTGAAAAGGCGACAGACGAAAGAGAAAACCACTCTTGTTTTGAAATGTAAAATCCACGAGGTCTCTATCACACTAACAACCCAGGACAAGGAAAGGCCGAACCCGGCGGTAAGCTGAGTTGGCGCAGACGAAATTCCCAGTTATGCCGTTTTCGAAATAATGGAGATAAGAACGGTTAATACTAGTAAAGAAAACGTCAAATATGCAGTACTTGGGCAACACATTCCATAAATGAATACATCGAGATTCAGGGATGTTTCTATTAAGTAGCAAATCCAGAGCGTGTGGCTGAGCGATGTGTCATCAGGGAGGTCTAAATAAAGTTGTGGTTATCCTGCGGCTTGAACCATGGTTGGTTGTCATTCAAAACTTTGAGTGACGTCATACAAGAAATCGATCACGTTAATGTTTTGCTGTGCCGCATTCTTTGCGTCCAACATTGACCACCCATGGATATGGTGTAAAAAGGCGCCTTGTGATGTCGGCTGAAATGATTGCTCCGTTGGTCAAATCGGCGTGTGTTAACTTAGCTTGAGCTGGTAGGGTTGTGAGGGGTGGGCAAATGATTTGCTAGAGGCTTGGGCTTAAAGGGTCAACAAAGGATGGATAAATGTAGCAGACTTCTTTGCTAATCAAGAGCAAAGGCCGCTCGTACATCCCATGTGTGGGAGAGGTATTATCCTGACCTCGTTTGGAGGACAAAATAAACGAGTACTATAGCACTCACGGCGAATGCCAACAGCATGTCACCGCTGCGCAAGGCTCCTCGTTGCCCAAGGGCTTTCGAGTCATCGACGCTATTAGAAGATGCCTTGTTGAACGAAGGGAGAGGGGTAAAGAAGGATAATCAGGAGCATTTTGCTGCTCAACTTTTAATGAGAGGATAATAATCCACAAAGTCTCTGTGAAATGATGAATGTTGTATGTCTTGGTACACAATTTGGATGTAAGGCAAATCTCCTCTGTCATAATCTTGAAGCTGCTGACAGAAGATGCTCTACCAACCTGAAAGTAGATAGTTTGGGACCGAAGATGTTGTTTCTTAGATGACTTCTATGTTTCTTGCTTTGCAGTCAGCTCAGGTACCCCAACAACCAGGCCCAGTAGACTGTCAATTTTACAAGGCCAAAGGGTGCTGGTTTAGTGATATAGAAGATGGATCATTCAGAGATGTTATAGCAATGAAGACTTGATTTAACTTTGAACTTGAAATTGAACAAAGTTTCATGCAAGCTTTAGATACTATTCCACTCTTTAGTTTTAATAAGTTGACTCTTATGCATCAAGATATTGCACCCCAGAATTTGATACTAGATCTTAAGTGCAAGATTTGACTGATTGACTGGGATGACGCTGAGATTTATTCTGAAGAATTTGAATATACAGTATTAGCTACAAGAAGATGAAGTGCAGTATTATTTACAGATATACTGTTTGAACAAATCTCTAAACATCCAAAGATGGAGTGATAATTGTCTCAAATTATATATGCATTGACAATTGGGCAATGAATTGACTGAGGATGACTGTGGAATGGAAGTTCAATGCCATGATGAAGAATGTTGAGTGAGACATGACAATAATGAGATTGGACTTAGGAAGCATGTGCACTTTAGAAATATTTACATCAATTAGAGCAGTGCCTGCATATTGTGATATCATTGGGCAGTAATTAACCCAGGGCTCGTGTTCCATAGCACAACTCATTGCGAGCCGAGCTAACCACCTTGATCAGCAAGCCATGTCCATTTCACACAGTCCCTATTAAAAGACCGAAATGCTACGCCGTCTCAACGCCCAGCACTAGCCTCATCAACGAGAAAGCCAACATTTCTTTTAACACGCTCCTGCATCGTATGGTCCACTAGCCATGCTTAGATTCTCACATGAGGGATAAAAGAAAGCCGCTAGGGCAATGATCACGTAAGCGGATATGAGAAGAGCTCCTTCGAGGTAATTGGTCCTGCCGTCTAGGACCAGATAGTTGACAATGAAAGTAGAGGCAAATAGTGAGATAGTTTCAAATAGGCTAAAATAGAGCGACATCTCAGTTTTTAGGCACCATCCCAGCAGCACAATGACGGGTGTCACAAACAGAGCAATCTGAATACTGCTCCCCAGTGCAACACCAATGGCGAGATCCATTTTGTTCTTGCCGGCTACTACCACCGCAGTGATGTGTTCAGCAGCGTTGCCAACAATAGGCAAGATAACCAACCCAATAAAGGCTTGGCTGACGCCAGTATTCTCAACGAGGTATCCGATGCTATCGATTAGAAACTCCGCGCAGACTGCGACAAGGGCTGTGGACACAACTAGGAGAATAATAGAAGCCGTGCGGGATATATGACATGACCCTATAGCCTCAGTTGCAATTCCATCGGGACCCTGTGATGGAGCAATAGTCATGAGGCGCGGAAGTGGCTGAGCTGAAGGCATTATTGGGCGACTAAACGGGCTTTGCAAACGACCAGGAAGCGAATTTGCACGTCTTAAACCACATTCACCGTCACCAGAACTACATTGACTGCCGAAGGGAGCCGTTGTAGTACTATGAGCAGAGTACAAATGTGGTTTGTTCATGAAAACTCGCGGAAGGACCTGCCGCTGGGACAGACTACGTGCAGCGAGGGGCAGTTTTGCGGCCATTGGCTCGGCAGAATTGGCAGAATCAGTGGTAAAGTTAACCTGTCGTTTGGCGTGGGTGGGCGGAGTGGAATCAAAGGTTGGGTGGTCGTCCCGACCATTCTGATCCATCACAGGGCTATTGACACTGTCCACGCGCTCTTTACCTTCGTTGTGATTGTGGCGATTCTTTGTTTGCTTGTGTCTGCTCCCGTGAATGTTAACAGAGGAGTCGGGGCAGGCAAAATCCTTGCAAACGGGGCGAGATCGAGGAGAGTCTTGAGTCGTATTTGTCTCATCCGTATCCACCTCATTTACACTAACTGCTTGCTCCATACCAGCCGACATAAATTCTGAGTGTCGTTTGGACTGCGATGGGGCTGATTCTGTCATTGGCTGCGAGCTTGATGAAACGGTACGACTAAAGGAAGCCGATGAAAAGCTTTGTCTCACGTCTTTCGAGTTAATGCTCTGCTTATGACGTCGCCGTTTCTTGAGCGCGTTTTTGATGCGCTTTGTTCGTGTGTAGGACCCCGATGTTCCGTCACTGTCACTATCGCTTGATGAGCTAGATTCCGATGAGCTGGGGGAATTTAACATGTCGGCCAGGACTCCTGGATGAGATTCTTCGTCAATTTTGTGTTGAGGGGTACTTTCATAAAAGTACGCGTGAGATTTGAGTTGAAATAGCAAGTATAGAACATATACCAGCAGAAGGATCTTGAAGTCGTCAGCAGGGAATAAATTTGATGTATTTTTAGGTATCTGGGCTTACCACGCTGGTACCCCTGCTCACTTTCAATACAACGGCATCGGCAGTCTCCATATTGTTGAATGAGGCATGGAAAGCGGTCTATGAATAGAAAATGTTAATGGGGAGGATTGGGGGCAAAAGGTGAGAAACTGTGAGAAATCTTACTGGTAAGAGAAGGCTCATGACGCTGAGACTGAGCAAAGCGGCACTCATTTGGGTAATGTTTGAATTGTACAGCTGTAACATTCGATCAGTATAAAGGCAACTAATAGTACTTCATGAACTAGAATCTTGTTACCTGTTCTCGATATCGAAGTCCACCAAATAGGAAACACATTCCTAGAATAAGCAGTAAATTTGCTAGAATGGACCCAAGCAGAGATGCCTGCACGATTCGGACTTCTTTCTGAAAACACAATCGTGTTAATGGCGTATACAACACAGGAAGAAAAGCAAGACCGCGTTAACTTACAGCTACAAGTGCTATACTGTTCGGGTTGATTCAGTGTTAGTATCCTGACTAGGGGATTTCGAGTGGGAGGAAATGAAATAGCAAACTAGGGCGGACTGAAAATTGAATCGAAGTTGATTTCAAAGACGTACATACTGTGATATCGTTAGCTAAATCTGTCAAAAGGGATGGTGTAGGGCGGACGAGGTTGTCCATACAATATAATGAGTTCCACGGCATTTCCGAACGTGACATTCAATAGTGCTCCAATTTTGTCACTTAGGTTTCTCGCAGCGTTCTCAGTCGCGAAACTAAGCAGTGAAGCCAAAGGAACAATGGCCACGGCATTTATAGAGAACACCACGGTTGGACTGATAGGACTGATCGGACTCTCATGTCCCATGGAACGATTCACCGCGCCCAAGGCAATTCCAATGGGGACAAAAACGAGAGCCCAATTTATCCAGCTTGACAAAATAATCAAGCGTATGGTGCGATATATTCGAATTATGGGAGAGTCCTTTTCCACAGCTCCTATGGTGGCAGCATTTTCCTCACTCCCAGTATCGTTTTTGGCCGAAAGGGAGCGGGAAACGACTGAGGCTGCTTCAGTCGTGGGGACAGGTTTTGACTCATCTTGACAACTGGGCTTGTTACCAGCTCTGTCATCTGGGTCATGTTTTTGAGCAGAAGAATTTGTTATGGGTAGGATATGATTACTGTCGTGATTAGCGCGGCTGTTTACGCCTAGTGAGTCTTCATGAGCAGCAGCCCTGACTTGGCACCGGCGAGCAATGCGGTCTATTAATGGAGGGTCGTCAGAGGATTCGTTCATCGAGGGATCGTAGCACTAAGAAGATCAAGGGGCTTCGATGAAGACACGGGGAATTTGAGCTCAGAGACCGCGACGCGCGGAGATGAGGATTGCAAGATTTAAATATTATTGAAGCCCGTGGTGTTGTATCATATATGGCATGGCATGGATGGCGTGAAGGTGGAGTTAGTCCTGGATAGGGCAAGCGTGCTTTAAGGTTGGAAGGCGCTCAGCCACAGCGACACATCCATTTGACCCGACGTCATAGTTATCCATCCATATATGGTTTAACATCACGTAAATTAACGTTCAGTGGTGTTTTTAATTAACGCCACTATCACACAGATGGATCTGTACGTGCGATGTTTCCGCACGAATTCATACATAGTATGCGCATGTAATTAGTGCTGTACAGCCTTCCTTATTCAGTTAGTTATAATAATTAGCGCTTCATCATCAAGTTAGTCTCATATCTCATATTGTTGTAAGGCAGATTGATCATCAACTTCACCTACGCATAGGCCTTTCTCTATCCATGTTATCTATCCCCCCTGATTTGCATTCACAATTGCCATACCATACCATCATCATTATTTCCATCAAGCTCTTATATTCTCAAGATTGAAATCAAAATGGGTGTATGGAACGGGCGGCTGATATCAATATGAAAGACTATTATTGGAGTTCAAAATAACTGTACAAGCGGCGGCAGCGGCAGTGGCGGCAGCAGTGGCAGTGGCAGCTGCAGCTGCTTATTACAGTGACGGATTATTATTATATCCATTACCCGGCATACAAGAGGTTTTCAATTAGATGAATACAATATTTACAAGGCCTATGCCACAGCAGCGCCGAATCGTGGCATCTATGCCTATATAGGAAGGCCGTGCGTACTAAATATTTCATGCGACTTGGCGCTGCAGGATCCCTCTAGTAGGTAAAGTTAGGTATGGGTCTAGTATCACGTGGTTGGACTTCTCGGATTACATAACCCACCTAGATTTTTTGTTGGAACATCTGAGTGCATGTTTAGTTATAGAGACAGGAAGAACGATATATAATAATAATGATCATGAAAAGCAGTCATCTAGATATTAATGTTATGTTATTAGTATGATCTTGGCAAGGCAGGAGGGGGTTTCAATAGCTGCCAGCTTCTAGTTTAGATTAGCTTTCTCGATAATGAACCAACATGTCCATCATTCTCAAAGAAAAAGCATATACAAGCAATGAAGCATACCATACCTCAGTCTTTTAGCTTACATTTCAAGTACTCCGTACACCCCCGCCAAAATTAGCGTACTTTCCCAACACCAAACGTTCGAATCGACAGTATGGAGCCAGTCGTCAGTGGTTGGTCCAGACTCTGAGTTTCACGACCCGGAGCGTGTAAAACTAATTGGGTCCATCCTTAGAGCAATGAGAGAACTGGAAATTAACGCTGGTGCTGACCCAGGCACATGGCTTCCCCTCAACGAACTAGTTTGGAGTTGTATTTGGTTGTCTGATATAGAACGCCTTGCCGACCTCACCTCTAGTTTTGAAAAAGACCCTTCTCATATTTTCCAGATTTTATATACGTATCGCCAAGGTAAACTCCAGGTAGCTTTACTGGCTTTGAAAGCTGACATGTTTTTTGTTAGGGACTGGCCAACGGTCGACAAGCTCCACGCCTAAGTCTGGACCAAGTACACCAACCAACCCAAGAGTTGAGAACCACACCGTCCAAAAGCGCCCCTAGTCCATGTAGAAAGCGAAGAAGAATTGAGTCTTCCTCACCTCGATCTGACCCCACCACGACCCGATCTTCCTCCAAAAAAGTTACGGAATTAGTACGTGATCTCCAGCAGCCTATATTTCCAGCTGACATTACCAGCTAACCATCCGACCACAATGAAGTGCCGGAAGCGAGATAAGACCTGTGTCCTGACCAAGGCAACGGAGCCGACCAACGCTTGCCATATCATACCTTACTCCTTGGGCCACCGGAGATTGCACCAGATTACCTACTTCTGGCGGACTCTTTCGCTTTTTTGGGACCAATCAAAAATTTCCGAACTACAAGATTTTGTTACGCAGAAGAGTACAGAAACAACAGAAAATTTATTGCTATTAGCTCCTGTCGGATTGGGTGTCACGGATGAATATGTTGGAGACATATGAATCTTATGTGTATCAAGATCTGCTTGTTATATTATCCATGCACTATCTAATATATCTATTTCATACAAAAGATAGAGCTATTTATAGTAAAATATATGTGCGAGCCAAGAGAGCTAGCATAAGCGAGTATTAGACGAGCGTTGTAGTAAGCTGATGATGATGAGAAATATTGTAGTAATATGATGTTGGTGGCGTTCAGTAGTGTATAACCTCTTTTTCCTGACACTCCACATGTGCACGCGTACTGGGATAAGCAGTTGTTTGCTTTGCAGCCGTTATCCATATCAAATGATAAAAAATCTCTGACAGTCAAATTCTTTTGGCTGTGCCCCAGTAGCCTGGATAGTCTGCGACTTTCAACTGCTGCGCTTCCTGAGGATCCGAGCCAGGAGTTTACTGTTGAACCTCCGTCATTCCCTGCCAACCTTGGACAGGGTGGTCGAGAGTGTGTTTATGGCGAGCGTCCAAACATTCGCCTTTTCAACTGTGAAGCCAATGAGCTTATTTCATCTGGACAGGTGATAACTCTAACAACTGAAGACCCCGAATCCCTGCCACTGCCGGATTTGAAGCTCCTTGACCTTCAATGGAAATTGCATAGAGTCCTTGCTCTTGTAGCCGCTGCCGGGTACAACGAGGACGAGGATGAAAACTATGATGACGATGATAGATATGGACGTGAGCCAGTAATTGTCTCCGGGGAAGAGGATTCGTTGGATGAGTATGAGAAACCTTGGGCTAAAAAGCCCTTTGAATCCCATACATCTACTACTGCTATGGGGATTATCTAAATGTTCTTGAAATGCGAGGATCAGATGTGAGAGTGTTCTATTACTTAATGTTTAGTTTGTATTCACTCACTACTCTTTCTTTTTTGCAGTCATTTTCAATATCTCCCCTCTCTCATGAGCTCGTCCTTTTAATATTTTATTTTTTCATCCTCTTCAGTTCACTTTTACTATTAAATCAAATTCATGCACTGTACAGATAGAGCAGAGTGAGACATGACAGAGAGAATTCAGAAAAGAGAGGTAATCAAGTGAAAGAGAGGTAATCAAGTAAAAGACAGTATAACAGAGAGAAAACAGACAGAAGATATATCATGATATGAAGAAAGAGAGAGAAAATGAAGCAGTGCATCAATTCAGTAGATCATGTATCATGAATCAATGAGAAAGCAGAAAACATTGCAGCAGATTCTGACAGGGCTCACAGAGCAATCAGAGAACTGTAAAATATCCAAGTACAGAGATATCAAGATACAGAGATGTGATTCTGCCGCTGTGCACCATACTATACATATAAGATATTACTGTGTCTTTTAATATTAGCGGGACAAAGCAGAAAGCAGGCGGGATGACGGACGGGACGGGTACGGGATCTTGTCAGCGGTCATTTGTAGCACATCCTCGACACGACAGAAAAAACCCACCGTTGCGGTTGGGGCATCTTGCCACCCCGTTCTTCCTAGTTGGATTCAAAGAACAGGTGTCTCTTAGTGTTGTATTTATCCTGGGCTTCTGCAGATGATATGACGGTGGCTTTAAAGATAAACTGAAAGGCTCTCGCTCAGTTGGTTTCATCTTGGGCTTGACAAAAAAAGCCCCTTGGAGGCTGGCTCCACTTCTTCCGTTGGACTTTGCAGTGGAAGCTTAACAAAACTCTATTAAGCCTTTCTGTACCTTGAGTAACTCTGTTTCAACTTCGAAAACGTCAGCAGACTATATGTTTCTCTCTCCCTGTCAATGGCAACCTGGTCCGCCCCTTGGTTTGTGCAGCATCTTATCTTTGAGACCTTGCCTGCCCAAGCGCGTTTCTTCTTTTCGCGAGTCAAATCATTTGCCAGTCCGAGCGGGGGGCAAATAAACAGGAATCATAACAATGCGCCGTGGCTGTCGTATTGAATTGTTCGCTGGCCTCTTGGGGCCGGCCTTTGTTGCACCAAGCCTGGCCCTAACTCATGTAACTAACTAGTGTCCAAAGAAAGCCATGCTTTATTTTCATGCGTGGGCTGCATTTGGTTGGACACTCACATGTTGGCACACTCTGAGCTTCCCAATCCCGTTGTCAAATCGTCTACGCAGTAAGCCCTGTCTGCAGTCCTGAGACATTAACTGACTAGGCCGCCAACATGTGACTTGGCGGCTGTCTTCCTGTCCTGTCTGTGGGATGCGGGTTGCGATTTGCAACTGCTTGGGCTGTGTTTATATGCAGAACACAAGAATTCGATCTCCAGCAGGAAATCCCGATCTGACGCCATCCCGTTTGCTCCCCTTTCGTGTCGAACTTGTGCCTCTCAGCCTCGAAGCTTCGAAGAAAGCAGACATGGGCCTTTACGTTTCATCCTGAGTCCCCTGGAGGAGTTTCACATTCATGGCGTTGCTCTTCATGTTATAACTTGTCCTTCTTCATGGCCTGACCCCGGTTAACCTTCTTTCTCTATCTTTAAAAGAGTATAACTACAACCTGCTACAAGCAACACCATTGCGGGGTTATTCCTCGGTTCCTTTGCTGCTATTTAAACATAGTCGGTTCACCTTCCCCGCGCTATTCGGAGATTTTGGCAACTTGCCTGTCTTCCCAAGAGTTTCCCGTCCGCTGTCCTTCTCAGTTCATGCATATATCAATCACCATCTTTGTTACCGTCCTGTCCATTTCTGGGTAGGCTTCGGAAATCTTTTAGCCCTCATGAAATATAGCAAACGCATGGTACAACAAATTCCTTGCCGGTATTTGGTATTTTTCAATGCTTGATTCACTTTTGTTGTTGTTCGGCTTGCTGTGCAAAAAGGGTCAATTTCTATTATCTGTTGCTTCGTTTTTCACATATCCCAAATTACTGTCTTTCCATATTTGGCAATCTTCACACCACCGGGGCATAGTTTTGCATTTTGATGGTGCTACTTTGAGCTATTTCAGTTGTTGCTCCGCTGTTTCTTTTGTCACCCTTCTATTGACCTTCCACCACGCAACCGCACGGTTTGTTGCGTCTTCCACACCTCGAGCCTTCGGTTCCCCACCACGTTTTAATTAAACAGGTGTGACTTCTTGCTACGACACATATTTGGAGCAGACGTTTGCATTTTGGACTCGCGATTGGGGTGTTGAGGGGGCCTTCATTGCGTTCTTTGGGATCCCCAGGTCGGCCACCAACTGCTGTGACGCGCACAACTTCATAGCGCGTAATAAGCAACGGTGAATGTCATAAACTGAAATCGCGCCCGGTGTGGTATGTGAGCAATATCGAATGGAGTCTTTAAACTCCGTAATTGCAGGCGAGCCAAAGGCAGTGAATGCAAATGATGAGGTGAGTGGTACAAAGTCCTTACAGAATTAACCCAGCATAAAACTTTGCACGAATCAATATTCCATGCACCACAAAGGTGGTCTCACGAAAATAGTTCTAGTTTCGTAGCGTACTTCTCGATCGCACACGTAGAAAAACCATGAAAAACACATTTTTTTAAATGCTCTGCGTGCTTTTATGAAATATGCTGACAACCATGATCAGGCCACACACGCGCTCTCTCAAGTAAACCTTGATGAGTCCAGCAAAGCTCATCAAAACTCGACAAACGTAGCCAATGGAGTCAATAATATCACCCAAGCAGATGAACGGTCTGAGATTTGTGTTTCTCCCTCCTGGAAGACGGACAAAGAGAGGAAGGAAAGAAAGAAGGAATTAAAACGAATCGCCAAAGAAAAGAAAGAGCTCGAACGGTCATCAAAACATGAAGCCAAGAAACCCGAGCGAAGCTCATTCAATGAGCCGCGACGTTTAACCAAAAAGCCGCCCAGCAAGACACCCAGCAGAGCGTCAAGTATTAGAAGCATTCTCCCACGCTCGTCAACTGCTCCATCAATTTTGGGGTTTTGGTCTAATAGCACGTCGAAGGATGATTCTGCCCGAGATGAAACTGTCCCTGCTACTTCACCCCCTGATGTAGGAGCGGATAAAACGGCGAATGATCCACCGGAGTCTACCAAGCTTCTATTCACAGGCCATTTGCCGCAGCGTTTTGGAGGAAAAATAACCCCGGACCCAGAATATTATAAGACCTCATCTCGTGCTACCGGTTCGAACTCACCGTCACCCATGCCCTCGTCTCCGTCAAATAAGCCAAGACGCCACCTTCATATGGCTAAGAAACATTCTGATCTACGTGCCGCTGCGAAGGCGTTTCGATCCAGCGATCCTTCCCCACAGAACACCAATACACCGCCTACGAGATCATCTTGGAGTCAGGAGCTTACCCGCCGATTATCAAATTCTAACGGAAAGAAGCTCCAACGTCGGTCTCTCAAAGCTGAACACGAGCCCCATATGTATTCATTACGTAGAGCTTCCACAAATAAGGAGAATGAAAATCGCAAACCATCTGGCCGAAAAACGGAGAAAAGTGTGCCATCTACGCCTACAAGCAGTCATTTCCATTCTACCACGGGGATCTCCCCCCCAAGTCCGCGCAATAGCTCGCGAATTACAGTTGTCCAGCCTGAGGAGAAGATTCCTCCTCCACATAACACAACTGGCCAACTTCATCATGAAGCACCTACCCTTCAAAATTCTGTTAATGGCACAAGCGGTTCCAGTGAACCACAAGAACAACCACCAGCTATTTCAGTCATACCTCCTCTCAGGTCACCACAAAAAACAACGCACACGCCCCCAGTGAGTCAACGGAAGCATGGACGGAGACACTCATGGAGTGAGATATTAACAAACTCTGATCGCGTTGCCGGACTCTCTTTAAAACGTCGCGGTCCGGGTCATGAACCTCCCCAGACATCAGTGAACGGGGACATCGACGAGTTCAAAACCAGCGGCCCTTACGAATATAACTATGGCTCTAACGGGGTATTCAAAAGCCATGCTGCTCACTCAGATCCTTCTCTCACACCAGCCAGCTGGCATGTCGCTCCTGAAGACATAGGGATTGCTGGGGATTTTCCGCAGGTCCAATCTGGATCTTCTTCCCCTAATACCACACCAACAAGTCTCCCCGCCGATCCAATTGATACCTTGAAAACCCCAACGATTATTGACCCCGATAACATGGAACTAGTGGCAACTGCTCCTACCGTCAAACAGCGTGAGAACTCCATGCGAACATCACCAAAAGTAATAAATCGTGACGTCCCATTTAAATCTTCCCCTTTAGCCGGACCACCTCTTAATAACCAAGACGATGAAAATGCCCTGGAATCCGCGCAAATAGCCACTCAGGAAGATGCTGATACTTCTTCCAAAGCTAAGAACGGAAAATCAGGTTTCTCTTTCTCGCGGATCTTGAGACATGAGAGAAAGAAGGAGAAGAGTTCGACAAGTTTCGGTCGAAGGTATTCGCTGAAAAACAAGCTGACAACCGCTACCGGTAAATCTAAACAACAGCCCAAAGCGTTGGTATCTGGATCAAATGAGTTGCAGAGGAAACAGGACACAGATAAAAAGACGGCTTCCAAGTTACCCTACCCAGGGGGCCTCAGATCACAAGCCACATCACGGCCTCCCAGTGCGTCCTCCAGACAGTTCAGCCTCATCGCCATTGCCAGCAACGAGATGTCAAGCGATATCAAAATCCCCCCAAAATCCCCAAAGCGCAACAGTGGAGTATTCCCCACTCCAGCCAGCACTCGCCCTAGTTCTGCGAGTGGTGTGGAAACCATGAGCATTTCAAGCAACGGCACTGAGACACCTAAGAAGAAACGTTCCATCTCAGTCGACATCAGTAAAATCCAAGTACTCCATGAACCATGGAAAGAGCGATTCACTCACAAATCTACCCCCGGCCACGCATCGCCTACACTATCTTCATCCCAAACAACGCCGATAATCTCGACATTCCCCTCCGCAAAGCAACCAGCCACCGATGCACTGGCATCCAGCGATCTCCCTCTAAGAACCCCCGAACGTCACCACCAAACCCATCCAGGGCCAATCTTCGACCCGCGCCCAGATTCATCCAACCGACGAAGCCTCGCCAACCATGTTGGAAATGGCCGAGTCGCTTCTCAACGTCCAGCGCGGAGGGGGACGCCTGTTGCCAAGATGTTCGTGATCTGTTGCCAGTGTAGGTACTGGCACGACATGCCATCAGACGTCTATGCCAAACTTGCCTTCCCCAACGGGCCCCCACACCTCGAGCCCCTGATCGCCGACGATAGCCACAGTCCACCCCATCAAGCACAGCACCCAACGGCACGCAGTGGATTCGCTGCGCATGGTGGCGGGAGCAGTAGTACCTTCACTGAAACTAGCTCAGGAGCATCCAATAATGCACTGGATAATAAATCACCCCGAGGTTCCCGGCCCTCGTCGTCCAGCTCTTCATCCTCCAATAATTTCACGGTGACGTGCTGCTGGTGTGCGCATCGGATGGTTAAAACTTGCTGCGCGGGATGGACGACTATTGTCTATCTCCATGAGCGGCATCATTGAAAGAAAAATTGGTCCATTTTGCTACCATAATCTTCTTCTTTTTTTTTTTTTTTTTTTTTTTTTTTTTTTTTTTTTTTTAAATATTTTATATTTTAGATTCCCAATTCCCAATTCTTTTATTTTTCATTTTTAATCTTTAATTTCTTTTGAGCAGTTTCGAAATAATGCGCTATCTTTCATGTTGTGGCTATCTGATCTGGCGAAGGAAAGGATATATCTCGCCAACGTAGAGCGTCCTTCAAGGTGTTTTGCGAGGACGGTATGATACGATTTACCCCTCTTTTCTCAGTTATGCCCCTCCTTTTTTTCCATCTTGTCCTTCTTTATTTTGGAGCCACTCCATTTCTCCGCAGAATTCCTATGTGGAGGGATGTTTTAAGGGGAAACGAATTGGATGCTGAAATGACTTTTATGAGAAAACTATGAGAAAATGTTTTATTCCCGCTCTTTGTTTGGCGTTTTTGAGAGGACAGGATATTTTCCCACTTATGTGACAATAGTAGTTTACTTTTATATTATGAATGTCAGAAGATTGTGAGCGGACACCAGCACTGAGTTTGACATTTTCTTTTTTGAGGTAACTAGGTGTGGCTTATGAACGAAACATTTCCATACTCAACTAAAAGAAGAATTATTTGAACTAAATAAATTTAGTGATCACGCAGACAAGGTGACCACCCCTGGCTTAGAGTGACGGCACATTAATATCAGAACAAATGCAGTACAGTTGCAAAATAGGGCTTATTTTTTACGATATAAAATGTACTCCGTAAATAATCTGTATATTTCTTAAAAGATCCAGGGAAGCCATGGGTACTCAGTACTCGCGCCACTCTCGTAAGCACCGAAGAGGGTAGGTGCCAAGCCTCCCAATTCTCTTCCAATTCCGAAACGGAAGCTTGAAATTTAACTCCTGCTGAGCACATGTTCCTCGAGTGATAGTGCTTGTCACGTCGATGAAGATTTCTTTATTACTTATACTTGTTGACCATCTCGATGAGGGCTTCATCTACCTCTTTTGGACTGGTTGCGTTGAGATAGTGCGCGCCTCCTTCGACCAATATAAGTTTCTTTTCCCTCGAGCCCGTAAAGAGCTCTATTTGCTCCTGGGGATAGGTTGTGCCGAAAGGGATATCTTTGGTGCCCTGTTCATTTTTCCCTCCATTAACATCAGGGTTTCTTTCATGGCGATTGTAAAAAGAGGAGATAGATAAGAGGCAAAGAGGCAAATAATACGTACCTGTAGCCAGTAAACAGGGCATTTAACATCCCTCAGTCGAAGCAGCAGCCCGTCTCTGCTAATAAGGCATATCAACGCCATACGCGCCTTCCTTCTCCCCTCGTCGCCAGAATAGACGCTCCGCACAGTGTTTATCCAGAATTCGACCAACTCAGCATCTGCGCCTTCGCCCAATCCAACACTGGCTACCATCCCACACCAGACTTCGTCTATTACGAAATCGGGCGTTTCTGTGACGCTGTTCAGATTCTCGTAAAAGGGTGTTAGGGAGGTAGCCGGGTCCCAGCATCCCTTTGTCCTCGAGACTTCCGATTCATAGTCCATTGACGTGCCTAGGGGCATGATCCCAAGAATCTGTATGGAAAAGAAGGCATATTAATATGGTTTTTTTTTTTTTTTGTCTATCTTAAGTGCTTGCTCGGGTCATGTTCCCTCCTCGTGGCGGCGCGTCGGAACGTCAAGGAATTCTGGAAAGGAGAGCAAAAGCTGGGACAGCTTCGCCGGTTCAGGCCCCAAACAACATACCCGATCAGGAGCCAACAGCGCCATGCGCGTCACAATCCATCCACCTTGGCTAGTCCCCAGTGCGAACGCTTTCTGAATTCCGAGCTCCTCCATCACCTGCAGCGCCATGATTGCCGAGTCCCAGTATGTGAAGTGATCTGTGGGCGAGCTGGTGGCTCCATGTCCTAACGGCTCGATGGCAAGGAGGTTCATGATGCTGGTGAGCTGCTTATTTTCGAATTGGTTAGTGTACAGCGAGGCAGTCGTGCACATGGAGTTGATCATCACACAGGTGGGCTTTGAGGCGTCGTATGTGTCACTGGAAAGTTTGTATCCTGCGGCGATGCCACTCAGATGAGGGACCTTGACTGTCTTTGACACTGCCATTCTGGAGTTCTTCTTCTATTATTATTAAAGTGGTGCTGTGACAGATGCTGGAGACGAACAAATGTATACAAGGATATCCTGGAGAGAGTGGGTAGGAAAGTGACCGATCATTCAAGGAAACGATGTGATCCCGATTCCATATTGGATTGAATTATACCCCTCACTTGCTATGTGGATCTTTCCAAGGTTTCTCAAATGGGACCGATGGGACCGATGGAACCGATTGGCAGTAAATCTTTTATTTAACTCTGCTAGCTGGCTGCAACTGCTCGACATCAGTTGCTTTCAGCTTTGGTTTGCAGCTCAGATGAAATTAATACCACGAATGCATTGGTGATGTTTCTCAAAATATCTCCAAAATAATTTGACCCTGTAGAACCTTGGATGGTTTACATAGCTCTCCGGCGTCATTTGTGGAAGAAATATACTGTATATCAATAGCGTACCCCGCGTTTTGATATCAAATCCAATCGCCAGGGACTAGAATACCAAGAGAACATTTTTAGCCGAAATTATTGCACATGGGTCTTTTACCAACGTTACTAACAATGTACTGTACATAGTATAAATTCTCCTATAATGTAGATCAGATCACACTCTAAACTTCTGAAACTGCTTCACCATGAATCCAAAATCCCTACAGAGCCAGAAATGGTGGCGAACCTAATGTTCACCTCAACGTTAGAACTGAGCTGCCCTGCCCTTTCCACACTGCCATGATTGAGTGCCCATCCCGACTAAAAGTCTTCAACATAGTAGAATAATAATAATATTGGTATAATATCTGAATCCAAAGAATATAAAAAGTATCATCAAGAATGACGCCAAGTCCACTCAAAGTTTGGGTGGACTCCGCACCTCAAATTCCGCAACAGGCGGCGTATCATCTGTTAAAGAAACAGGCAACCAGCCCCTAACAGAGCCATGTGTTGCGAAAATACTCGGAGAGAATTGGCTTGGTTTGCCATCATCCCCGTTCTGAACCCCAGGATTGCCGTTGTCGACGGTAACATCTGCCACATTTTCCAAGGCATGCTTCACGTCCTCATGCAGATCAAATGGGATGCCGCATTCTCTTAGCATCTGTATAATTGCAGTTACATTCAGGCGCATCGTTCGCTCGGGCTCTTGGGCTTTAGCCCATCTCTGCATCACCCAAGGGAATAAAAGGCCGACGTCTGACTGGCTAAGATGGGCTGAGTTAATGGTGTAGAAGACCCTGGGCTGTCGCTTGCTATGTTCGGCTGTGTCCTGGCTGGTAGGGCCGGGTACTGGGTGGGGAGAGAGCACACATCGAGTAGCCTTCAGACCAGCTTTCCACTTGAAAAACTCGTCGCTCAGGACAGCCAAAACATTTGGCTGTCGTAGGTGATCTTTAGGTGAGCCCGCATAGCACGGCAGAGGCTTTTCCCATAGCCATTTTACATCATCCCCCAGCAATGGGAGGTTCCAGAGGTCGAGGAGGATAAGGGGTGATGTTGGCGTCACCTGTGAAACAATCTTGCTATCTGGTCGAGGTTGGTACAGGGGGCGGTATTGCGAGAAGTGTGGTTCCGACGAGGTCGATGCTGGGTCCTTATCACCGACACGGCCCCAGTATATGGACTTGATAAATTGGACGACGCTTGCGGCGCCGAATGAATGGCCCGCCCACGTGATACTGCTGGGAAGATGGATATCAAGGCTAGAAGCGAATACGGGAGCTTTTGCACCCTGCATTTGGGCAAAATTTTTAATTTCCATGCCAGCATCCATCTTGAGAAGGGCATCGTGCACGAGACCTAATTCCCAGAGTCGGATGCGCAGCTGGGAATGTCGCTTATGAAGAATGCTCGGCTCGAAAATGTGCTTGATGCGTTGAAATGGCACTCTTTCGGTAACCCGGCCATGGGCGTTTCGGATAAGAGAGATGGGACAGCTTCCATCGCGGTGCTCGGGGGCAATGACGACAATACCATAACTGGCCAAACAGCCAAGGATATAGCTATACATATACCTCGATCCTCCGATGCCATGGGAGAAGACCATAACAGGCCAACGTTTTGAAGGGAGCGTGGAGGATTTCAGGGGCGCATCTCTATATGCTGGCATCTTCGTCCACTTGATTGTATTTGGGAGTAGTCTGACATATTTGTGAAGAATTAGAACGCAGAAAAATCAAACCTCATAAATGATTATAAGAGGATTGGTTTACCGTACCCTAATATATTCGATAGCCGTTTTGGCGCTCCTAGGAATTCCGCCAATCCACCAGTAAAGGTGCCTTGCGGATCCGGAAGCCAATAGACAGGTTTCGATGCAGAGTCAACATCATCTGCAGGATAGAATACCCGGAACAGAATTGTGGACAGAGATATATCTGATTTTGGATGAGGTGCCGGCGATTCAAGAGAAGAGACGGGAATCTCAAACTCTGTAGTGCCAACCTGATGTGGTCCCGTATATGACGGGAAGGTCGGAATTTGAAGCAGAGACAAAGGCATGCTTGCAATTTGCCCCGGCTACTTCGAATGTAGTATAGCGATAGACAGAGGAAAAATTAGTGAATGCAACGAGAAGGACGACTGGGATAGAAGACAAAACGAGCGATATCTGTATGAGCTTTATATCCTGGTCCTTCGTAACATCGCCGCCGCAAATGACAATTTCAGCCTCTATCTTGACTGGCCGAGACGGCAGATAATGGATCCGAATTCGATGTAAAATCAGCAAAGCCAAAGGCTTTTGCCTCAAGGCATCAACAATCTCACGCGTCCCTCTCGTGTCGATAACGAGTATTTGCACCCTTCTTTGCGCTTGATGTGCCGAGGTCTATCGATCTCTGGAATTTGTTCAAAAGGCCAATTACTCAGGAAACAAATGCCAGAAAAGACAGAAGACAACGTGTTGAAAGAAGCATGCAGTCTATGATCTATACGGATTATCCAGGAGAAGATCTCGTGCGAAACCCTCAACAGTTTATGGAGAGCTGTCATAATAAAAAGGAGGCTAACTAGCGATTTTTAAGTTACCTCGGCACTCTTGGCGGTGGACTGCGCCTCGTTCTGCGGATCAATCCCGCACTAGCCACAAACTACTGCATCCATATCAATCATATGAATGTGCGTGCAATGGCTTCAAGACACTGCAACAGGTCCCGCCGACGCATTCAACACGTATTCCACTGAATCACCTCCTGCCACGGCCATTCCGCTGCTGTTCTAGCTGTTGGCAGAGACGCCATGGCGCGTCACAGGCGGCTGTCAAATGCCTCCTCTGCGTCTTCTCTCCCAGAGCGACATCAGGTATGAGGACACCACATGCGCCTTGATGGCCAGATGGTTTCTGCAAATGTTCCGATACTAATCACACTCGGGGTGTTTTGAAGGAGCTTGATAGCATGTACGATTACTTAGCGAAGGTGATTCTACTTGGACCAAGCGGCGCTGGAAAGTCTGTTCTCCTTACCGTTCATTGATCCCAAAAATTTAACCCTGATACGCCAACTTCCATACCAATTCAGGCCTCTATATATTAAGATCATCTAAAAGCATAGTTGCTGACGTATTGCATGCATCTGCTAGATCTTGCCTCCTACATCGTTTTGTGAAAAATGAGTGTATGCACCCCGTTACCTCCTTTAGCTCTTTCACACTTCCTCCCCACTCGCAACGTTATCCTCAGCGCTTCTCAACTTTATAGAAACCCACTGAACTTCATCAGCTAACAAAACCACGGATTTACAGGGCGCGTGCTCTCCTCTCAAACAATCGGCGTCGAATTCTCGTCAAAAATTGTAAAGATAGGAACCGGCTCACGCTGGAAACGGATAAAACTACAGCTATGGGATACAGCAGGTACTGAGCGATTCCGCTCCGTTTCGCGTTCGTACTACCGCGGGGCTGCCGGCGCAATCCTTATCTACGACGTCGGATCACATGCTTCCTTCTCCGCCCTCCCAACCTTCCTCATGGATGCTAGAGCACTTGCTTCCTCGAATCTAACGATCCTCCTGGCCGGAAACAAAAGCGACCTTCTTTCCCAAGACACGATGTCCCTGGGCGGAGGGGACTACGGCGATGACTTCCAGCGTCCACCCCCGACACCGTCAAGTACATCGAGCAAACAGGTTCCGTTCTCCTTCGAATCTGGTGGAGGTTCACTGCGATCCATCAACGGGCCGCCAGTGGGTACGAGGATGACCGCCACGATAACTGCGGAAGGGCGCGAGGTGGCGTTAGAAGAAGCGTCGCGGTGGGCGGCGAAATCGAATATACCCGTTGCAGTGGAAGTATCGGCTTTAACGGGGGATAATGTGGACGAACTTTTTAACAGGCTTGCGCGAATTATCCTCACTAAAATCGAATTGGGCGAGATAGACCCTGATGATCCTCAGAGTGGTATTCAGTACGGGGATGGGGGAATGTATGGTACTGGTACGAGCGATGGAGGTAGCGTGCGGAGCGGGATCACGATCGATGACTCTATGACGCAGATGCGGAGAAGGAAAACGCGGAGCCGCGGAGCGGGGAGTGGATGGGCAGCAGGAATGAGGGAGTGGGAGGATGTGTTTAGGCTGGGCGGATCGAATACGAGGAGGGGTAGATGTTGTTAATATTCCGCGGCTGTTGTGGAGTAGGTAATCCTGTTGGAAGTTCACGGTCCTCTACCTGGTGTGGACTAGCTCAGGGCAGAAATCCCGGCTTGGACATGACATGCCGTTGGTCTGCTAACCCATCCGTCCCCATACTTCGATTGCGTTCCCTCCTGAACTCTCCCGGCATCTCATTTTACCTCTTCCTCCTTTACTCTTTACGCATCCGATGTCTATACCGATCTCTACTTCTCCGATATTGATGATGCTTTCTTCTTATCCTCCTTGCTTTCCTTTTTCTTCTTCAATTATCTGCATATCCGCCACACCTGTATTCTGCTTTCCTCAGCACTATATTGTACGCACGCTACACCGCATGGTACCCGTCATTTACCTTTGCATATCTGCATTTTGCACCAAGCACTCGCTCCACACTAATACACAGAACCATCCACCAATGACTCTGAAAATACGCCATATTTGCACTTGTACGTTTCATCTTCATAGCTTCTCCCTATTCTCACTACCTCATTGCCACTATCATTGCCACTATCACAATGTACTACTTGTTTTCATTTTAACTTATCCGGAGTCAGGGATAGGATGCCATTCGCTTTTGCCTTCCATGCCACTTCTTCTTCTTCTTCTTCTTCTTCTACTGTTGTCACTTTTTATGTCAATACCCTTTTTCTTTCATGCGTCGCCCAATGATCATGCCAACATGCCGTACAGTCCATAGCCACATATATTTAATCAATAATTAACGATTAGGAACCGGGTCGGGGGGAAACCGTGTAGGTTCTATCTTACATTGACTTGTTGAACGGATTTCTACTTAGACATATGACAGAGCAAGTGAAGCGAATAGAGAAATATCAATGCCTATTCATTGCGCCTGGGATCATATTTAAATGCGTGAAAACGACCTGAGAAAGTGTGCTGAAATTTTGAAAAAAGCGAGATACCATTGATCGCGTTTTCTCTACTACAACCCAACAATAATTCAATACTCCACACCACGAATGAGTGTCTTAATCCCCTTCCCTCCTTTCACATCTAGAATCGCCTTCTCCGCTTCCTCGAATGCTACCATCCCCGTCACCAACTTTTTAACATCCACCTTCCCCTCCCCCACCAGCGTCAGCGCCAACTTATAATCACCACTACCATACCGGAAACTACCACGAACATCCACCTCCTTCGTGCAAACCGCCATAATCGGGAACGAAATCACATCCCTCCCCATCCCCCCTTGCACATACGTTCCGCCAGTCTTGAGCACATGGATACCCGTATGCACAGATGACTCCGCCCCTGACGCATCAATGACTACATCCGCCCCGCGACCCAGCCCATGCTGCACCCGTAGCCGCTCCGCATTCTTCTCCGCACTCTCCTCCCTAGCCGGCTCATAGACACCCGTAGCCGCATACTGGGCCGCAAACTGCAACCGGGCCGGCTGGATATCAACCGCAATGACCTTCGATGCCCCAAACGCCCTCGCAACCGCACAACACAGCAATCCCACGGGCCCCACGCCAAATACAACCACAGAATGACCCGGCTGCACACGCGCCTGCTTTGTAATATGTACAGCAACGCTGAGCGGCTCCATCAGCGCGCCCTCGTCGAGCCCAACGTTCTCGGGTAGCTTGTGGCAGAAGTCTTCGGGGAGGACGTAGTATTTGGCCAACGTGCCATCGATGGGCGGCGTGGCGGCGAAGGCCATACGGAGGCATAGATTGTATTTGCCGCTGAGACAGGGCTCGCAGCGGCGGCAGGGAATCCCTGGTTCGAGCGCGACGGGGTCGCCTGGTTGTAGGCTTGTGACGGCTGAGCCGATGGAGGTGACTATACCGCTGGATTCATGGCCGAGGACCATGGGGGAAGTTAGGATGAAGGGGCCGATGGAGCCGTGTTCCCAGTAGTGGACCTGTGGGTTGACTTAGTGAGAGTTGTGCTACGTGCTTTTATTTTCTTTTTGAGGCTTAGTTGAAAGGAGGCATGTATGCTTTGGACGTACGTCGCTGCCACAAATACCGGTGTATTTGACGTGGACCTGCACATCGTGAGGGTCTTTGATGGCCGGGACGGGTCTATCTTTATAGGAGACTTTCTTTATGCCTTCGAGGATGAAGGAGAGGTTCTACACCCCGTAATGCGTTTCTAATTAGCACGCCGCCTCGTATCATTAGGTAGAATAGAAAAGTATGTTATTATAAGGAAATCTAATGGATCCGTGGAGGGAATGCAACAATAAGCCGTTCGATTGCGTTCTATACGCAGGCTGACATTTGAACCTACCTGTGGGGGTTCGCTAGGCATGCTTGTTCGATATGGTGAGTGTTAATATGTACGTTGTATTGGCAAACCAAATTTAAATACAATTAAATTTATATATACAAGTGGGAGAAATGAATTGAAGGGGAGTATAATATGTATAATATGTATACAGATCAAGAGTACAGTAGACAGAAAGCTGAATGATTAAACTCAATCATTTTTGCGGGGAAAAGTGGGCAGGATGACGCACTTGCATTGGCAGCGTTGAGATGGAGCATTAATTTTGTAACTTACCATGGTTTGATGTTTGTGTTTATAGCTATTTTTGTCCGCCTCGGAATATTTATCTTTACCAGCTGCCGTAATGCTTGGTTAAACTCCCTCTTTATATGTAATTCGCACCTTCGCCCATTAATACATTAGAGCAGGTACTTCATGTTGATGAGTACTGTTGACGTCATTTTCTGCATGCAGATATAATTTATCTTAAATTCGGCAACAAGGCATCCCATCCCGTCTATGGGCGAAAATTGGACAGCACATAAGAAGAGCCTTAGGAAAACGAAACACGCAAGGACGAACTAAAGTTAGGAAGTAGGCAGGTCTCCACCCGCGCCGCCATTGCTCTAGAAGCCGATCCATTCCTCCATACCCTCACGACGATCCTAGATACTTCACAGAAATCCTATCCCCATGACCCTTATCCAGTCCCTTCACTCCAATATAAACAGTCTCCCCAGGGACCAGATCTACACAGTTGTCATCAAACACCACCTCATCTCCATCCGCATATACCGCCACACCCTTCACCGGCACCTCCGCTGACAACTCCACGTGTTTCCCATCCACTGAAAGCGCCACTCGCAATTCCTTGGGAGCCTGCAGGTGGACATATCTCAGCGGTTCAGGCCAATTGACATAGCGCGCCACTTGCTCGCCGTTTTCAAGGAGATATGCCGCGACAACCGTACGGTTAGCCTCTTCTCCGTCCTTGGTTTTTTTCCCCTCTTCATCCGTGGTAGGTACTTCCAACTCAGCGATCTCCATACTCCTATTCTCTTCTAGAACGAAACGGTCGTGAAGTGTTTTGGAGTAAATCTCGCGGCCCGTGATGACGTCCCAAGCCTTAAGTATCACACTCACATTTCTCGGGTTAACCGTGAGGTTTGATGCCCATATCTCGACTTTGTGCGTTGTCTTGTAGTAGGCGTTCGTGTACTTGTCCGCGTATTCAGTGTGGGAGGTCCGTTTTAGGCCGATTGTGATGGGGGCCAGTTCGCGCTTTACTGCGTAGAACGCATGCTTGGGACGGAGATGGTAATCGACAAGGGCCCAGGATGTGACAGGCCAGCAGTCGTTCATTTGCCAGACCAAAATGCCAGCGCAATATTCACGGCCTGGCCCTTTCCACTGACGTTTCCAGAGCCGGTAGGCACTGGAAAGGCATTCTGCTTGGATGAGCTGCGTAGCGTAGATGTACTGTTCCAGGGGCTCGAGGTTGTATCTGATGTTTTCGGCCAGGTAGATGGCAATGCGGCGCTCGTGGCCTGCGGCTTTGTTGTGGAAATCGACGGTGGATGATTGCGCGTGTCTCTCCGGGTCCACTTTACCGCCTGTTAGGTATCCATCAATTGTCCTTATGTCGGGGAAGCCTTGCAAGCCAAATTCAGACACGAATCGGCCGCCGAGTTTATCAAAGTCTTGATACTTCTCTTGCGTGCCGTGCCAAACTATATATTGATGAAATTAATATTTTAAAATAGCCGATGAGACAGATAAAGCCATGCTTACCATTCCACTGGTGGATATCGCCGATGGTGGGATCGGCTGAAGTTTTCCCACCCCAGGGCGAGCCGAAATGATAGTACGTATCTGGTATCAAATCCTTCGTCACGTCAACCAAGACCTTTTCGTAAATATATCGTGCTGGGAACTCAGACTTTAGCCAGCTGTCAGGATCATTGTTGCTGGGGTCCCAATTCAAGTTCTCGCTCTCTGCGAACTGGTAGTCTTCATTGTTTCCGGCCCATAGCACTATTGAAGGATGATGTCTAAGGACCTTGACATTTGCAATCGCCTCGCGCTTCACATTCTCAAGAAAGCTTGGGAACACTGGATAATTTCCACAGGCGAAAAGAAAATCCTGCCAAACCAATACACCCAGCTCGTCGCAGGCGTCGTAAAATGCTTGTTCCTCGAATAAACCGCCTCCCCAGACTCTGACCATCATTTGGTTACCGGCAACCATCAGTTTGACCCAGTCATAGTACTTCTGGGGTGGAATTCGGGGTATGAAGTTGTCCGCGGGAATCCAGTTGCTCCCGCCACAGAAAACCGGAATATTATTCACTTCGAAGAAAAAGGAAGTGCCTTCCGCACCATCCATCTTTCTTTGGATAAGCTCGGCTCTCCTTAAACCAACACGTTTGCTAGTAGAATCCAGCTTGACTCTATTGGATGATAGCGTTGCAGACAGCGTGTAGAGAGGCTGTTTACCATATTTTGACGGGTACCACAGTTGAGGATCTTGAACGTGGAAGGTCACTGACGCGATACCATCCTTGATATCGACTGTCTCTGAACCTTTCTCTTCGTCACCCAAGGAAATGTGGAATGCCACATTATCTGCGTCGCCTTCTACCTCTGCAGTGACAACCAATTTCGCGTGTTTCAGGGATTTGTTCACATTCTGCCGGAAATGGAGGTCTGAAATTCTGGCCTTGTAAATTTCCAGATTGACAGGACGCCATGGTCCGCAAGTCATGAGAGTCGGGCCCCAGTCCCAGCCCTACAGGAATATGAGTGAGTAAACCATGTTGAGTTTTCCTGGGGCAGAACAGAGCAATCATACATAGTGATACTGCGCCTTTCTCACTGCAAGACGGCTACAGTCTCCATTCCAGCAACCCCAGCGATGCTCTGGGTACAGCTCTTTGATCTTCTTTCCGAGTAGAAATGTGCTCGCAAACGTGATGCTTAACACATTTGAACCCTTCGATTCTCGAAGCAGCTCAGTAACATCTACCCGCTCAGGTATGAACATATTTTCCGTTTCGAGGATCTTCGTATCATTTAGAAGTACAGTGGCATGCGTATCAAGACCGTCGAAGGCCAAAACTGCCTTCTCCCCGTCTCTAAGCGGCGGATTATCGAAGGAAGCTTTGTATAACCAGGGCTTCTCTCCAACCCACTGTACAGCAAGCTCATTCTTGCCAATGAAGGGGTCGGGGATAAGCCCATGGTGCATCAGGTCCAGATGGACGTTTGTTGGGAACTGGGAAACGGATAAAAACTGGGCCTGTTCATCGTCTGCCTGCTTGAAAACCCAGCCCTCGTTGAGGGCGATAACGGTGCGTTCGGACATTTTGGGTTGAAACTATGATGATATGATAAAATGAGGACCTTTTAACCAGTGGCTAGGATGTAGCTATGGGCATTATTGAGCTCTTCAGAAACCAATCTGAAGGGAGATCGTAGACACATATATATACATATGTTTGCGCTTGAAGCCTATTTACCTCAACCTGAGTGCAACGCGGGCCAAGGACTAATAACCCGCATGGTAATGTTCCAGTCGAGAGCAATATCAACCCCGCAAGAGACCAAACCCACAGCTATTGCTTGCTTATGGGTCCCTCTTCAAGCAGATTAAATAACGGATTGTTATCGGGTTCCACAACGATAGGAATTATTAATATGATGTCCTGTGTGCTCCACGAAGGATGGGTAACAGTTGTTGCATCCAGGTGCAAACCCGGAAAGGAGCTTCCCCGATTAAATAGTTGCCTAAGGGAAGGTTATTTAACTCCCAAGTATTTAAAGACTCCATAGTTTCATATTTAGTGCACTTTACCTCTAGATAACTAGTTATATGACGCAGCTGAAGAGCCAGCGCTTATCATTGCCATATGCTGTACGGAGTAACGTATAACTACGGAGTACTGTTATTAGTGGGATTGACGGAAAAACGTTAGCAAAATAGATAGTTAGATGATAACCTGTGAATATAGATCAATTGATGCATTTTGTAGTACCATTAAGCAAAGTGTAGACGGCTCTTGTAGTTAACTATAGTTGTTTGTCTGGTGAAGGCTGATATGGCCAAAAATAACTCTGATCGTAGTATTTAAATATAATAGTGTGATATTTAGTTAACTGCTCGACCCCAGTATTATTATATTTAAATATGTAAATAGCTGCAAAGCTAGCCGGCTCAATTAATCATCCTGAAAGCCGCCGGTTCCAATTGTGCCCTCCGGTGTGTTTCTCATATCATCGTCACTAGATATTTCTTATTTTTTTTTAATTTTTTTTCCCTTTCTTTTCAGCACAATGTTCCGCACCCACTCTGCCGCTTCGACGGCTATACGGGCCGTTCATCACACACAAACATCCATCTCCACCGCACATCCCGTTCTCGCACGTTGCTTTCGACAACAGTCAAGACGGTTTGGGACCACTTCGCGCTGTAAGGAGGAGAGGCCGTCGTTCAAGGGTCAGCTATACGAAAGCACGCAGCAGCGATTGGTTAGAGAACGCGCAGAGCAAGCTCGATATGCCAGAGCTCAACATGACACCTCTCCAGGCATTCGGGCTTTTGCAATGACAGTGGGTATGTGGAGTTGTTTGCGCGATTACGCTCTACATTAAGATCCTTCTACGGCCAATTGACAAACGGACTTTTCGCAGTGCTTGTATCCGCATCGTTGGGCTGCTACTATCTCGGATCTTTGAAACCCGGCAGCCTTCCCACCACCTCCACGACCCCCCTGGCTGACACCCGGCCTCCGCGCCATGACACTTCTCCCTCGACCCTCCAGGCCGCATGGGCCGATTTCGTCGAGATTGTCGGCAAGGAAAATGTCTCCACTGCAAAACACGATGTCGACGCTCATTCTGGCTCGGAGTGGTCCTCGTACGCCTACAAAGAACATGAAAAACCATTCCTGATCGTATACCCCTCGACAACCGAGGAAGTTTCCCGGATCATGAAAGTCTGCCACGAACGACTGATTCCAGTGACGCCCTATTCTGGTGGGACTAGTTTGGAAGGGCATTTTACATCTACGCGAGGGGGTATCTGCATTGATTTCCAGCGCATGAGCAAGATACTCGCTTTACACAAGGAGGATTTGGACGTGGTGGTTCAGCCAGCGGTGGGCTGGGAGGACTTAAATGAAGAATTGGCGAAGCAGGGCCTTTTCTTCCCTCCTGATCCAGGGCCCGGGGCAGAGATTGGCGGAATGATTGGCACTGGCTGCTCGGGAACCAATGCGTACCGGTACGGAACGATGCGAGAGTGGGTTATCTCGCTAACAGTTGTTCTCGCTGACGGAACTATAATCAAGACCCGACAACGCCCACGCAAATCAAGTGCAGGATATGACCTAACGAGACTCTTCATTGGCAGCGAAGGCACCCTGGGCCTGATCACAGAGGCAACCTTAAAAGTGACAGTCAAACCTAGAAGTGAAAGCGTAGCCGTTGCTTCATTCCCGACTATCCACAATGCAGCTGAGTGCGTGGCGAGGATCGTAGCGGAAGGCATCCCCGTTGCAGGCATTGAGATCCTGGATGATGTCCAGATGAAATGCATCAATGCTAGCCAATCTACAAGTCGGACGTGGAAAGAAGCACCTACGCTGTTTCTCAAATTCACTGGTACCCCGTTGGGCGTCAAAGAGCAGATCGCCCTCGTGAGGAACCTTGCGACCTCAACTAAGAGTCAATCATTCGAGTTCGCTCGCAATGATCAGGAGAAAGTTGAGCTCTGGAGTGCGAGAAAGGAGGCTCTGTGGAGCGTTATGGCGATGAAGCGGAACCCTGACGATCGTGTATGGACAACTGATGTTGCTGTCCCCATCAGCCGGCTGCCAGATATCATCGAGCAGACCAAGGAAGACATTGTAAAGCAGGGTCTACTCGCGGGTATTTGCGGGCATGTTGGAGATGGGAATTTCCATGGTGAGATTAAATACATGCATCCTGCGCCTTATGACCACTTTTGTTTATTCCTTTCTACCGCGAAAACGTATTTTTAATGCTAATTATCTGTGTCATAGCTATCCTCTTGTTTAACAAAGAGGAGCGCGAAGCTGTTGAAGGGGTCATCCATCGCATGGTCAAAAGGGCTGTGGAAATGGAGGGAACTGTGACCGGTGAGCATGGTGTAGGTCTTATCAAACGAGACTATCTCCCACATGAACTTGGTGAATCGACAGTGGACGCAATGAGAAGGGTAAGCTTCCCGGTCCTTGTCATTTCTTTGTTCCTTACCCACCTGCAAATACGATTTTCTAACTTCCACCAGTTAAAACAAGCTTTTGACCCGCTGTCACTCTTAAATGCCGATAAAATTGTCCGGATAGAGCCTCCAGGTGTTGGAGAGGTCAAGGCATGGTAGCACGTCAAAATGTTTGGTTGACATGGGCGCGGGATATCATTTAAAATGGTCTGTAGCCAATGCCATCTAACTTGACATTTTGCGCCATATAACCACCGATGGAGCTAGGTATCAATGCCACTGGGCGTTCCAATATTCCTTCCTGCAAGTCGGATATCAGATCAAGCTACTATTTTGCGAATCGTCTAACGAATCGCCAAGTAAGACGCATATCCGTACGTCTTATATACCTAGTTAGCCATTCTCGCGACCTTTCGATTGCAGGATTTTCCTGTTGGATTTTCTGGCGAAAAAGTGAATATCAATCGACGTTTGTAAATAATCAACGCATAATATCACGCTTGTACTTTCATATATATATATATATGTATATATATATATATTCATATGGCTATTCATATGGCAAGGCTTGCTTATAGTCTCGTCTTCATGTTTGTCCACGAAAGCACGTCATACTTTCTTCGATCAAATCTGCCTTCCCAAATACTCTATTTTAAACACCAGCCATGGACCTTCCGTCTCGTGTCAGTAAATACACATACGGAAGACGGGAGGGGGCTGCGAACTGGCACTCGTCACTCTCCGTTTCCTCATTCTATTTCCCAGGTCTGTTCTCTTCCTCCATGCCATTTTTTGTCTGTGATTGCATCCATCACGGGTTCAAGAGTTCGAAGATACGTCCAGTCTTCTCAGCATTGAACTATTTTTTTTACCCGCGTTGCTATTTTTTCTTGTTGCATTTCTTACATGCCGACATCACAAACGTTCTTTAAAGACGCCACCTAAAGGAAAGCTACAAGAATGCATCCCTTAGTGACCCGACACTGCATGGGCTTCGTGTGCTGGCTTAGGGACAAATTATCTCCCCTACTCCCTCTAGACATGCGCAATTTGCTTTTCGCCCGTATCGAAATACTCAATGAGGTGATGCAGGATATAGTGCGTTTCCCTCCCTCCCTAGCTCGCTTTAAGCTTCAAAGATGGCTGCTGGGTCCTATTCATGAGGTAGGGCGTGGCTAGACACTGAATTACTGGGTGCTAACTGAAGGTTTGTTTATTTTGATTTCTGCTTTTAGCTTCCTACGGACGAAGTGAGACCAGAAGATGTAGTTGGAATGTTCAAGTTGAAGTGTGATAAGGATCCGAGTATTTGGGATTTGCCGTGTATGGATATCTCCACTACTTGAGTAAGGGATTTGCCCACTACTTTGACTGCGGATCTTATATGCCTGGATATACTGGAAAGTGTACAATCTCCACCGCTAATTACCCAGGCATAGGTACTCTCCTATCCGATCTCGATCATATCAGCTCCGGCCGCAAAAGTGAAGGTCTAGTCCGTTGTCGCCTGAGCCTCATACTATTGAACTGTCTTGCAGCAGAGGAACGATGCTATAATGCTGTCATCTCAGATCAGTCTATTGCTCCTCCTGATTCTGAAATCATTCCTGGGCAAGCATCCCCAACACTATCTGATGCATCTTGGTGCCCCGTGGGGCCGGAGATAGTGCGATTGAGCGTGGAGACGCCATTATCGAGTGCAGTGGAATATAATGGCCGCGCACGCCTACTCTACGGCACGGCAGATTTCGCGCTGTGGTATGGGTCCCGGACGCAAAGGAGATGGCGTCAAATTTGGTGGTTGTAGGTAGCGATGGGTGGGGAGACCACGGCGCGGCAGGGGGAGGGAAAATGTTTGGCCCTTATGAGTATGTATGACTTGTCTGATTGGGGGGCGGGGCATATATGAATTATCGGTTTCTTGTCCCGGGCGTATAAACAATACGTAGAATGCACTTTGCTAACGACGTATGCTGCTTTCTTTCGGGGCTAGGTATCGTGCATTCGAGGCGGAAGGAGGACGGAAGGAAGAACGCTACTGTTTATGGAATATGCAGCGATGGTGTCGAGTTCTATTTCCTCCGAATTGATCACGACTCTAAGGTGAGTGAGGACTCGATATTTACTCTGCACAGGAAATACTTTCAGCTTGCTAAAGTTCAGGGCACAACTGTCGATTTAGTATTCGAGAATTGGTTCAGGACTTGACTGGAACTGGGGGAAATCGTCCGAGATCATATCCCACATACGTAACATTATGCGATTAGCGCTTGAAGGCACACCGATGTCCACGTCGACAAGGGTTGATCAGTTTCCATGAAAGAAGAAAATACACATGAGACTTCAACCTGTATGCTCGATGTTCCAAATACACGCTTGGACTTCACAATGAATCGATGTCTCTTTTCTTCATAAACCTGGGTAATTCTATCATATGATTGGGAGTGTAAGTCGTGTGAATTGTGCCCTTTTTTTAATATGCCTTGGTTGGTTCCGCTTCAAAAAAATGGCTTATTAGACATTTGATAGCAATTGTTAAAGTGGGGGTTACTCGTCTGAAGTTTTTTGTATCAGTTTCTCCGTCTGACATTTCTTCCTCGGAGGTGGTTAGTTACTTGCCCGCAACTATATATTCGCATGCATAGTGACTTCATTTTATTTCTTTCTTTCCTCCCAGGCCATACCAACTCTCCGAGCTGAACATTGGCACCTGGCGGGGAGCAAAACGGGTAAGCGAGTGAGTGCCTAAGAACAAGGGTTTTCCCCTACAATTTGTGCATAGCTTGCTCATGATTCGCCATGCGGGAAGAAATAAACTAGTCAAACTTGCTGCCAGTGACTCAGAAAACCAACCTCCCATCGTTGAAATGGAGGGGTCGTTGGAGGGGTCTGTCGGTGGTGGTTGTGGTGGGGGGCGGGATACTTATATGGCCTGCCATCGCTCATGGTAAGCACTAAAAGGTTATGTGGTTGTGCTCTTCCTTCTTTTTTCCCTCTTTTCCTGATTCTCCCGTGTGGAACTGATCTGGTTAATAGGTTTTTTATTCAGGATCTAAAGCTTTATTTATTTGGGGTCAATACATATACCCACCTGCATGTAGTCTACAGCCAACTGCTACTTGGGCCCAAAAGTAAATAAAACCTTTGCGGCCAGGTGGATGACTTGATACATCTACAAAGTCTTCTTTATAGACAAATAGAAGGTATGTCCTTCTATTCATCTGTTTCATCTCTTACCAGCAAAGCATAACGACCCGGTCAACACTCGAATAATAACAATTGACCAAGATTCGTTATCGACAATGGATACCAACAACCCCTCCAACTCTGGGGAGGAGCGATCTAAAGGTGAAAGGCCATCAACACAACTACTACCTCCGGCAAAGAGGGTGAAAACCAGCTCTATGGACTCTAGCTTCCCAGTCCTCCTGCCAGAAGACCCATGCATACGGATGTCTGACGCAGAGTTTGAGGCGCATATCTTCAAAACCCTTCCCGCTCTCGCTGGCGTAGAGAATGCTGTGCGCAATTTGCAAATTGATACAGGCAAAGACCCCGACTCGGCGGTTGCGGAGACAACAAAGTCAAACACAACTGGCAACTCTTTCGTCGATGCCCTTGACCGCGCCGCTATAGACCCTACCGTCAGCGAGGAAGCCCTGAAAGCCGAAATGGCGCGGAGAAATCGCATGTTGACGACAAACAACGGGATGGCATTTGCGTCAACACAGTCCCCTTTGCTGGAACTGTTTAATTACGTTGACGGTGATGACAGTGATGGCGATCGCGACGACAGTGACACCCTATCACTAGCGGCAATGCTTGAGCAGTCATGGCAGGCCGATTCGTTGATGACGCTCAAAATTATTTGGGCGGTCCGCAGTATTCATTTGGGGAAGGGGGATAAAACTAAGTTTTATCAGCAGCTAGGGTGGCTGGGCCAGTACCATCCACGAACACTTTTGCGAAATTTGAAGTGGCTCTACAGACCTGTGGTTAAAAAGGACGCGAAGGAAAGGGAGGGTGATGAACAGGTTGTTGTTGAGAATGTTGGTGAGGGGGATGAAAAGGACACGGTGGAGGTGGATGATTATGGTGTTATCCACAGCGGCTCTCATGGATATTGGAAAGACTTGCTCAATATTTTGGTCCTATCGGTGGAGGGGAAACTGGACATGAGCAATCCTGACCGAGTACTGTTGGTGGATCATCGAGTTCCGAGGAAGCTGGACGGCACACGGCCGCTGAGAACGGAAACGGGTGGTCGGTACAGAAGAGGGGCAAGGGCAGATGCCCAAAAGGAAAAAAACAAGTCCCCCGCTGAACTCGAGCTTGAACAGAAAGCGGTATCCAGGGCTGAAAAAGCGAGGCGCCGTGAAAAAGTCCTCAACCGCCTCGCCACTGATCCTTTTCACCGCGTCCTCCACTTAACCGTTGCCCGGCTCTTCGCCGAACAGCTACGGAAGGATATGCTCCTCCTTGAATCCGGCACCAAGAACAGCAATAAAGCAGCGCTCCGTGAAATCTCCCTCTGTGCAAAATGGGCTCCTTCTCTAGAACGTTTTCACGACAAATACACCCTCATCGCCTCCACAATATCGGAGCTCCTCTTCCCTGAATCCGCGCTCGGGCCTAACCCCGACTCTACAGGTACCCAATCGCACTCTCGAGAAGTCTACCTCAAGCGTGCTCGTGAAAACTACCGCGCCCACACCCTATCCCCGCTTCGCAAAGCTCTTGCTATCGTCGAACGCGACATCTCCGCCAAAACTTTCTCAAACATTGAATATTCCAAAGTCCCCTCCCTGGCCATGAACCAATACAAGGGCGTCTTCCAGAAAAAAGACACTGAGCGTTTCAAGTGTTACATTGAGGCCGTGCAGAAGGGTGATGCTAAAATCTCCGGCGCCATCCTGACCCCCGGTTTACTTGTGAAAGAAGTTTGGCCACACTATTCGGGAGTTGCATCAGACGATTACGGCGTCGCAGATGCGCAATGGAAGACGCTAGTGCAGCGCATCAAGGACTCTGGGACCCTTAGTAGTGCTATAGCCCTATGTGACGTTAGTGGCTCTATGGAGGACCCTCTGGATCGACACAGAATAGGACCACTACACAATGCCATTGGCCTCAGTCTTGTGATGGCTGAAGTAACCAAACCGCCGTTTGGAGGGCGGATTATCACCTTCTCAGAAGAGCCTAAGATACATATTATAAATGGCATGTCTTTGGCGGAGCGCGTGGAAAACGTACGCACTGTGCCGTGGGGGCAAAACACGGACTTTATCAAGGTGTTTCGGGACTTGCTATTGCCCCTGGCCGTGGAGAATAAGATTCCGCCAGAAGATATGGTCAAGACGGTGTTTGTGTTTAGCGACATGGAGTTTGATGAGGCACAGTGTGACTGGGTTAGGGACGCGGAAAGTGGGGCGCAATGGCAGACCCATCACCAGATTGTCGAGCGGGAGTTTAGGAAGCATGGGTATGAGGTGCCTCAGTTGGTCTACTGGAACCTAGCGGCGAGAGCAGGGGCGGTTCCCGTCACGTTCGAGATTCAGGGGACGGCGTTGGTGAGCGGGCAGAGTCAGGCATTGATGAAGGTGTTTTTGGATGGTGGGATGTTTGGAGAGGAGGAGGAGGAGGACGGGGGAGAAAAACGGGATGAGGTGGAAGGTGATGGGGATGGGGAGTGGGCAGTTGTTCAGAAAGAGGCAAAGAAGAAAACGAAGAGGATGGATCCGATGAAGATTCTTCGAAGGCTTGTTGGGCATGAGGCGTTTGATATGTTGCGAGTGGTGGATTGAGGTTTGTATTCTCTACAACTTAACTTGCCAGAGGAAGTCTGTCAATAACCAGGTCTCGAGAAATGAAGTAACGAAGCAATGAATATCCCTTTAGTTCTAAAGTGCAGTCAGATGTTCCCCTATTCTTTCATCCTTACTTTTTTCCTTTTTGACTTTTTGTTACTATTATGACGACAAAAAATTATACATCAATGATGGTAGTTATTTACTGTTAGAATATTCCTGTAGTTCAATTGTTTTATGCAACTAATCGATTCAGACTGAAGAAAACAGAAAATTGTCCAAATATCATCATCACACCCTCCCGTATCTAGCAAATACCAATTCAATATTTCACCTATACCTTTCTTTCGTTCAGGCCATTCAAGTACCAATCCAACCATGCCAAACAGCCGTAAACAAACCCAAGCATCTAAGAATCACGCCTGTGATGCCTATGCTTACGCCTATGCTTCTTTCCATCATCACTACCGTCATCGCCATCATCATCCTTCTTCTTATGCCGACGACGATAGTCATCATCGCCGCTGTCGTCGTCATGTCGCCTGCGATCACGGCTGCGCTCACGACTACCATGACGGCGCTCATCGTTGCCATAATGTCCGCTTTCGTACCGGCGAGAAGACCTTTCGCGGGACTTGGAGCGCTCACGGTGGCCATGATGCTTGTGAGATGAGGTCCCGTATTCCTGTTGATGGCCGTAACCACCACGACTCTCGCTGCCATAACCTCCACTATAGCCACGAGCCTCACCACCCCGATCCCCTCCGCCGTAACGCTGAGACTCACTGTGCCCATGGCCACGGCTCTCGCTGCCGGAATAGCCACCATGTCCGCCCGCCTCGTAGCCGCCGGAGCTCGCTCTATTGTACCTTTTCGAATCGTGGAGAGAACAAAAAGTTAGTTTTTACCATACATATAATATAGTATGAAAAGTAAGAATTTTTTAGACGAGGGGGTTAGAAAATGAAAAGAGCAGTAGTGGATAACGAACCCTTCTTCAGCACGTCCATAGCCAGCGGTTTCACCATGTTGTGGCTGGCGGTAACCTCCGCTTTGGTACCTGTCTCGTTCGTACCTCTCACCGCCACCCTCCCGTTCATAGTCGTCGCCGTCGTTGTGTTTCTTATGTTCTTTATATTTTTTATCTTTGTCAGCTTTCTTGTCTTTCTTGTCCTTTTTATCCTTTTTGTCTTTCTTATCATTCCCGTCAATCTCATATTCCTTGTCCTTCTTCTCGTCCTTCTTCTCGTCCTTCTTCTTCTCGTCCTTCTTCTCGTCCTTCTTCTTCTCGTCCTTCTTATCCTTCTCGTCCTTCTTTTCTTTCTTATCTTTGTCTCTTTTCTCATATTTTTCATCCTTGTCCCCTTTCTCCTCCTTATCCTTCTTTTTCTTCTTCTTTTCTTCTTTATCATAATCCTTGCCCTTGGAATGGGAAGAATGATAATGAGGATCTGAGTAGTTGTCTTTCTTCTCCTTATGGCGCTTACCGTCATCACGTTCCTCGAATTCACCACCCGCGGCGCTACCAACTATCCCTCCAACCAAACTCCCAAGCAATCCGCCGCCAATAGCTTTAGAAGCCATTTTTTCTATGTCTGAAGCGCTCGACTTCGAAGTTTTAGCTCTTAGGCCTTCGAGGCCGAACAAATCCAGGGCACCTCCTGCGACGGGGCGGTCGCGGTTAGGGAGACCCATTGGTTTGCCACAACCGTGGCCGGAGTCGTGAACACCAGGCTTATGATTTTCACCATTCTGCACACCTTCTCTGCGGAGTTGCTGACGGAGTGAGTCCTGGCCGCGTCTCCCTTGTTCGTTCCACCAACTCTCGACAACTCCGAACATAATGCCGCGCATCTCTTGTGCGCCATCTTCTCCGTACTCACGCAGAGCAGGGTGGTGAAGGACGCCACTGATAATCCTATTCATCACACGGTCAACGTCGACGCTTTCGTCATCCCAGCATTCCATGATCTGGGGAACAACCCATCTCACAATCTCCGAAGCAGCCTCTGGAAACAATAGATCAGTTAGTAAGCACACTGTCAGAGATCGGGTGATGTTCCCGGCAACTAAATCTGGAGGGATGGGAGAAAAGGAGTGGGGGTTAAAATAGTAGAAAGAACTGACTTCCAGCAGGCTCGTTCAAAACATTGCTGAAATGGTCCTTGGAAAGCATGGAGTGAGTCGGATCGGTACAGTAATCATCAGTAAAGGTGTTAAATTGCTCCTGCTTGCTGTTTTGGATGACCTCCGATGAACCCGTTTCAAGCTCCTGCTTGACCTGTCTGATGATCGGGAGAACATAGGGGGCCATAACGGAAAAGACAAAAACGGTAATCTGCTCCTGTGCCTGTTCAATCAGCTCGGGAAGAACGGGTATCTTGTCGATTGCCTCGTTGATCGATTTCATCAAGTTGTCATGCCATTCCAGGAGGGGGTACATCTGTTGGTGAACATCATTCATGTAAGTGGCCCATGCTTCGGACTCGCGAGGAGTAATATTCTCGTTCCGCTGCTTGGTGGACTCAGCATTGGACTGGAACTCATTCATTTTGCCTGTGCTGTCGTCACCCCCGAAGAGACTGTCGGGGATCTTATCGAGGAGGGCCTGGAGAAATCCTTCCTGTGGTTTTTGGTTTTCGGATTCCTTGATCAGGCCCTCCAGGTTTTGGATTTCCGACTGCGTTGCTTTATCAGAAATTTCTCCCATAACACTATGGAGGAAGTCAACTACAAGGTAGAGAACATGTCAGTAGTGCATTTTTTTGAATGTATTTCCACTTCAATCCGGATGCTCGTTTACTCACCACCGCCGAATGTGCCGGTAACAATGGGATAAACAGGATTTCTAGCTCCTCTGAGTTCAATCATGGTGTTTCTCCCCACATGAGGGAAAATATTAGTCTCGCCTAGCTCAATAAGACTAAGTTCTGTATAGTTGCTATGAGCGAGGTAGTCTTCCAGAGTGTGTCTAGATTATTTTAATCCGTCTGTTAGACAAATAGACACCTAAATATCAAACATAATAGCAGTAAAACTTACAGGCCAGTTCCAAGAAGTCTCAAGGCCTCAAATAAATCAGCCTCTCTGCCGGAGCGCGAATATCTGCGGCCCAGTGCAATGCATTCGCCGAAAATTCTTCTGAGCAGAGTAGCAGAATTGTCGATACCCAGGTCCTCAGTTGCGATATAATTCTTCATACCTAGAAACCGAGATCACAGTCAGCCGCAGCAGTGCATTGATTGAATAATGACGGCTGACAGTCTCTTACCTGTACGAGGATCGATGCCTAACTCTCTCTGTTCGTCAACAGGGCCCCTGAGGCGCGAATAGTATCGACGCGGGTCTTGGCCCTCGCCATATCCCAATGGATTATCGATATGTTCCGTAGGTTGGTAGCATCCGAGGCGATCAATGGTGACTTCAAACTCGCCCGTGCCGTACCTGAAGAAATCATAATTTAGGATAGTTTCAAATCAGGTAAAAAATGATTTCATTCCAGAAGATCCAGTAGGTAGGGAGGGGGTAACAATAGTTAATACCCAAAGCTCATAAATCCCAAAACCCAAAGGAGAAGTCTGATAGCCTCCGCCGAGACATATTTCACGGTACCAATATCGATGGCCTGGCTATAATCCTTTGGGAAAAAGTTAGTTTTCCATGCTGTTTCACAATACCACCAAAAAAGAAAAAAGAAGAAGTTTAATAAAAAAAATGTATGTATATAAGAGCAAAAACCATACCCGAAGCCAATTTCCAAAATAGATACGCTTGAGATGCATTTTTGAAAACTTCTTCCCACCGGCGGACCGGGCCATCAGCAATGTCAGGATCACATCCTCAATATCGCCATGGCGCCAATTCTGACCCTCTATCTTGGATATGGAGGCGATATTGCCAGCTCCGAACGCGTGGGTAGGCCGTGTAAAGAGGAGGAAGAGCAGGCACGTCACCGCGACGGTAGTGGTAGTCGACCAGGCCATGGTTGGGGCTTTTGCTGCTGGATTGGCACACACACACACACACACACCGCCTAGTTGATCTCGGAAAAGGGTTTGAGGGAACGGGTAACGGGCTGCGTTAGGAATGCTGAAGGATATGACGGTTTGTGGTGGTGTTGATTGTTTTGGTATTTGGTAGTTATGGTAGAAGATATTTAGTAGCCCCGCTATTAACTAGTTAACTACCGGGGAGGGATGTATCTCAGTCAAGCCCGCCGGGGAGGTGAATGAGAGTCGGGTTCAATAGCAATCAATGCAAGGGAGAACCCAACAGAGTGTGAAGTTCAAGGGATAGAGATAAAGAAGAAACAGTAGAAGAGGAGGTAGAAGAGGAGTTAGAAGAGGAGGTTATATGTTTGTTGGTATTTGTTTGTTCTAAATGTTTCAGGTGGGGCAAAGAAGGCGGGGTGATGGAGAAGCAAATATACCAATCATCACAGCAAGTATTTAGCCTGACCTTTTTTTTTTCACATCATATATTGACGGCATTGATTCTTATAAAAGTAGGCTTTTTGAATTGCTTGTTCTTTTACTTTTATCTTGTGCTAGAACAGAGCCTGCACTGTATATATATAGAGTGGGATACAGAAGAATAAAACATCTGATTATTCATTGTTATGAAATAAACAACTTCATAATAATTAGCACAAGTTCTGTGCATCATTTTATAAAGTTTAGTAATAATTGTACTTGTAGTTATATACAGAACCTGTTAAACAGCAGGTCTTATCTGATCAGATTAGTGTATACAAGTTCATTCAGAGCTGTTCAGAACTGTACAGGCTGGCACTGTATGAACTGATACAACTCTGGACGGGGTCACTGAACAGGCCCTAAGCGGTATCAAGAGGAGCAGCCTCTGGTCGACACTGAGGCCTGCTCCCACCAAGCACTCCGGAGGCAGAATTACAGCGTCGAATCACTGCTATCCCAACGCTGTTACGGCCTATTGTGGAGTAGAAGAAGGCCACATTGTTCCGAATGTTGACCACTCTGGGCTGGATCTTGATACAAAATCAAGAGTTGTAGTAGTCATTGAACCTACTGTATGCTGCAACTGCTTGAGCACAGTCCCAAGTTTTGTTTTATTCGCCTTAATAATGGGGTATTTCATTCTTATGCATCTCGGGAGATGGCATCTTGACAATTTTAAGCCGATGCATTGCAAGATGTGTGATGTGAATTTAGGAACCCAAAATGATCGGTTTTGTGCATGAGAACTGCTACACAGGTCACTAAATAGAGAACCTGCCTTAAGCCGTAGTCTGCCTGTATTGTACTCATTGTTGTATTAAATTGGAACTTAATTCCTTCCCCTTCCTATCATCTGTCATCTAATCATTAATACCCAATGAGACATAAAGATGGCTTGATTTCAGACACCAGCCGCGGAGTTACCCCATGTGCACATATATATGCCCTGCAAGATGGACATAGCGACTTCCTGCCTAATCGCCTATCTATTCTTGCCACGCGGATTACACTGGATAAAGACCTTAGGCGTACGTACACAAACAAAACATCTGGCTGTCCTTGTTAAGAATTGCGACTAAAATACTCCCTCTAGGAGCGCTGTGCCTTGCAGGATCATCAATCGTCTATCCATTCAGTCACATCCCAGCTTATAGAAAACGAAATATCTTTGTCGCTGACGTCCAAGTAGATCGAGCTTCGCGACTCTTGGCTGGTGACCATGGTACAAAAGGCGGACATGTCCGTTCACTGTATAAATCTTCAAGTGCTATACTGTGTACAAGTATCCATTCGGCACTCTGATGTTTCTTTTGATGAAGAAATGTCGCTCAAGTGTCATGTCAGTGGAGCCAGCCTCATGAAAAGTCAGGGGCTTTGCGACAGGGCCAATCTTTGAAGTCCAGGATGGGGCATCTTCTCTTGAGAAATTGAATCTCCGCTGCTCAGATTTGTCCATTGTGTTATCCCGGCGAATTCCATGTTCTAGTCTCCAATTGAATGCATCAACCAGTGCTTCCACCATGCTAGCAAGGATAGCATAACGGATGCTATCTTCGTCCTGAGGATCTGGAATGCAAGCCAATGACCAGTGAGGCTCGCGATGGGAAAAAAAGTATTCACACTCATAGCCCATCATAATGAACTCTGATGCACAGAGATCCTCAACAAGTCAAAATAGCGAGCGGAGCGGCGTATCACGGATGCGGTAGATAGGGATGTTGGGAAGTTTTCAAATTCCAGACTGATGTTTGTTGTGAAAATTAGGATGTTTATCAATCTCTTCCAGTGATAGAAGTGGATATGGTAAGGAATACTACCATGGAAGGGGCCAAATAAGAAAGAACCATGGATGGGGACAGGCACGAATTCGCCGTAATGTTGGTAATCTCCAATGGGGAATGGCGACTGCCCAGCTGTACTCGGATAAACAGATATTCCGAAGAGCCCATACGTCGCTACAGATAGTTTCTTGTGCAGAAATCTTGGAGAAAGGCTAGGCTATATAGCTGGAAGGGAGGGGGGTTGTATCATCTGAAGGAATGGTGCCCGCTGATGGCGCCAATGCATAATCAAGAGTTTTCGGGGTGCTTGATTGGTTGCTTGAACTTGCCTTCCTAAATCATCACTGGTTGTGCGGAAGTTGTTCTGTATCAGAGGAAACGAAGAATGCGAGTTATTATTATAAGTTATTGGGCCGCTCGCAAATTCAAACTCAATGCACGACGACGGATTGGGCCTTCTTCATTTGAAAGCTTCATTTGTGCCCTGGACGGAAGCCACGGTGCGCCGTCGAAAGCTCGCCTTGTCTTTTGAGGAGCTCATTGTCGCAATAATCGCAATAATACACTGACCTAAGCAACCTTTGAATCACAAAACCTTCTGAAGTAGAAGTATATAACAGTGTTGGAGTATAACATTGACAGAGCTTGTATTATTATTTTTCAAGGATCAAAATATAAGTTGCCTTCCAAGGAACCCCTTAACAACTGAAGGAATAGAAACCGGGAAACCCATTTTTATGCGGCGAGAGGGAAAAAAAAAAAAAAAAAAAAAAAAAAAAAAAAAAAAAAAAAGCAGATATCCATGTGACAGCGTTAGAATAACGTTAAAAGGAAAAGAGATACAAGAAACAAATGAAATCGGAGGCTATCACTCGAAACATGAGGAAAAAGAGGAGCGCATAGGCTGAAATGAAAGGCAGAGAGAAAGGTTAAAAGAACAAGGAAATAAGAAAGAAAAAAACACCCCCACAACAACTTCCCGTCCATCTCGACCCATCCCCATCATCAGCACACAACAAGCAACAACCAACCAGCAATACCTAATTAAAGCTCCTCCGTTCTCTCCCGGGACATCATTTCAGCATCTGCTCCCGCTCAACCTCGTACTTGAAATCAAAATACGGCTTATCAAAATGGTGGACACGCACGTATCCGTCCTCTCCTCCAGAGGCATAGCCAGTGCCGAGCGGGTGCGCGGCAATCGTGTTCAGAGGGCCGAAGTGGCCCTTGACACGGCCAATCTCGTCCTCGAAGATCTTGTGGTAAAACCGGGCTTCGAACTTTCCTTGTCGGGCATCAGTGGTGGTGACGTCCATGGCTGCTTGACCACCGCCGAGAATTACAAAGTCTTTCTTGGTGGTGATGGCGGCGGTATTGAGGGGGGTGTCTGCTACGTAGGTTTTAAGGATGGCGAGGTTTCGAGAGGAGATAATCTGGTGGTTTTGGGGGTTAGGGGCATATCATTTGTTTTTGCTCAGGAGGGCAAATAGGTAAGGAGATGAGGACTGCGGCACATACCTTGGCACTCTTATCTTTGCATGCAGTGATGAAGTAAGTTCGGTCAGGGGAGAATTGGATGTCGTTAATTTGGTAGTCGAATTCATGGGCTTGGACATTTTCGAGCTGCTCTCCGGTCTGTACATCGAAAATGCTAGTTAATATATACAAGGAACTCCTTTGCAAACAAGCAAAGCATATCTTGCTATCTCTTTGAAAAACGTACCTTGGAGTCATACTGGCTGACACTGCCATCCTCATGTCCAGCAATGATATATTTCGACAAGAAACTCCAGCCAGCAACCGTCGCCTTGCTCTCCTCGCATGTGATTTTCAAAGAAGGTTCTTCGGGTTGGTCGTACAAGTTGTTTCCTTCCCCATCACCGTACCGTATATCGAAGACCACAATCGTAGCCAGGTATCCCATTCGCTTCTCAGTTACGCCCAATAACCGCTTGCCATCCGGGCTGAACTCTACCCGCTTGACCGCCGTGGGGAAATCCCACACCTTGACACACTCGCCGGTCTTCGTATTCCACAGTCTGATGGTATTGTCTGCGGCGCCGGTAGCGACGAGAACACTGTTTGGAGTAACATCGACAGTCCACACGGCACCCTGGTGGCCTTCATAAGTGCCTAGTCGTTCACCGTTTGCGGAGAACCATGAGCAGAGAATCTTGTCCTTTGCCACTGAGAAAAGCAGGTCACCGTCACGGTTGAATTTTATTTGGTTGAGAGACCGTTCCTACAATTCCATGTATGTTAGCCAAGGGGAAAAATCAACATAGCTAGGGTGGTTTGGTGTGGTAGCCGGAGTTCTATTAAAATTAGATTTGACCTACATGGCCCTGAAGCAGAATAGGTCTCATTTTGCCGATAGCAGAGGATCACCAGGAGTGATCGCGCGTCAAGAGCTATAGCAAGATATGTAGAAGACACCGAAGATTGCTTGCTACACTCAGGCAGACAAGTGTAATAGACTGTGGAGCGGGATGTGTCGTTGGCTAGGCGGTGGGCTGTTCGCTCGTTTGCTCCCGCTGAAGTCATTAATCTTATTTATTTCCTTTTCCACCGTCGATAATTTTCGTCGCACACTTCGATCCGTGCCAAGACTTAAATTACCGTAACCAGCTGCGGGTGCAACGGTATTACCGGAACTATGATAATCCGACAACCACATCGCCAATTCCAACCTTAAATTTGTCTTTGTCATCAAGGAAAAAACTTTAACAAAAAAAAAAACGGTAAATTGGCGGATTCTAGGGGGGGGAAATTATCGTGAAAAAAATCCGAATCAGAATAATTCAATTGTGTGATCAGCGCTGAGTCAGTAACGTATTAATAGCTTAGAATCTCGAATAAACAATTCATTGACCGTAGATTTATTTCCCATGTAAAATATTTCTTCATTTTTGGCCTAAGCACCCTCCCAATGGAGTCGGTCCAATCATTCATCAGTCCTTTCCTCTGACATCCAGCTTTGACGTTTAGGGGCGCCTTTCACGCGCTCCTTTGACCAATTCTGCCTCCCTCTAGCCGCCGGAAATTAAGTGTTCCCTTATTAAGCCCAGCTCCTGTTCACAGGCCCAGCCGAGGTCATGGTTTTACCTAGCAGTAGAGTTGTTTGTCGCGAACACCTCCGTTTGCCGCCGATCCCCCGCTCCGTGCGGCCCAACTCTCTCTCCTACTACTACCCCTCCATCATCCCTCGAACCCACACTCACCGCTACACGACATCGGCGGCGCGGTGCTTCTCTTCACGCAGTCTCAGGTCTATTATTAGTAGTGGCCCTCGAGCTATCAGTCTGCCTATTTGTACTACCTTCCCTCGTTTTCCGCGAGCGCACTCCTCCCCACGTTTTCCAGCACGAACACGCTCTTTTTCGTCCACGAAATCCAATATGGCCGCCGTCAGGATTGATGGCAATACAATTGCCAAAAACATTAGGGAGCGTCTAAATGCCGAGATTCAGAAGGCGCAGGAAACTAATCCTAGGTTCAAGCCTAGCTTGGTTATTTTCCAAAGTATGCGCCCTATCTTTTCCAATTGCAGGGTTCATTTAGTTACCTGTTCGCATATAAGGAGTGCATATTACCCTTTCTTAAAAAAACTAATTTGAAGCTAATTGGGCTTAATTCCGCATATAGTTGGTGACAGATCAGACTCTAGTATGAAATAGACAATACCCTCCGTCTCCTTTACTTGTTGCGCCCATGTTCTAACAGTAGCTAGGTACTTATGTTCGCATGAAGCTAAAGGCTGCTGAAGAGGTATGTACCCCGCCATCGTGTTCAATTGCAATAGAAGTACAGTACACAAGCTGACTTTGTACTCCCTCCGATTATAGGCAAATATAAGCTGCAAACTCAGCAAATTCTCTGAGGATATCAGCGAACCTGAATTGCTTCAAGAAATCGCACTTGCAAATAACGACCCGAGCGTACACGGCATTCTCGTCCAATTACCCCTCCCAAGCCACCTTTCGGAGCATACCATTACATCTGCTGTCGCTTCGGAGAAAGATGTGGACGGCTTCGGAGCTGTCAATATTGGGGAATTGGCCAAGAGAGGTGGCAAGCCTCTTTTTGTTCCATGCACTCCCCAAGGTGTTATGGAGCTCCTTCGTGTCTCCGGGATTGAGCTGGCTGGTAAGAATGCAGTGGTCTTGGGCAGAAGTGACATTGTAGGAAGCCCCGTCAGCTACTTACTGAAAAACGCGGATGCCACCGTAACTGTCTGCCACTCTAAGACCAAGAATTTGGAAGCCATTGTTAAGGAAGCGGATATCTTGGTTGCTGCCATTGGGAAGCCCGAGTTTGTCAAGGGTTCTTGGCTCAAACCTGGCGCGGTGGTCATCGATGTCGGCACAAACTACGTTCCTGACGCAACGAAGAAATCCGGCCAACGGTTGGTTGGCGATGTTGAGTTTTCTGCTGCTGTTGAAGTCGCCTCGCACATCACCCCGGTCCCTGGAGGGGTTGGTCCAATGACTGTAGCCATGCTTCTTCAGAATGTGGTTAATTCTGCCAGGGCCTACTTCGAGAGGGAAAAGGATAGACACATCACGCCTCTGCCTATCAAGCTTCAAACCCCAGTTCCCTCAGATATCGCCATCTCTCGGACCCAGCGACCCAAGCCTATTACCCAGGTTGCCGCGGAGATCGGCATCGCACCGCACGAATTGGAGCCATACGGACATACCAAGGCCAAGGTTACCCTTAACCTCTTGGACCGTCTGTCCCACCGCCGTGATGGACGATATATTTTGGTGTGCGGGATAACACCAACCCCCTTGGGAGAGGGCAAATCAACCACGACTATGGGTCTTACACAAGCTCTTGGTGCCCACCTCAACAGAATCGCCTTTGCCAACGTCCGACAGCCTAGCCAAGGGCCCACCTTTGGAATCAAGGGCGGTGCCGCTGGAGGAGGATACAGCCAAGTCATCCCCATGGATGAATTCAACCTTCATTTGACCGGTGACATTCATGCCATTACCGCTGCAAACAACTTGCTGGCAGCTGCTATTGAAACAAGAATGTTCCACGAATCCACACAAAGCGATGGTGCGCTGTATAAACGGCTGGTGCCAGTCAAGAAGGGAAAACGAGAGTTCCAGCCCATCTTCCTCCGACGGTTGAAGAAATTGGGAATTACAAAAACAAACCCAGATGACCTCACACCAGAGGAAATCAACCGTTTCGCAAGATTGGATATTGACCCGGAGACTATTACCTGGCGGAGAGTCCTGGACGTGAACGACAGGCATCTGCGAACCATCACGGTTGGGCAAGCTGCAACCGAGAAGGGCCATACCAGACAGACCGGCTTCGATATCTCCGTTGCCAGCGAATGTATGGCTATCCTAGCCCTCAGCAACGACCTTGGCGATATGCGGGAACGCCTAGGCAGAATGGTGGTTGCTACCTCCAAGAACGGAGACCCAGTCACTTGTGACGACATTGGCTGCGGCGGCGCACTGGCGGCTCTGATGAGAGACGCAATTAAGCCAAATCTCATGCAAAGTCTTGAAGGGACGCCGGTGTTTGTCCACGCCGGACCCTTTGCCAATATCAGCATTGGCGCCAATTCCGTCGTGGCCGATAAACTCGCCCTGAAACTGGCAGGCACCGAGCCAGGCGAGGACCATGAAGCCAAGACTGGCTTCGTCGTCACGGAAGCCGGCTTCGACTTCACCATGGGCGGCGAGCGGTTCTTCAACATCAAGTGCCGCTCCTCCGGCCTCGTCCCGGACACCGTTGTCATCGTCGCTACCGTTCGAGCCATCAAGGCTCACGGAGGAGGACCCCCAATCGCCCCCGGCGCCACCTTGGCACCAGAATACACGACCGAGAACGTCGAACTGCTCCGAAACGGCTGCGTCAATCTGAAGAAACAAATCGCAAACGCGAAGAGCTACGGCATCCCCGTCGTGGTCGCCATCAACAAATTCGAAACCGACACGGACGCCGAAATCGCCGTGATCCGCGAAGAGGCCATCACCGCGGGCGCAGAGGATGCTATCCCTGCCAACCACTGGGCGGAGGGCGGCGCCGGTGCCGTCGATCTAGCCAAGGGCGTCATCATGGCCAGCTCGAAGCCCAAGGACTTCAAGATGCTGTATGACCTCCAGGGCACGGTGCAGGAACGCATCGAGCGCATCGGCAAGGAGATGTACGGTGCTGCTGCGGTGGAGTTTAGCGAACTCGCGCAGAAGAAGGTGGATACGTATACCAAGCAGGGATTCGGAAACCTGCCCATCTGCATTGCGAAGACGCAGTACTCGCTCAGCCATGATCCGAACCTCAAGGGTGCGCCGACTGGCTTCACTGTTCCGATTAGAGATGTCAGGCTAGCTGTTGGTGCGGGATATCTGTAAGCCTTCCTCTATTTATATCCTTCAGCCTTCAGATGGTCTTTAGACACTCAGAAATATATACATACAAAAAACAACCTGCTAACAAAGAAATTTCCACAGATACGCCCTCGCAGCCGATATCCAAACCATCCCCGGCCTCCCCACCGCGCCAGGCTATCTCAATGTCGACGTCGATGCTGAGACTGGAGAAATTGACGGTCTCTTCTAAAACCACCTACCCACCTATCCTTTTTTTTTTTTCCCTCTCACCCTAGACCAAGAACTTTGTCTAAAGAACTAAACATAAACTTTCAACACCGGACGACATAACTATTCCACACATAATCATTCAACAAAGTCAAAAAGATATCAAAAAGAAAAAGAATTCCAGAGAGGAATTTCTGACACCGCTAGACGGGGCCGTCCCTGCAATAAAAGATAAGAGCCTTGGAGATAATGCCTAATGCCTCTCCTTCTGTCTGCTATTTTTTGTCTTCTACTCTCTTCATTTTTTTCCCCTTCCTGTTCGTTGTCTCCTTTCTCCGTTATAATTCAACATTGGGCAGTATTTCGGCATATAGCTTGCTTTTCGTTTTCTTTTTTTTTAAAAAAAAAAAATTAGTATTTTGTGTCTATAACGACTACATCATTTAGCATTGTACTCCGTATTGTGAGCACACCTGGGCAGATTAAAAAATCTCCAACCATTTTCATTCCTTCTCATATACAACTTTACCATCTCCAATGTCCGTTTCCACCCTAGATATATATATTGGGTAGGGCACTGGGACCACACAGTCTGTACTGGTAGTTAAGAGGCCGAAGCATTTCATATATATATATATATATATGTCAACACTATCTATCTCTTGAACCTGTGCTACTCTTTAGTGATTTTTCTATGATTCAATTTTGAGGAAGGGAAAAAATCAATAATTAGAGAGAGATGCTCACTCTGAGGTCTTCTCTCTCTCTTCAACTGAGGGTGATCTCCACACAATGAGAGAGATCTTTAAGAAGAAATGATTTTTTGTTGATTTGATTCAGTTCAAATCGGTGGAGTAACATATGTTGGCACACACACTCGTAGCTTAGCAGCAGCAGAGCTTCTAACCACATAAGTTAGAAGAACCTTGTAATCTAATCTGTAGGACACTAGGGAAAAAGAGCTCAATCACCACCAGTCTTTTTACTGGTAAGTTAAGGGGGCTGGAATCATTCTCTGTCGACAGATTGTGAGATATCTGTTACAATCGCCAGCAGGGGGAGGAATGCCCACCTAGGTAGGTACAGTACATAAATTGATGCGTAACACGGATGAGAATGTCAATATCAAATAACAAATGGCAGACAGACGGAATTTGGAGAGGAAATTTATCCCGCGCGGGAAGGAGGATGCATAAATAAAACTGTGTGTGCATTGAGTTTTTTATAAACACTTGCTCTAATAATATATATATATATATATACCTGGGTTACTCCGTATATATAGTTTATAACCCAACCCCCCCCGTAGCCAAACAAATGATAACAATAACAACAATGACCATGATCTGATAATGCTCCTAAATCGCTTGTATCTCCAACAATCCCCGCGAAACCATACCTGAGCAAACAATGCGCCTGTAAAGTGAGTGTTCATCGGGTCAGGTAAGCCTCCTTCAGTCCTGCCTAACCTACCCTACCCTACCTACGCAGCGTAGGTAGTTATTTAACAGTTGATGGGTATTTTCTTTTCTTCCCTATCAATCCAGGCACCGAGCAAACAGTGCCAACAACTTACCTAGTTAGTTAGCTAATAACTATCCATGCTCCCGGATGCATCGGAATGCATCCGAGTATACAAAAGCTTTTTTATTCCCACCTGTAACAAGTTACTCTTTTCCGCTCGGGTTTTCTCGAGGGGCAGCCGAGGGGATAACTCGGCATTATTCGTGTTGTATGTTAGATCAATTTCTCAGCTCCTCTCTGGAATGAATAATAATAATAATAATAATAGTAATAATAATAATAATAATGCGTGTTTCACTGTTTCACTGTATCCAGCAATAATAATGATAATTAGCTTATGACCAATGGCAATTATGTACAAATCTTGTTTCTGTTATCAGCACCCCTCCTTTTTTGTTTCTTGGCGGCCCCTTGGTTTGCATATATACGGAGTAGAGAAGTGAGATTTGACTTCCACAAAAGACATACAATGTATATAGATAGATAGATAGATAGATAGATAGAGATAGATAGATAGTATGTATGTTACATATCTTTATCAATCAGGGTTCAAACAAACAGAGGAAACATCGAGGGTAGGTAGGTACCGTACCTACCTGCTGCCCCCCCTCACGTAGCCAGCGCCCAGGTGTTGGCCCGTGTGGGGGTTACATCGATGTCACAGACGTCAACAGACAAGTGACTGCATGTATCAGAGCCCCACCCTAGCCGAATTCGGTCTAGCGTTTCCTACGTCATATAAGGTTGCATCACGTTGGGCTTGGCGGTAGACTTGGCGTTGGCGTTTGGGCGTTGGACGGCTGAGATAAGCACCGTCGATGTCCACTAGCCACTAGCCGAGGTCGGTCCCTTTCGTCCGCGCCGGAGTAGCAGCCAATCAGTGTGCTGGAAGGGGCAGCCGAGGCGCGCGCTGTGACTGGATCGGGACAGTTTTGCCGGCGCTGGCCGCGCGGAGAGAGGAAATTTGGCAGCAGCAGAGGGAGGAAGTGGAATTGTTTAGCTAGCGAAGCATCTGAGCCACAGCCACAGCAACAGCAAGCAAGCAACAGCAAGCAACAGCAAGCAACAGCAGGCAACAGCAGGCAACAGCAGGCAGGGGGAATCAACGTCGCAAGAGACGAAGCGCTAACTACCTGACACAGGTTGTTGGTTGGCCTCACTGTCCCCGCGGTTGTTGTGGTTGCTGCCGCGGATTCCCGATTCTCCTCCTCCCTCCGTGTTCCTCCTCATCTTCTCTTCTCTTCTCTTCTCTTCTTCCTCTCCTCTCCCTCTCCGGCACTGCTGAAAGAACCCTATATCAACACAACTGAAAAAGAAGAAAAAAACCCTCTCGCTCTCCCTCCACCAAGGCCCCACTCAGGGTTTTTCTGTCTTTTTTTGATTTTTTTTTTTTTTTTGACCTGCTACCGATCGATTCCCACTCGACCCTGTAAATCAAACCCAGCGTGTCCACTTTCCCGGAAATCTACTGAGCAACCAACCAGGCAAAGCAAAGCAAAGCAAAGCAAAGCGGATTTTCTTTCCCCTAGGAAAAAATAAAAGGCAGACGCAAGAGGATAAGGGGGAAATAATAAAGAAACCAGGAGCGAAAGAACTCAAAAATTAAGCAGCAAAAAGAACTGGAGCTTGGATACAGTAATTACACATACCATACCTGAACCACTGATATTTGTACTGATTTATCTCGGTTGCTTCTGCTGTGCTGCTGCTGTCCGCGTGTGTCCGTCTTACATTTATTATTATTACTTATTATTGTTGTTTGTTGTTTGTTGTTTGTTGTTTGTTGTTTGTTGTTGTTGTTGCTGTTGCTCCTAGATAGCCATGTCTGCTCTTCGGCCCGCTTCCGTTCATACCCGACTGCCCTTCTTGTTCTCGACCTCTGCTTCCTCTTCCTCCTGCTCCTCCTCCTCCTCCTCCTCCTCCATTTCTTCCTCTTCTCACGCTCTCCGCCGCTCTCTATCCACTTTCTCCCATCGTTCATCTTCATCTTCATCATCTTTGTCTTCCTCCTCCTTCTTGCGCCTGACGTCTGGTCTCCCGAAACCATCGTCCTCCCCACTTCTCGCCCGCTCCACTGCCACCATCATCTCCCAGAGACCCTCCTGGGCTATCCTCCCTTCAGCTACACAAACTCGCAAAATGACGGGCCCACGCCGGAAGATCAAGGTGAAGAATCCAGTGGTGGAATTGGATGGTGATGAGGTAGGTTGCTTTGCCTTTCTTCTTTTTTGCCCATACCCCTCCACCCCGCATCCCATCCCCTTGAAAGACCTACCTCCCTCGACGTGCAGTACAACCCAGAAACAACCCACAGCGTCAATTCCGTGTAGTACCAAGGCAGGGACCGTCGTGGGTGCTGAGGTATATTTTTATTAGTGGCTGTGAATATTTATATCTTAATATAAAGTCGCGGGATCAATGTATAAAAGTGTTGCATTGTACTGGTGCAAATCCATTTTTACTTGTGAATAACGGGGACGACTAACCAAGAGATCTAATCTAATAAAAACTAGATGACAAGGATCATTTGGCAAGATATCAAGGATAAAGTAAGCATATACTCCCTGATTTGCTGCTTTCACCTTTTTCTTTTTTCTTCATGATTTGTTGGCCACAAGCCCCGAAGTAACTAACCTCCTGGTCATATTCAGTTTATATACCCGTCAGTCTGATTGGTCCCCCCCCTCCCCCAGATGATCTCCCCGCTCTCCCTCTCTCGGTAACTCCCGCACAGGCATCAGGTAGATCCGGCATACTAAGGCTTTTTTTTTTTCCGCGTTCTCAGATATCTTGATATCGATCTCAAGTATTATGATCTAGTATGTGGATCCCTCCCCCTTTCTTTTTAATGCTCCGAATCGTCCTCGGGGGCATGGATACTAACATGAATGATTTTTGTAGGGCTTGGAATATCGTGATCAAACTAATGACCAAGTCACTATCGACTCTGCAGAGGCCATCAAGAAGTACGGAGTAGGCGTCAAGTGCGCTACCATTACTCCAGATGAGGCCAGAGTTGAAGAATTTAAGTTGAAGCAGAGTGAGTGAACTTATCAATTTTGTTAGCTTTTTCTTTTCGACTGCTGCTAATGTATTCGACTAGTGTGGCTATCTCCAAATGGAACCATCAGAAACATCCTGTAAGGCTTGCTCATTCTACTCTCTCTTAACAAAAATGAAACTCACTAATATTCTCCTCCCAGAGGCGGAACCGTTTTCCGTGAACCAATTGTCATTCCTCGCATCCCCCGACTTGTACCAGGCTGGAAGAAGCCAATTATCATCGGTCGACATGCCTTTGGAGATCAATATCGGGCAAAGGACCTCGTCGTCCCTGGCCCCGGTAAACTCGAGCTCGTTTATACGCCGAAGGGCGGCCAACCCGAGCGCATCAACGTTTACGACTTCGAAGGCGGCGGAATCGCCTTGAGCCAATACAACACAGACGATTCCATCTCTGGCTTCGCGCATGCCAGCTTCAAGTTAGCCTTGTTAAAAGAAATGCCCCTCTATATGAGCACCAAGAATACCATTCTCAAGAAATACGATGGCCGGTTTAAGGATATCTTCCAGGAGATCTTTGAGGCGAATTATAAGAAGGACTTCGATGCCAAGGGCATCTGGTACGAACACAGACTTATCGACGATATGGTCGCCCAGATGATTAAGAGCGAAGGTGGCTTCGTCATCGCCATGAAGAGTAAGCCAACCATTAACATTTCCCTTGCTCAAAATTCCCCTCCACACACGCACTCACTAACAACAAACCTCTAAACAGACTACGACGGCGACGTCCAATCCGACATCGTCGCCCAAGGCTTCGGCTCCCTCGGCCTCATGACCTCCACCCTCACAACCCCCGACGGCACCGCCTTCGAATCCGAAGCAGCCCACGGCACCGTCACCCGCCACTACCGCGAGCACCAAAAGGGCAACGAAACCTCCACCAACCCCATCGCCTCCATCTTCGCCTGGACGCGCGGCCTCATCCGCCGCGGCCAGCTCGACAACACCCCTGACGTCGTCGTGTGGGCCGAGCAGCTGGAGCGCGCGTGTATCGATGTTGTCGACGAGGACGGGATCATGACCAAGGACCTTGCGCTGGCGTGCGGTCGAAAGGATCGGGCGGCGTGGGTTACGACGCGGGAGTATTTGGAGGCGGTGGAGAGGCGGTTGCAGAAGAATTTGGCGAATGCGAAGTTGTAGAATGATCTGGGGGTTTTATTTTGACTTCATCTTTTTTTTCAAGAATACTTGTGGGAATTAGATTGGATAAAGACCCGTTTAGATATAAAATCTTTATAAATGGATGGAAGAAAGAAAGAAAGAAAGAAAGAAAGAAAGAAAACGTGGATTATTGGAGAGAACTTACCTCAGCTTTCACAGTACAAGAGGTGGACTAGCTCCTTAATCCCTCTTTGGCCCTTTTTTTTCTTGAAGTCTACCTCACCACAAGATGTTTCCGATATAATCCGCGTTTTGTCCTGATTTGATTCTTGTTTCGTTGCTCTCAACTTTTGCCTTGTCAATTTGTTCTTTTGTTTCTTTTTTGTTTCTTTCTTTCTCCACTCAGCATTTGGCCTACCTATGTACAGTACATGTCCCAGTAGAGACATGTAACGTACATGTATGTACATATACAGATACATATATATATGGAGTACAGATATAAATATACATAGAATTGACTGGATGGCTGTTAGCTTCTTCTGCGTCTGCGTCTCCTGCTTCCCCGTGTGCTCGTCAGATATTACAGTTTCAACCGCTGAACTATCCCCAACACGCCCACACCCACACCCACACACATACTCTCTCTCTCCCCCCTTCTCATGCCGACGAGGAGCCGTTTTCTTTGCTCCCTCGATCGTCCCACCAACGATTCACAATTCGCCATTGCGTTTTTTTCTGATTGATTGGTCTGGTAGGTACCACTGAGCCATCATGCCGGTTAGAACGGTGTAGGATGTACCGTTCCCTGCCTCTCTATCTAGTTTTTTTTTTTTTTTTTTTTTTTTTTTTTTTTTTTTTTTTCTGTTCCCCCTTTTCGTACGTCATTGCATGCATTCAATTCCGAACTCATGGAAGTAGAGAGAGCGAGAGAGAGAGAGAGAGAGACGCCCTCTAGTTAGTAGTTAAGCCTCCACCATCCGCGCAGATGGGGCGTGGGAGGGAGGGATTTTATTCCTCTTGGACTCAGAGCATTGGGGGTTATTGGGCGGAGAGATTGGAGTTAGACAGGGAGATGTAACTAGTTGTTAGAAAAGGGGGGGGGGGGGGGGAAGGATGGCGTTAAAAGTTTCAAGATATCATTTATCTATCTCATTGGGTTTTTTCCATTTGGAACCCCCGTCCCCCTTCTTTATTTCTCTCTCTCTATATATACAAAGTAGAATACGTTACATGCGTAGAATCCCCAATACACCCACCACCACCCCATTACACTTGCGAACCGGATAACATTGCTTCCTCAAACCAACCAACCAGATCTTTTCTTTCACCCTCTCTTTTACCCACCACCCATCTCCCGCCCGACCTCCCTCCTAGCCAACATCATCTTCATAAACAGAGCAAACAGAGGAAAATAAAAGGCACTGAGCCCCCTCCTCCTCTCCCCTTCATGCCAAAACTTCTGCCGGATTCGATATTCCATCTTCACCACCCGCTATTCTGGGGTCCCTTCGCGCCCCCTTTTTCACTTCGTTCCACCAGATGATGCGCGGCAAAAGCATCTTCTTATTTCGTAACGTTGGCAGGAGTGTACCAGAAGGTCGGTCTCACGAATCTATAAATTGGAACGACCATTTAAGTGCGAGGATGCGGTTAGTGATCCAGCATACCCAAATAAAATAAAATACAATACAATAAAATAAAATAAAATACAATAAAATAAAATAAAATAAAATAAAGATAATGCCAAAGTCGCATATTTGCGCAATGGCGAGAAAAAGAAGAAAGAGATATATATATATAACCAAATTGTATATATGTTTTGGAAATGTAAAAACGCACCGGTCCGAATTGTAAACCTTGGTCTCTGATCCCAACAACTCTTTCTCTCTAGCCTTATCCGCCAGGTGTCTGCGGACTTGGTCGCGGTCTTCTTCTGCCTGGAGGAGCGGGATGAGGTGGATGCGGGACCACATCTTTTCTCGTCCGAGTTCACTAGTAGGTGGGAAAGCGCGAACAACGCATACAAGATTAGCAGATGCCGGGTTTGGTAAATGTGTAAACTGCAAGATATGGGGGAGATATCGGGTATCCACATGGGGAATCCGGATAGATCGGGAGAGGAGCGCCCGCGCGGGTGTGTATATACGGGTGTGTGTGTGTGTGTGTGTGTGTGTGTGTGTGTGTTTAGATATCTATCTATGGGTGCGTGGTATGGTGTTCAATGTTCCCTTACTTCTTCTCCCGGATTCCTAGGAATACTTTGTAGAAGCCGTATGCCATGATCAGGTGCATACCGACGAGGTAGTAGACGGGCCGGAAGCCGCGGACGGGGATGTTGCGCTGTAGAAGGGCGTCATTAGCTTATGACCCTGGCATTGGACGATTGACTTGCACTCATCCGGGAATTGGATACAAGGGGAAAAGGCTGTAGGGCGGGTTCAATTGTTGCATTGTGCAATGGGAGTTGAGTTACCTTATACTGGACAGGCTGATAGCCCCCAGTGGGGGGCATGTCCTGAGGCATCTTTGCAGTTTCAATTGGCTGGGGTTGGAAGTGTGGCTTCCAAGGGACTATGAAGTTGGAGATAGAAGCCGAGAAACGAGGTTTGAACGGGGTGGTTTGCGTGAAGCTGGTTTGGACGAATCGGGTTGATATCACGTGATGGTAGCTGAACTAGCAAATCCGGCAAACGGGAAATCTGCGCCGCATGATTGGACGGAATTTATTTTCCTGACTACCAGCCTTCTACTCCGTACAGCTGGCACAATTGATGCTTGAGATGAACGGACAATGGAATATGCGGGTTAGCTTTCACTATCGGTGCGCATAGTTAATCTAATTGCTATTGCTGCGTCTCGATGCCTTTTGTACAATTTTTTTTAAAAAGATGGACGAGAGTGAGCGACCGAGAAAGCTACAGAAGACGGCGCACGAGATGACGAGCCCCGCGCCAGAGGAACTAGTTTCCACTGCGAATTCTGTTTCCATCCCAGATGAAATAACAGCAGAGGACCCTGGGGCGACCCAAAGCAATGGCGCTCCCAACATTACCCTCCAATCCATACCGGAGATAGACGAAAATGGCCAGCCGCTCTCGAAAAACCAACGAAAAAAACTTTTGAAACGCGAAAGATGGGAAGCTGGAAAAGAATGGCGCAAGGAGAAGCGCAAGGAAAAGATTACTGCAAAACGGGAGCGTCAGCGCGCTGCAAAAGCGCAAGCTGCTGCGCGGGATGAACTCGATCCGAAGGATACGAGCCTGATGTCGCGGACGGAGCGGAAGAAAGTCGAACAGCAACGATCCATCCTCCTCCCGATAACGTTTGTGGTCGATTGCAACTTTGACGATCTCATGATTGACAAGGAGCGAGTATCACTAGGTTCTCAGATTACGCGCTCGTACTCCGATAATGCGAAAGCGCCGTTCAGAGGGCACATGTTCTTTTCGTCCTTTGATAAACTCCTGAAGGAGAGATTCGATACTGTGCTTGGGAAGCAATATACACGGTGGAGGGCTACTTTTATGCAAGAGGATTACGTGGTTGCGGCTGAAAAGGCCAAGGCGCAAATGCGCAAGCCCACGGGGGGGAAGATGATGGGGATATTTACTGGTAAGGACGGGGTTGTCGGTCCGGACGACGGGGAGGTCATTTATCTCAGCAGCGACAGCCCGAATACGTTGACGGAGCTGAAGCCATATAGCACATATATCATTGGCGGGCTAGTTGATAAGAACCGGCACAAGGGGGTTTGTTACAAGAGCGCGATGGAGAAGGGGATCAAGACGGCGAAACTGCCCATTGGCGATTATATGCAGATGCAAAGCCGGTATGTGCTCGCTACGAACCACGTTATTGAGATTATGATTAGGTGGCTTGAGTTGGGAGATTGGGGGAAAGCGTTTTGTATGGTTTTGCCGAAGAGGAAGGGTGGAGTTTTGAAGGACAAGCCTGGTGAGGGAGAGAATCAGGAAGAGAATAAGGGAGCTGATGATGGTGACGATGCGGTTACCAAAGGTGATACTCCAGCATCTAAAGCTATGGATCAGGAAGCTAGGAGTTGTTCATAACCAAGTCAAGGGTGATCTGGGTTGACGTTCAAGTTTTAGCCGCTAGTATCATTCAAATATGTTTGCAGCGTGAACAACTCCGGGCCAAGTGGAACTGACCGTGTAGCAAATATGATGCCCTCTCACTCCGCATGTAGATTCCATTCGTCAGCTGTGGAAACTTCCTCTCAGTGACGTTTATATCCGATATTCTCTCCTCTTGCTAACTTCTGCTGTGGACAAAGGAATCCTGATTACCTCAGCCAAAGAAAATTTGCCGGAAGAAGGTAAATCCGCGGCTAATGCCACACACCCGTTTTTGCCACGGCGACGGCATCTGCCTTGTCATAAACACAAAATAACAAATAGAGATAAATATTGAACATCCAACTCCTTCACTTCGCTGCCTTTTTGGACCCTCACCCTCCTCACTGAATCCAGCGAATAAATTGCATTTTGGTTCATAGAATACAGGCTTATTTCAGATCGCTTTCCTGTGAAAGCCCGCTCGCTCCCTGGTCCTGCGTGGGACTTTCGAGCAAAGATGTTTATGCTTCGCAATGGTATAGTTAACCCCTCTCCCCGCCACTCAACCACTCAACTTGCATAGCAACCACCCCCAACTTCGCATTCCAATGTGTTTGGAAGGACAGGGATTGTTCAGCTGTTTCTGATAACATCGCATTGGGGTTTCTTTGAAGTTGATACTGACTACTGATCCGTGATCGATTTTTATGATTTTTTAGTGAGCAAATTTGTCTTTGGTGACACTACCAAGGAATCCATAATTGAGATACCCCAAGGCCAGCTGTATATTGTCCGACCGCAATCGCCAAAGGGCTACTCAGAGCTTATATTTCGCGACGCTGCGGCTAGTATCCGTCGCACCGGCCAGAAGTTCCAGTACCAGCTAGTGATCCAGCGCGCCTACGAGGAAGGAGAGGAAGAACTTGTGGGCGACGAAGACGAGGAAGACGCAGAGGGGCTGGGTGGGGATAAAGACGAGAAGACTTTTTTGCTAGACGAGGCTCTCCGTTTCCGATCTGCAGTGCGCGAGGGAGGAGAGAAAGTTCTGGCCTGGCGCGACCTTAGCGGTGACCCGGGCGATCTCTTCGAATTCGTTTGCGACAGCTCAATCACCCCGGACAGAGTTTCGACGTTTTGTCTAGCCGCTGTTGAGTGCCAGTACGAGCGAAAATACCGGAAGAGCTCACAGAAGACGTCAGATCTTCAGGAGTTTTACTTCGACGACGAAAGCCCCATTCCCGACGCCAGTCCAGTCGCAAGCCCTACCTTATCTCGAACGCCGACGACGAAACAATCCACCGCAGCTATGGCGCGAGAAGTAGCTGTGCCAAACGAGACACCATCTGAACCCACGCAAGCGCCCCCTGCTGCTGCCCATCCAGAAGCCACTGAGATCCTGGCGAAAGAAAATGCAGAGCTTCATCTTTTTGATTTTAACAGTGGTACATTCGTTTTACAGGACCCCTCTGTCGTCGCCACAGTCTCGGAAATTGGAAAATGGCAGTATTGGCTTCAGATAAGTGGACAGGACCGTGATTGGTTAGGGCAGGCGGTAGTGGCAGATATAAATCCCGTGTTCAATTTCGAATATCTCTCCTTTATCTTCAATCACTACACAGAGGATGGGTCGGCATATTCGTGGCTCCTACGTTTCAAAAATCAGGCAGTCGAGGAAAGATTCCAGGAGGGTCTGATGCAAGCGTTGTGGGAGCAGTTGAATGAAGTTAAATGGGCGAAATCAGAAGAAAATGATAGAGAGTATGTACTTGAGGCTTTCAACGATCTCACTATGGAAGACGTACCCGAAGAGACAGAAGAGGAGGACGAGGAAGAGGTCCTTGAGGAGGAAGAAGACGTTGGCCAACGCAGCGAATATTACGATACGGACGAGGAGGACGACGACGTTCTTACCCGGGATCAAGACGGAAACGTCAACTCCCAGCTAGCTGTGGGGTATAAACACGATCGATCGTATGTTGTTCGGGGATCCAAAATTGGCGTCTTCAAGCATACGCCAAACAATAATCTGGAGTTTTCTACAAACATCTCCAAGGTCGAAACGCCAGGTGGAAAGCTCTTCAGCCCCAAGAAAGTCATGCTTCATTGCGAGGATTCAAACATGATTTTGCAGAATGAACAGGATCCTCATTCCTTGTACAGAATGGATCTTGAGTACGGGAAAGTTGTTGATGAATGGAAAGTTCACGATGACATTCCCGTAACTTCATTTGCGCCTGAAAGCGTACGTGTTTCCCTTTTTATTTTTCGCCCTTTATATTCTAAAACCTCTAATGTTCTCAAACTAACTGTTATCTAGAAATTCGCCCAAATGACCTCCAACCAGCAATTCGTTGGTATTTCTCGCAATGCCCTATTCCGCATCGACCCTCGCCTCTCAGGAAACAAACTAGTGCAAAAGGACCTCAAAGAATATGTCAAAAATAACGACTTCTCTGCCGCTGCGACCACAGAGCAGGGCTATGTCGCAGTCGCCTCCAATAAAGGTGACATCCGCATGTTCGATAAGTTTGGCGTGCGGGCGAAGACGCACATCCCTGCTCTTGGTGAACCAATAATCGGTCTAGATGTTTCCGCCGACGGCCGCTGGGTCCTAGCTACATGCCGCACATACCTCCTTTTGGTCGATTCTCTTCAAAAGGATGGCAAAAATGAGGGCAAACTCGGCTTCGAGAAATCATTTGCAAAGGACTCCAAGCCCCAACCACGCCGACTAGGCCTGCAGCCGAACCACGTCGCTCAGTTCCAACACGAGACCGGCACTCGCATCTCCTTCACGCCCGCCCGCTTCAATACCGGCCGCGACTCCTCAGAGACGTCAATCATTACAGCCACGGGGCCGTTCATCGTCACGTGGAATATGAAGAAGGTGCTTCAGGGCCGCAAGGACCCCTACACGATTAAGAGATATGCAGAGGAAGTGAAGGCGGATAACTTCAAGTATGGCAGTGATAAGAATGTTATTGTTGCGCTGCCGAATGAGGTCAATATGGTTGCGAAGCAGACGTTTAGGAGGCCGACGAGAGAGAGTATTGCGGGTCCTGTCCGACATAGCACTGGGCGGAGAAGTAGTGCGCGCCTTGGGAGGAATGAGGTAGTAAATAGTCCTTATTAATTCAATTGGACCGGAGCGGTTCTGCAAGGTGTTGGACCTTTTTTATTTTTATTTTTATTTTTATGCTTATTTTGCTATTTTCTTCTCCATTTCCGGTGGTCATTTTCTTATCCAGTTCAGCAGTCCCCTTTTTTCCTTAACATCACTTTTTTCTTCCAGTCTTGACCTGGGGCAGCCACTGATGGTATGTGGTTATTTTCTACATCTTCACAAGCTCAGGCGTGTGTTTTCTTTCTTTCTTTCTTTTTTTTTTTAAGTTGAGCTTTTTATTCTTTTATTCTTTTATTTTAATTTTCTACATGTATTTTTTCATCTTTATTCGTGGGTTTCTATTTCCCATTAATGTTCCCTTCTTCCCTTCCCTCCCTCCCCATTCCCCTCCCCTACCCAATTGCCTCCTATCCGCGCGGCTGAGGCGTGCTTTTCCTTGGCCACCCATTTCCTTGAATGCTTCCTTTTAAGTGTCCACCAGGCCCGAAGGGTATCTGAGCAGGTCGAGCCTTTTCTTCTTTTCTGTATATAGCCTACCTACCCTCTTCAAGCTTTAGAGAGAGAAAGTAATGGAATGGAAAAATGAAACATTATTTAGTGATTTTTGAGTTTTTAAAATCAAAAGCACTAGTTACCAGTACTTCGTATTGTTAACTATACTAGTTTAATTCGGACTCTCTGTTCTTCAGGGCTACATGTGGTCGGGAGCCGCTAAGTCTTGGCGTTTCTTGTTAGAGCGGAGAGCGGAGAGCGGAGAGCGGAAAGCAGAATCACAAAAACCGCGATTAGCATACTTACTACATAGGCAATGAACTCGCACGGAAAATGAAGAGTGGACCATGCAAATTTGTATGCCTAGTAAGCTAACTATATGAATGTATATTTAGTTATTTTCTTGTTGGATTGATATTACTTTACCCTCGTAGGACACTCAAGAATCGTTGAGTACACCCCCCTGCCCCTTTGCTTATAGGTCTGGAGAGATGATGTATATATAGCCACTTCCTCCCCTGCGGAACAGAGTCAACTAATAGCATATATATACATCTACCTAGTTGCTTACCCTTTAGTATGCCCTTCAAAATGTCACATTCATACGTTGGAATACACCGTTATTGGTGAATCAACGTCCGTTCAAGTAGACATCGTTTGGTTAGATGTATGGTTTGCTCGAGAGATAGTTAAGAAAGGCTGGTGACACGTGCATAATTGAATTGTTCATGTCATCCCCGAATAGAAGACAAGACACAAGTCCCACGCATAAAATAATCCATTCATGAATTACAGAGAGAGTAATTAACATCATCAGATTCAGCTATTGGCCATAGGAGAAGAAAGTGCGAAGTGAATATTGGTTTTTCTCCATCCCTCCAGTTCCCCCAACCCAACCCCCCCACAACTCTTTATGATCCGATATACCAGATTTCAACGCCCAAGACATCAAACTTCGTCCCCTCGTCGCTTAAGGGTTCGTTGCCAAAAGTCGGGCACGTGTTGCTGACGCCCTTCTCGAAAGAGTCGTCAAGCCAAAGCCCGTAGTGGCCGTCTCTACAAAGAGATAGTGCGTGAGAAGAGTGTGATTAGTCGCCAGTTTCTTTCTTTGTTTACTTTGTAATAATTTGTGTATCCGTCTACCCCCAGAATATAGAGGGAGATGGGACATATTTATTCAACTGTGCCATAAGGGGATAATGTTTGAGGTATAGAAATAAAAAGAAAAATGACTCACCCGCCCCCAACACTCAAAAACCCCGTCTCGCAAAAAATCATATAATCATTAACCCCGCTATAGGGGAACGCCTTGAACCGAATCCGCTCAGGCGTGGTGGCTCCGCTTCCGCTTCGGCTAGCACCTGTTGGAAGGTAGTTAGCTGGCGCAACTTGTTGACCGTCTCCAGAACCATCATTGTCGCCGCTACCAGTGGTACCGCGAGACGCACTCCGCCGCTGCGTTGGTGAGAGTAGATCTCCTCCATATCTGCTGCGGCTGCTATCCCCATCCCCCCTCTTCCCAGTAGTACTGGCGGTATCCGGGCCATCTTCAATGCGTGCTGGGCTCTCATGCAGACTAGAGAATGTACTGCCGTCATAGTTTGCGTCATTAACATTATTACTGCGCTCCTCACCTCTCAGCGTCGTGGTCCTGCCCCGAACCTGTGTTGTATCCGCACTGGGAGGTAAAGGCAACCCTGCCAGTTCCAGCAGGTTATTATTATTATCTCCCTCAGTCGACTGTACTCGTCCCCCTGCCCCGATGCCTGCACCGGTAGCCATCTCCTCGCCGTCCCCATTTCCTGTTGAAGTCGTAGTTGTAGTCGTAGTCGTGGAGCGCACCTGCATCAATGGTGTAGAAGGTATCACACTAGCCCGCCAAAGAAAACATTCGCCCGTCCCATAATAATGTGAAGCCGGATGCGGAGGGTCCGTAAGATAGGCGCCAAACATCACGCCCCCGCTTATCCCAGCACCTCCCCCTCCACCACCTAACCCAGCGGTTGACGAATCCTTCACAACGAGCACATACCCGGCCCTCTGGCTCTTATTCCCAAACTCTCTACACTTGTCATACAGCGTCAGCAGGCTCGAGCCATCTCTATCCAGGCTATAAGCCAGCTGCCAGGTATCCAGCAGCTGCAGACGGGGTGGGACCAGTAGCCGGATTTCCTCCGCTAGGGAGCGTGTGAGGAAAATCCGGGAGGGGCTTCCCGCTGCTTTAAGAGTTAGAGGAGTGAGGGGGGGTGGCTGGAAGGGGGACGCGGTGCGGTGTGGGGGGTTGTAGATTTCGGAGACGCTCATGGGGTCTAGGGAGGGCTTTTTGGAGGTGGAGCCCGAGGGGGTGGGCTCTGTAAGGCGTCTGTAGAGGCCGGAGACGACATGGCTGACGGGGTAGGTGAGATAAGAGGATGCAGATGGAGATTGGGATCCCTTGGTTTGAGATTGGGGTTGGGGTTGGGATTGAGACTGAGATCGCGGGGGGGAGGTGCGGGCTGGGGAGAGGGAGGAAGAAGGGGGGTTAAAGGAGCCCTCGGATGCGGACATATGGATGGGTGGATATTAGTTGGTTGGTCGGTTCATGGGAATAGAGTACGGAAGAAGAGTTGCGCATATATGTACCTAGGGTAGGTAGTAGTCGTGATCGATTGGTGGTTGTGTCTGTCGTTAAGATATACGGTGTTGTTGCAAGAAACTGCTAAGGGCACATTCGTAGCTCGGCTGTTTGAAACAGGCTTGGGGGATGGCGGAATCTTGACATCATTCGGTAAATGCATGATAACACACGACTTGGATATGTACTGTACTACCTTTTACTTGATAGCATTCCATATTAAATCCTTTTATTCGTATAATATTCTAAATATATACCTTTCTCTCGAGTAACAATGAAATGTGGTAATCAAAGTTGCCCCTATACGACAAAGTCAAAAGAAGTCAGCCGAACCAAAAGAGCAGAAATAAATAATCCATTTGTCTATCTCGATATTACGCTTTGGCAAACTTGGTCAAACCGGAAGACAAAAGGGAGAAAACGAAAACATTAATATAGGATATTATTAACCCTCTCCTCTCCTCTCCTCTCCTCTCCTCTTCCCTTCCTACCCCACCAGCATTAGGGCCCAATCCCATCCACTTCGCTAAAATAAATCCAAAATATCTTGGTTATTCTTGCTTGTCGTCGTCCCAGACGCCAGAGGAGGCGTAGGCCTACTTGTCGACCCCGTAAGATCCAAGCCCGCAAAGCCATTCATGAGATCAGCATTACTGCTGCCGTTCTGCGATCCCAGTCCTCCAGCAGAAGTCATGCCGCCCGCATCTGGCCCGCTTCCAAATACGCCCATCAGATCTTCAAGATTGTTACTGGACGGTGGTGGTACACCAGCAGCGGGTGATTGAACGCGAACAGGTGTTCCAGCCAGCCCCTCGAGCCCGGACATCCCGCTAGGCGGCTCTTTCTGCGCAGACGCAGGCGCCGTACCGTCGAAGTCGATATCCAGCAGGCTCTCTATGTTGGTTTGTTGTGCTGGAGCAGCCGTTCCGGAAACCGCAGCTGCCGCTGCGGCGGCCGCCAATGGGTTTTCTCGTGCATTTTGGAGTTGTTCCCTGTGTTAGAGTGTTAGCAGGGAGGGGAAATAAAGCGAAACAAAATCAAACACAGGCAGATCGAAGGGCCATTGGAAACGTACTCAATGGCAGCCTTTTGAACAGCATCGGCTCCATATTTGCCTTCGCCAACGAATTGCTCTGGGGGTTTGTGATAGACGGACGCGAGTGTTGATAGTTCCGTGAGAAGTCGTTCAAGCAGTGCGGGGGGTAGGGATTGGATAGTTGTAACAATAGGAGGTTTTTCTGACAGGACAACATTCTTTGCGGCATATGGGTCGGTAGTGTTGGAAAGGAGTCGCCAGTATACATATGCCCGGTCTCTAATATCTGGATTGTCATTCTCGGCCGTTGCTGCCTGAAGGACCTTTTGAACGAGGCCTTGAGCTTTCTCCGGCCGTTTTAGGAATAGTTTAACTACAGCCGTTAATATTTGAAGTTGGGTCTGGAAGGAAGGAGAATTAGCTGGACATGAAGCCGATATACAGTGAATCGTAAGAAACAAACCTGGGTGAACTCTTCATTAAAACCATCCACGAAGCCTGCTAGGATATCACCTGCATTGCTAATTTTGTCTGCATACTCGCCCACGATCCATATCAATGCCCCTCGAGCATTGGGTTCATCCAGCTCGTCGATACACTGGCACAGAGTAGGAATAATACCCTCATAACCAGGGTACTTGCGAAATATGTCTCTGATGACAACAATGGCTTCCTGGACGACGTAGTTCACTTTGGTGTTAATCAGGTCAAGCAACGTGGAAACACATTTCTCCGTCGCGGTCTCGATTTTAATTGCTGTTTGCCCGATGGCTCTGACAGCACGTCGGACAAAATCCATATCGACCTCGAGGGCATATTCCTTTAATTCCGCGAGAAGCTGGTCTACATTCCGGTCGTTCGCGATCCGAACCATGATGTCTAGTTTCTGGAATTTGACGTACAGCGGATCATTATATTTGCAAAAAAAGACACGGAGCTCCTTGTCAAGGATGTTGGGCTTGCTTTGGAGGAGAAGGTCGATATTTCGCAGAGCAACGTACTGAACTTCCGGGGCGGAGGAGACGAGGGTAACTTTTGAGACAAGAAAAGAAATCAGCATCCTATCATGACAGAATACATCTGCGCTGCTGTTCCAAAGAACATACCTAGCGGGGGCGCCATCTTCTTCAAGTATGATTTAGCAGTGTCCGGATTAATAATTTTCATATGCAAAAAGACAGCTTTCACAGCGGCAAGAACCACACTGGCATTGATATGCTGGAACTGAGGAGCAACCCGCTCGCATATATTCTCCGCCTCCTTCACATCTGTCGTTCTATAATCCGCCAGGCTATTCAGAATGGAAACCCTGCCCCATTCTGTACACTCGTTCAGGGCCATAAGCATTTTCCTCAGTGTATTTGGCGTGATATGCAAGGCTTTCGTCTCTGGAGCCGTTTCGCTGATCTCTGCCAGAGCGGTGACGCAGTTGGCTACAACCATGGGGTTGGGATCTCCGATCAATTCTTGCAGCCTCTCCAAGAAACCGTTCTCTAAGCAGAGGGTGGGATTGAGATCGAACAGTTTAGCTACGCAGATTGCAGCCGTTTTACGGACATAGGGGGACTCGTCCCGCAGCGTTTTCCACAAGGGCTCCTCCAAGTAGTCGATCATTTTTTCCACCCGAATACAACCCATTGTACGGATGGCAAGCGCTCGTATGAGAGGGTTCGGGTCTTCCGAGTCCTGGACGAACGTGTTCACGGCGAGGATACATAGGTCGGGGTGTGATTTGGCATAATTCCTAGAACCGCATGGTTAGATGATCAGTGGAACCTAAGAAAGGAACATTATCGACAAGGGAGAGAAGCCCCCGAGTACTGTACTCACATAAGATAAAGGTAGACAAGCTTTTTCTGATCCAGATCATTGGTTGCAATGTTTTTCAGGACGTCTGGAAAGAGCGCAGACACATCTTTGCCTAAAGTCATGGCCATGATGGTCTTCTGGATGGATTCCTTTCTGCAAACCAGTGTAAGTTTTCAAAAGAGGATAGACCAAGAAGCGGGATATGTAGGACATGGAAATACCTTTCCCAAGCATATTGAGACCTGTAAAAGCGCAAGTCAGCATTGGTCTGAGTGACACCTTTCACATCCCGTATTGCTGCAATAGGACATACACAAGCCCAGCTCTCAGTTCAAAGGTTTCTCCCTTCCGAGGCGCAGTGAAAGCGCCCCTTATTCTGTTGACTGCCATGTTCCTCGACGGCAATCAGCGGCGACCAAGTCGCCCCTTAGTATAAGAATGCAAAGGCAAAGGGCGGATATGGAAGCTCCGGGGTACGGGCACGATGGCGGGGAAGAGGGATGGATGATGTCTTGCGTGGCGGGTGGTTGGGCGTTGGAGTTGAGCGTTGTCCAGCCGTTATTTAGCTAATGGGGGTAGCAATACGCAAAGCTGAGCAAACACCGCTTCAGCACGAGGGAAACGCGGCAGATTTGGGGGTTGGGTGGTGTGTTTTCTCCCGCAATGAGAGAATGATGATGATCTCTGTCCTGTCGTGTTCCTGACCAAACGCTGAGGGGGATGGGATGGGGGGAAAAGTTGACTAAAGTTAGCGCGGCGACCAAGGTATATTTAGTCAAATAAATATTATCAGCCTGTGAGCCCGCTGTGGATCTTCTTATTCCTCGTCACCAACATCTAAATATCTGGGTTGGACAACAGCAGAGAGAGAGCGAGAAGGCTACAATTAATCCACATTTGTTCAATTGGGATTGCAAGACTCGGCTACTACCGCGATATTCACTACCAGGCACAAAAATGGTGGGTTCGAGCCTATATCTACACAACTACACAGTAGACGTTACTGACTGATGCCTAGGCCAATCTCCCAAATCTGCGGCGGCTCTTTGTCGAATCTCGAACAGAAGTCGAGGAGAATGAGTACTCCAGAAATGCTGTATGGGCCCATTTTTCCCACTGATTGAATATAATATTAATATCACTATGTGCGAGAGTTCTTCTAACTACGTAACTAGTTCTACAACCTGGTCCTTTTCATCTCCTCAGTCGCAGTCTTCAGCCTAGTGGCCCAACGCATGGGCGGCGGAAAGCCATACCAATGATCAGGAAGATCTCAGAATCATATTAAAAGTCTCAGAGAAAATTAATTAGTATTATAGCAGCGGATCGCCAAACATACCCTCCCGTCAAGCATTCTCGCGGTACATCATTCACCTCATCCCATTTTCCAGCGTCGTACATCATCACCAAAACATGAACAAAGGGGAAACCAGGAAAAAGCTCATATCACAGATAGATATGTATTCGGTCCATAACAATATCATACCACTCATTATGCGCCAAACAAGGGAAGTAAACAAAAAGAAAAATAAGAAAATAGCCAAACAACAACGCTCAATCTGTCTCCTCTCCGTCCTCATCCTCAAGGAAACTAAGAGCTTGAAAGTCCCTCGCAACCCGTCTTCGTGGACGTGCACCATTCCCCGCTTCCTCATCGGAAACTTTCGTCCCCCACCTCTTCGCACCCTCACGCACAACCTCAAGATCAGCCTGCAACTCCCTCGCCTCCCTGATCGCCTTAGCCTTCTCAAGCGAGAACCGCCCTTCCATACCCGCGTCCTTCAACATTTGGCGGAGATGCTTCACCTTTGCTCGCGGTGTATCGTACGGAGCTAGTTCGCGAAACCACATCTTGCGAATCCCACACTTTACAAGCTGGCCCTGTAGCTTCTTGATTTCCGCCAGGTCTGGATCCGCATCAGCTACGTCCTTGGGTTTCCTGCTACCGCCGCTAGCTGGTTTCGAAGATTTCTTGGATTTCTCTTGCTGTGAGGGCTCGGATGACTTGCGACGTTTGGATTTCGGTGGTGGTTCGTCGTCGATGACAACGGACATGTCGCTTTCTGATTCGTCGTGCTTGGTGTCGCTAGGTTTACGCATTGGGCTAGCTTCCCTCGATGACGCTCTTTCTGATGTCTTGTCGGATTCATCTGGCACGTCGGAAAGGTCTGATGATGTGTCTGTCTTTGGTGCTGGCTTGGGCTTGGGCGCTTGCTTTACTGGTTTAGAACCCTTCTTCGCTGGCGGTGCCCGCCTTCGAGAACTGGGTGCTTCTTCGTCTTCGTCTTCCTCTTCCTCACTCTCTTCGCTTGGAGGTGATGATAGATCTTCCTCGGATTCTGATGGAGTAGCAGTTCGCCGTCTTTTTCTAGCAGGTTGTGATGCGCTCGAAGCGCGCTTAGGCTCCTTGGGTTTCAGAGGAGGTACCCGTTTTGGAGGCGCTGGGGTTGGCTTCTTTTTCTCCTTCTCAGCGGCCAATTCCTCTTGTTTCTCCTTAAATACCGCACAAATGTGTATCAGTACTTCTAAAAGCAAAAAGACACTTCATTCTGACCATGCACAAAAATTGGCATAATTCTCTCTTCAAAAAATGAAAGTGGTTGGGATTAAAAAATAAGGCACACATACTGCTTCCTGTTTAATTATCCGGTCACTCTTAGCCTTCCAAACCTCGTCATTCTTATAGAATCCCTCGTCTAGAGTCAGCGCTTTCTCCGTCGCAGCCCGGACGCGCTTCACCGTCAATTGCTCCAGGTTTCCCTTCTTGAATATGGCCGCCACGGTGTCGCGCAGGCCTTTCTCGAGGACATCATCAGAAGGAATGCCCACGGAGGACAACGAATCGGAATCGGAGTCCGAATCAGACATGGCGATAGATATGCAAACGGGGGCTTATTTTTGGTTCTTCTTCCTCTTTGTGGCGGGGTTGACGCGACTGGGGGGACGAATATGGACGCGTTAATGTAGGTATGGATATGCGAGGCTGTCGTAACCTTCCTCCTTGTTAATGTAGCTATACCATTTGTTTCTGGATATTATTGCAGCTCTTTGATAAACAGAGGAATTATTGCGGCGCAAAGAACTTGTGAGATGAGTGAGTTATTCAACCGTTGGTCAAGCGCAGCTGCTGGGATCGAACAACGTTAGCGGCGCAGACAAGAACTTCCTCGCAACCAACACCCGCCGCCTCGGGACCTGGATCCAAGCTTGATTTCTCAGCATTCAATGGTCAGAATATTCCGCATTTCACCAACACCATGACATTATAACCTTCAATTTACATTCAGGAACATTTAACACTCCATCTAGATACCTCCGGCAACTAATAATTCGAGCTCAATAGTTAACTACCTCTCAACTCGCGCGCGGGTCTATAACAAATAGCTTTGAAAATTGCCACGTACATAACACACCATGGCGGAGATATTGACGGAGCAAGTTGAGGCCCTTAAAGAGGCAAGACGCAAATCAAAGCACACAACTACGGCAGATGGCAAGCAGGAAGATGGCTCCCAGGAGAAAACACAATTGCCCAAGGGGATGATCCTGGGTATGGATGGAAAGCCGTAAGTTGCCATTGGTCCATAAGCATAACTGTTCTCATGCTCCGAGTCCAGTCCTACAAGCAAGCCCTTCGACGAGCAGCTAGCTATACAGTTCAGATAAAACTGACAAATGATCGCTCTCCACCAGCTGCCGCACCTGCATCTCCATCTCCGACTGGCGCGCCCTCATGAAGGGCAAATCCCCCGCTACCCCTTCCCCTTCCTCTTCCTCCCCCTCCACGACAACAACGACAACGACAACGACAACTACAACCGCCCAGGACCAAACCACAGCAGCCCTACCCCCGGACTGCCCTCCCGATGTCGAAACCCTTGGCCGCAGCACGTGGACCCTCCTCCACAGCATGACCGCCACCTACCCCGCAACCGCCACCCCACAGCAACAGAACGACATGCGCAGCTTCCTCACGCTATTCGGCAAACTCTACCCTTGCTGGGTATGCGCGGACGATTTCCGCGCCTGGATGAACGAGCCCAGCGGCGCGAATAAGCCGCGCCTGAAGACGCGCGCGGAGTTTGGCACCTGGATGTGCGAGGCGCATAATGAGGTTAATAGGAAACTGGGGAAGGAGGTGTTTGATTGTGCGAAGTGGGAGGAGAGGTGGAGGACTGGGTGGAAGGACGGGAGGTGTGATTGATTGATTGATTGATTGATTGATTGATCGATTGATGGGTTGGTTGTAGCGTGTGTTTTACCTACGCTTGAGAGGCGGCTTTGGTGGACATGGGGTCTCACGGCGTCTGATGCGGTGGATAACGATGATGATGTGTGATCAGCCCAGATCATCCTCTGTGGCCTTGATCGCGTCACTGGTGGCTGCGGAGGCATTTGCAGCGGAAAAACACCCATCTCCTCAAACCTTTGTTTTCGTGGCATTGTTTATAATTTTAAGCGGTTGGCGCATGTCCTTTTGGTGTCTGGTGCGTTGGGGGACGGGGGGGGTTCGAGATCTCTACTCATTTAGACTTGGTCCGTGGGTTGGCTGGTTTAGACCTTTTGTTTTGGATCGTATGTACATACATGTACAATATATACGTGTAAAAAAGACATTTATAGACGTTATGTAAATTAGAAACGACTTCATATTCGTCCACGGGTCCTGTGAGGTTACTTTTTGTACCTGCCGATTACGCGCCTCTAAAGTTATCATGGCATTTATAGGCCTCGTAGGGGGAAATCTTACAACAAAATATGGTGGCTCTCATTTTCACTCTGCTGGGTGTTAAATGTGATACTATGTATGAGGTGAAAAGGGACTTAAATCCCCAGTGTGTATACAGAGTACAGTGAGTCTCGTTCAGAAAGGAATTTTATACCTCGCGGCTCATGTAATGGGTAGACGGCAAGGTGATGAGTTCTTAAAGATATCAATTCCCTCCCGCACTTGAGACCCAGTTGTAAGATGAAATGCTTTATGAGACAATATTATAGGCAAAAATAATATGATACTTCACTCTCTGCTGTTTTCTCACGGGAATAAATTGAACGGAAGGAAAAATCAACATTCAAAGTCGAAAAAAGGAGACAAAAAAAAGCGCTTGAGTAAAGTAAAAATATGAATGGGAGGATAAGATAAAACCTTTAAGCAGCCACGCGGCCCATGCCCTATTCATTCGATTGCTTTTCGAGAGACTATTCGTTCCTTTTTTCTCGGAAAAGGAGAAGGGAGGAAGAATAGGAAGGTCACGTTGAAAAAAATAAATAATATAAATTAAATGTGGGAAAATTCAATCGATCAATCAAACAACCAACCGGCGGTACAAATCAACCATATGAACAATCTAAGACTTCGCAGGAACAAATAGTCGCAAACCACTCGCCGGTGCTCCAATTTCCGTTACTTGGCTAACTCGACATACGGACCCCTTGTATTGTTCATGATACTTGGCGCCTGTGAACGGACATGTGACGCTAGGAGAGCCGCTGTAGATGGGAGTGAAGGATGCGGCGCAGATGTCAAATTCGGCAAACTGGTCGAATTCAATATCGATCTTATCTTGCGGGCTCCGCTCGCATTGGGCTTTGACTTTTCGGGCCTATTTTTTGAGTATTTTGTTAAATAAAAGTGAATGCTAGTAGGAATGGAATGTTTGTAATAAAGGGAACGGGAAGTGGGGGCAACGTAGGCATACCTCATCGAGGAATTTGGCGACGCCACCGTTAGCGATCATTCTGTTGGCGAAGCTAAGGGCGGATGAGAAGTTTTGCTTTGAGAATGCAAGTTTCATTGCTGCTCTAAGGGCGAATTGTCTGTGGGCGACTTGGAGTTTCGGGATAGTGAAATAGGCAGATAGCTCGAGACTTCGTTTCAGGTTTTCCGGGGTATCTGTGCCGATGGCCCGCCGCTCTAGTTCAATTGACATCGCGAGTATGTACTCCCGGGCAGTGGTGATGATCTTCTTCGCTTCCTCGACTTCGCTCTCAGATGAGACGACGTTGATGAGGACGGTGTGGAGGATGCGTTGGAAGATCTTCACGCCATCCTCAAGTTTGTTAGCTCTCATTGCAGCGTATCCCTCCTGCAGATCAATGCTTGCAACGGACTCAAGGTCCCGAGGGATGATAGGAAGGACGTTTCTGAAATCTGTTTCCTCAACCGTTCGCCTGACATAGTTGACGAGTGGAGGTAATCCGGCTGTGGCGGGCAGATACGTCTTCGTGGCTTGGTAGATTTCTAGGAATCGTGATTTTAGAGGTTCGAAGTTCACCACACCAACCTGGCGGTTGAGTAACTGCATCGCAGTTTCAAAGGATCCGGCAGCGACATGATCAGCCGCGAGAGGGGAATTTCGCGCCCATATATCCGCTTCAGTGGCACCAGCCCCGCCTACAGCGCTCTCGACGTTGACAAAGTCTTCTACATCCTCAACGTTAATTTCATCGCCCATATCCCATCCAGCAGCATCTTCTTCGTCATGTTCTTCACCCAATGCATCACGACCAAGTCCTCCAACATCCTCGCCTTCCTCCGCCTCGTATCCATTGATGGGTGCGCCAACATCTTCGCCAACCTCCCCAAGAAGAGCCTTTTCGAATGAGGAATGGGACGCCGCTTTAACAGGCCAGTTCGACTTGAAAGTGGGTACAATAGCTCGTGGAAGCTGGGTTATTGGCTTGCCAAGTGATGGCAGGGTGACCTCTTCTTCAGTGAGGCCGCAGGACTCAAGAATGGACGCAGCTTCTTCTTCGAGACCATGGGACTTTGCCGTCATGTATGCAAGAGGGACTAGACGTTGTCAACAAGAGTAAAGGTATGGGAAAGGGGTCATGCAACATACGAAGATCAATCTCCTTGAACATTTGTATCCGGCCCTCTACGTCACCTAGATAAAGGGCATTCTGGAATTGTGATGTGAAGTCTCCTCGGTGCTCTGCGATTTTGGCCATGCGAGTGAGCTTTTCTTTATCGCCAGTTGTAAGGTAGAGGAAAGAGAGTTTGTCAAACAGCCTTTGCTTTTGGTATGTCATTTCAACAGTCTGGTGATTCCCATGGGCCAATGCTTCAACCCCGAGTCGGTTCCACAGCTTAGGATGGTCGAGTTGTTTCGCCATGTCGATGGCTACGTCGATATTGCCGCACTCAAGAGCAAGTTCAAAGCGGGTCTGGGGGTCTTGAACGAATTGAAGAGCGATCTCCGGGTATCCCTTCTTTTGAAGGTAGGAGATAATGCTTTGGCCCACAAGGCTCGAAGTTTTGATGATTTGTAACATTTCATCGTAATTTCTCTTCACGAGAGCTAGTTTAAACCGATACTCGGTCGGATCGATTTCAAGGATTATCGGCTTGGCAGTTCTATCAAGACAATAAACGTTTCTTGCCTTTACGCGAACTAGGTAAACCGTCGAATCCATAGTGCGGACAATACCGTTGTCACTAGGCTCAGTCAGTGTTCCAATTCTTGTAATGTACCTGAGTTGGACTTACCCATTCAGAAGCGAGTATTTGATATGGTTGAGAGTGGAGTACAGCAATACACCCGCATCATCCCATGTGGCACTCTTGATGCGGATGGTCTCATGCAGGGTGCTAACATGCTCCAGCGTTTTTGTTACAATTGTAACATTATGCTTGCTTAACAGGGCTGCATAGAGTCCGTCATTAGACCATACCACATATTTCACGCCACTAACACTTAGGTCCGCAAGCTGCTTCTTCTGCTGGATGTCAAAAAGACCAACAGTCGTGGGAGTGATCAGAAGAAGGGCTCCCGTTCCACCGAAGTAAATATCTGTGGTTCCATGGGGTGCCTTGATTGTCTTCGTCGTCGAATTGTTCAAGTCCTTGATCTCGATTTGCTGAGAAGACTGGCTGAAGACTGCAAATCGATTCCGTGCTACAAATACGGCGGATGTCCCATGACCCCTTTTACTGTCCGTTGGTTCCACAGCGCCTGTAGAATCTCTGGGTATATGAATAAGTTCGTATGTGCCGCCATCGGTAGGAGAAGTGACGAGAATCGCTCGTTCCGCCGGGTTGTAGGAGAGCGTTCTCGGCGGGACCCATGGGCTGCCTAGCTTTTTCAGGGATATCATTGGAGGAGACTCCACATTCTTGGTAAAATCATAAGACCGCAAGTGTTTCTCTTTCGTGATATAGAAGAGCTGGTTTTGGTATATGGCGGAGGCAGGCCGTTCCCTCTCTAGTTTAAATACCATTACACCCGAATCATGCCCAGCAGCAAAGAGATTTATTTCGGGGTGGGCAGCAATGACCCAGAACCGATCCATATCACGTTTAAATGATTGAACTGACGTCCGTTTATTCAAATCCCAGACTCGGATAGTTTTGTCTTCGCCCACGGAGAGGATTAGGTCTTGGTGCGGGTGAAATAAACAAGCAGACGCATTCTGGAAGTGTCCCCGGCAAGTGTCCACTTCCCATGCTTTGGTATCTGTAAACAAACGTTAGAATCATCAACGGGTCCACAAAGTTGACAATGGACATACCGCTCATTCTCCAAAGCTTCACCAGTCGATCATCACCCGCAGATACAATCAACGGAAGTGTTGGATGAAATGCAACCCAGTTGACACCTCTATCGTGGCCCTCAAGAACAAATTTAACGACGGCATCAGTATTTCCAAACATGTCTGCTTGGGAGGCATTTGCACGAGCCATCTGATCGTCGAAACTCAACGACGAGGTTGGCGCAGAGTGCTTTTTCCGGAGGCCAGATATATCCCAAACTCTGACCGACTGATCAAGGGACGCGGAGACAATTAGGTCTTCTTTGGGGTGGAATTGCGCACACATGGCATAGTGGTTGTGTCCGGTCATCGTGCAAACTAGGTGTCTCTTTATCAGCCTCTGCTCAGACCAAAATAGTATTTAACAGTGCCTCCTACTTAATGATCGATTTTGCCAGTTCCAAATGCGAATGGTCTGGTCGTCGGAGCTTGAAACAATCCAAGGAAGCTCGTGGTGAAAGAAGACTGTTCGCACATAGTCCAAGTGGCCGTTGAGCGTAAAAAGGCACCGACGCGTTTGATACGACCACACCTTAATCTTATAATCATCCCCTCCGGAAACGAACAGGGGCTGCGTTTTATGAAAGTCGATGCCTCGAACAGGTCCATCATGCTCTTCAAAGCGGTCTATCAGAGTGCCCATGCGATAATCCCATAATTGGATGGTAGAGGAGTGAAGAGACACTAGAAGCCATGGTCTGCTGATGTTAGCGGAGTTGTGAACAGGGAAGAGGTCCAGGAACCGGCTCACCGTTTCGGATGGAACGCGATGCCCTTCGCTCGAGACGACTTGGACTCGAACTACATAAAATATATCAGAAGGACGTTCACAGGAAGCAACGTAAAGGGGGTGGAGGAGGTATGACATACCTTCGTCAGCATATTTGGAGCGGACTGCATTTTGATGTTGGCGGGAGCCACCCGTATACTACGTATAAGCTCCGCGCACAGGTCACGATTATAGGTTACCGATTGCGATTCATAAAGCGGGTTTATAGAGAGGCAGATTGGCAGTCGAGAGTAATGGCAAGATGGGGTGTTGTATCGTTCAAGTCGACTATCACTTTCTCCTACCTATTCCTAGTGCGCAGACAGGACACTTTGTGGTTTCCAGCGAGGCGGGTGGTGACTAAGCAGGCGGGTTGAGCAGTCCGAGCCCTTATTATTGGCCAGCTGAAACGGTGTTTCCAGAGACTAGTTCAAACCGCAAGTCATAGCCAATGCTCACAGATAACAACTGAAGGATGGCAAGAGAGCTAAGTCCCGGTGATCGGATCAAAGTGTTCGTTGGAATTACAATATATTTAAAGTCGTTCGAAAGCGGACGTGTAACTGCCCCGTTTCTCTGCTAAATTTGAATAGCATCAATTTTGTCTAGTTACGCATATATGCCGAAGGCCTCTCACCTCCCTTCGACATACATTCATATATTTCTAACCAGATATATGCATACGACTTATGTCCTTCTAATGTTGAGATGAACTGAAAGGGTAGTTCATTGTTATCCCATGTTGTCGTTCAGATGGTTCTGAATGAATCCCCATTACGCGGGAACCGGTGCTCTCTCTCTCCAAAATTGCCACAAGAGCGACATCCGAACAGGCCGCACCCTGCTGCGTTCGCTTCAGAAAATCCCTCTAATACCGCACGATTCCCGAATGACTGTACCATCGTACACTCCGTTGACGGACACGGCGATACCTTAGTGGTGGAGGACATATCTGCCCATGACGCCGGATACGATGGGGATATAGAAATAGTTGCGCCCTGTGAATATGAAGAAGCTGAATCAAGACCTTCGACGCCTCAACAAGCCATACACCGGTCAAGGAACGATGTTGGAACCGATGATATTGCAAAGACAGGGCTTATTGATGCAATGAGAGCATTGGATTGTGATTCAGATATAACAGACTATGGGTACCGCAGATTACGTATAAGAGGGCGGAAAAGAAAAGGAGGCGATTTCTTCAGCGGGCAATCGACAATTGATTGCTCTTCAGACGCTGAATCTATAGAAATCGTCGACCTTGAACATTATGGGAAGGTATTTACGCCGGCCACGTCGGCCAAACCACGCAAGAGAAGACGGAGACGTGGATACACGGGCGATCCCCCTGATTCACAGAATGCTGAAATGTCAAGCGTTGACGGGGATTTTCCTACGCATGTCCCATATGGAATTAACTTGAATGGGGATACCTTTCCATCACAGGAAGATGAGATGGATATTGGATAGGTGGGCTACAAACGCTTCTGGAGAGGGATAAATGGAAAGAATTTGTTCTTGGATACATCCAATGATGTGCTTTTCAATGATATGGAAAATGCATCCATGGATATTGATTACCGTTTGAGCTTCATTGCCAATAATATCACGTGATAACTTGCGTGTCACCCAGTGTCACTGACAAGTACATGACGTCAGTCGTTGCTGAAACCGTTGCCAACAGTATTAAATGGCGAAAACTGGGACCTAACCCAGCACTTCGCACCGCTTGCATCCTAATTGGTACTTTAAATCACAACCAGCGCAGCTAAACTAGCTTTAACTCCTTCGCGATGCCATCCAGAACATCAACTCGGCAGGCAGCTGTTAAGGCAAATGAAGCGCTGCACCAAGGTGCCAGAGCTGGCACGAAGAAAACCGCTGGCGGGAAGCGGAAGGGGAGGGAACAGGAAGAAATTCCCAAAACTAAGCGCGAAAAAAAGGAAGAAGAGCCAACTGAGCTGGGAGAAGGGAAGCTTGAGAAGGGTATGGAGGAACCACCTACTGAGGAACGGAAGGAGGAAGCAGAAGCGACCAATGGCGGACTAAACGAGCCGAAAGAGCCGGAAAAGATGTATACTGAACGGCCGGAACAGAAAGAGGCGCCGAAGGAGACAGAACCAAATGCTGAAGCTAAGGAACTAGAAAGGGAAGCGAAACTGCCAGAACCGGACCAAGCGAAAGAATCAGAACAGAAGGAAGAAGTTAAAAAGCCGACTGAAGCGGAACAACACAAGGGCGACGCTGGAAAACAACAGCCACACAAAGAACACGTTGCTATACCCGGAGGCAAGGAGAAAGCACCGGAACCGACAGCCGTTAAAACAGGAGAAGAGGGTAAAACGCTCCCATCCAACGTCCTCGAAAAGGGAATTATATATTTCTTCTTCCGTGGCAAGGTCGGAGTCGAGGAGCCAGAGGGTGTCGGGGACGTGGCACGGAGTTTCATCGTCCTTCGACCGCTTCCCTCCGATGCAAAATTGGGTCAAGGCACGATTGGCGACAACCAAAATTGTCGCTTGCTTGTGTTACCCAAAAAGGTACTTCCTAAGTCTACTCGGGATCGATTTATGGGATTTGTGGAGAAAGCGCACACCACAGTAAAAACCATCAGAGACTCGTTCCTTGCGATTGAGAAGGAGACGGCGACACGGGGAACGACATATACTCCCGCCGCAACTCCCATTGCCGAAGGCGCTTATGTGATCACATCTAAGGATCGCACTTCGCACCTTGCATACCGTCTGACGGTTCCGTCGGAGCTTGGTGAGGTTCAGAAGGACATTGGCCTCCAAGAGCGTGGTAGTTTCATTGCAAGTGCAAAGAACCCAGAGTATGGCGGACCCGAGGCGGCCCCACTGCCTCAGGGGCCTGACTACCCACAAAAGTAAGTCCGGCTTGGCCCACCCCTATGGAGTTAAAAATATAATGTTAAAAAACAATGTTGGGGGTGGTGGAAGGGGGTGTTGAGGTTTGATGGCTAACATCATGCAGCGTCCAGGAAGAGTTTGATGATCTTCGCTGGGTGCCATTACGACCCGAATTCCTGGATTTCCCCAATGCGCAATTCCTTCTTATTGGGGGCCAGCACCAGGATCCAGCAGAGGCTGACAAGGTTGCGGGGAAGCTTGAACACCAGGATGAATCCCGAACTTCTCCTCTCAAGGGTGAGTCTTGCTCGAATATAATTATTTCCTGGTCGATGCGACCACTGCGTTGACTAATGCTCTCTGTATTCAATACAGATGACGACGTTGTCTATGAAGATCTGGGCATGGACAGCAGGAACTATCCAGATGTCACGACGACTTGGGGATGAGTTGCTTCAGTTTCTCTTGCCTTGATCTATTGAGATTGGGATATTTCTTGTGGATACGGCATTTCTTTCCTTTAGGGCACAGGTATTGATTAACATAATGAATGCGATAGTAAGGCGGAGCTGTTCAGGGTAAGTATTTAAAAATTTGGGTGAAAAATGTTAATAATGTTATTTACGCTCTTCCTCTGTTCACGACTTTCTGTTCGCTGTGTTTTGCCAAAGTAGAATGTTGTAGGGCCACAATCCTCGCGGAGCCACACGCGAAACAACTACCGTAATTGCATGATCGATTATAAAACCGCAATACTATCGCACAAACTCATCACCCTCATAAACTGAAAGGATTTTATCTCTTCTTCTAGCTTCTTGTTCAGGAACAGAGGGGAGCAAAACCTACAAGGTTAGCAAACTCAACTCACCGGGCCAAACTATCTAGAAGATTGCCAAGATGCACCAGGTTCGATTGGCCGCTGCGATCTCCTCACGTTCTGCGCTTTTCACTGCGTGGTTCCTGAGGAGATGGCAAAAGAAATTCTGCCTCGCAGCTTACTGGGCCTTTTTTGAATAACAGGACTGGGGTATCGGATGTGGAGGAAGAACATCCAGGTCCCTCTCGACTAATACAGGCCAGAGCCCAGGCGCTCCGGTTCATCGTTGCACTGGCAGATGTAACGTTGCGGGATTGGCTGTTACTTTCTAATGACTTCCTCCCATTTTTATTAACTGCAAGTCATAGCTTCAGAAAATTGACAAGCGAGTTCGTGGAGAATGTAATTTCGATTCCTGGGGTTGGAGAGGTGTAATTTCGATTCCTGGGGGTGGAGAGGTTCCCCACGCTTGAAGGAGCAGGGAGCTGAAAGAAATGAGCTCACGGATTCAGGGATGGCTCCTACATAAGGACCCCAGGATGCTCTTCGCAAATAGCTATTCTGTTCAAGTCCTTTTGTTTTGGGAGATGAGCATCGCGACCGCTTAACCAGCCCATCATGTGGTCCATCTTGTTTACATCGCTGTCCTGTGCATGTGCGCTTTTGAGTGTCGCGAGTGCTGGACCTCCACACAGGGGGAAGGATAAAGATTTGGTCAAGAAGGTAACCTGCGGAGGCAATACCTACAAGTACCATGGCTTAGAGGGATATGGATTCGTGCCGTCCAATGCCGTTGACAAATACGGCGATACCATGGGCGGAATTGGTAGCTCCCTGGCTATTGAGCCTTCTTCCTGGCATAGGAGGAAAGATGGCACATATGAAGGGATCGCTTGGGCGTTACCGGATCGTGGATGGTGAGAAGGACTAAATTTTTTTTTTTCTCTTGTTTTTCTTCACGGCATGGATTGTGTTAGGCCTGCTTATGGCGGTATGAATTATTAGCTGACAATGCATAACATAGGAACACCAATGGGACTCTAAACGTCCAGTCACGTATCCAAAAGCTGTCTCTTTCCTTCAAGCCTAACAATAAAGCATCTGTGAAAAGGCCTTCTAAGCCTAATCTCCAAATAAAGCACCTAGACACCGTGCTTCTTACAGGACCCGACGGAACCCCCACCACCGGCCTCGACGCAGATGCCACCGGCTTCATAGAATTTCCCGGGTTTCCGCCCTTGCCGGGAGCAACATACACCGGTGACGGATTCGGCAGCAACGAAGGACCAGGCGGACATCGCATCAGTATGGATACCGAGGGACTTGCCCTTGGCAGCAATGGAACTTTCTGGGTATCTGACGAATACGGACCGTATGTCTATCAATTCACACGTCAGGGTAAAATGATCCGAGCAATCCAACCGCCCGAAGCATATCTCCCGCGTCGAAATGGAAGTCTCAGCTTCAGTGCCGCCTCCCCACCAATCTACGGCCCGGAGCAGATGCCCGTACCTAAAGACACGGAATCGGGACGAAACAACAACCAAGGCTTCGAGGCGCTGACAATCTCGCCAGACGGTAAGAACCTGTTTGTCATGATCCAGTCAGGTTTGAATCAGGAGGGCGGCCCAAAAAAGATAAATCGGAAACAGGCCCGGCTCCTGGAGTATGATATTTCGGGCTACAAAGCGCAGTACACGCACGAGTACGTCGTCACGCTCCCAACGTACCCAGATAGGTCTAAAGGGGACCAGGAGGAGTCACGTATTGTTGCATCGCAGTCGGAAATCCACATGCTGCCCAGCGGAGACTTCTTGATTCTATCGCGGGACTCCGATTCCGGACACGGGCAGGCTGAGTCTCGCTCTGTCTACCGGCAGGCGGACATTTTCGCAATAACAAGCGACACGACAGATATCAAGTCGGAGAAATATGACGCAGCTACTGGCTCCATTGCGTCAAGCGACGGGGAGTTGAATGACGGGATTGAGCCAGCTGAGTATTGCGAATTTATCGATTATAATCTCGATTCAGAGCTGGGGAAGTTCGGCTTGCACAATGGAGGGGAGCAAGACAAGATGCTGCTGAATGAGAAATGGGAGAGTCTAGCTCTGGTTCCCGTTGATGAGCGGGATTGTGTTAGGAAGGGTTGTGGTCGTGGTTATGGAAAGGGGAGAGAGAAGGAGTACTTCTTGATTAGTTTCAGTGATAACGACTATACCACCCAAGATGGTCTGTTTTTTCCCATACATCCCCCCCCCCCCCTCCAAATGAATTGCTTTTTCTTTTACCACGAGGTGCTAATAATTTAAAACATAGGCCATCTTAACTTTGGAAAATTCAAGTACGCGGATACATCCGGCTTCGATCTTGATGTCCAAGCTTTGGTGTTTAGGATCTCGTTTTAAGACAGGACTCAGCACTATCCCTCTGTGATTAGCAATGTCTAGTAGTATACGTTGGTATATAGTGGAATGTAAGAAACAATATACCCTATTTGCCTATTTTACATGTATCGATATTGCCTTTTTATATTGGAACATATTCCGAGAGGTAAAACGGTGCTGCAACGGGAGGTTAAAATAAAGGGATTCATTCTTTGGAAAACCACTATCGCTATATGCCATCAAATAGAGGAAGTATAAAGAGGCACAGATAGCTCTGGAAGAACAGCCTCACGCACACTCGTGGGAATCTATCCAAGTTTCATACTGCAAGATACAAGTGAAAAGAAATTTTTAGTAACTTAAGCGATGAGATAAAGTTTGATGATTAAGCTTGCTTATAACATATTTCTCTTTCTTCTAATAGCCAGTGATTTTGAGAAAAAAATATTTACAAAAAAATTCAATGAAGCAAGATCTTGGGGATAAAAAGTGTATGTGTCTAATAACTGAGGGATTCTTTTTTCTCGGAAGTGTATTCAACCAAGGAGGTCACTTTCAAGTATAAAATTATCAATAGAGAAAACGGCCTGAAAAAGGTTTTGATGAGGAAGAGACAAGTGTCAAAACTTATTATTGTTAAGTTAGTTAATAACTATATCAATTAACTAAGTTTAACTAACTAATCTTAATCTTAATAAAGTGATAGTTGAGTTGAATGTTCAAATCTTCATCAACTCATTACTGTGTACGGAGTATTCAATGAATCATCACATCCCCTTCAACTCCAGAGAAGCCTAGACCTGTCATATCCTGTCATTCTTAGAACTAATACCAGGCCCATGTCTTAAACAATCTCGTACCAAAAAGCAACCACCAATCATCAAGCATATGAAGCAAATCAAAACAATGCCCAGACCAGAATCTTGGACTATTTTGGCTGGTTATCTACCTAGATGAAGAACGAAATGCAACGAACCCCGCGCTCAACCCTCATCATCATCGCCCTCTCCTGTCACCCCGGCCAGGATTCACGTCATGCGGCAAAATGGGCTGTCAGCATCTAAAAAAAGAGAAAAATATGTAGGAAGGTTAAGAGAGCTGAGACGAGACCCGAAGAAGGGGAGAGTGAAGCTTGGAATGGGAACACAACTTGAGGGTTTGGTGGCGGGGATGACGTGATTTGCTTTTTACTTATGGAAAGTGGCAGGCATGGCATGCCAGCTGCATTAACTATTATTATAACCGACGTATACAAAAATTTATGGAATAATGATGCCACCCCCGGGACTGAGGTGGAACCTGGATCGATGCCGTTTTTTTATTTTTGCAATTCTTTGGTTGAGGCGAGGGGCTGAAACCGACATAAAATAGGTGTTGGCATCATTGCAATAATGCACATATATGTGCGGAGTAGTTAAGTTAGATGTGGCTGAGAAGGCTGGAGAGGATAGATCGTAAGGGTTTCTTCGTTGCATCGAGGAGTTGCATACGAAAAACGAATTATTAAGGATTACAGCCTGTCCATGCTCCATACTCTTGTAGCCATTATTATTAATATTCCTCCTCTACTTGCGTATCCCGGCGACGTGTGGACCGCCATCGCCACATGTTGATGCTATCTACTCCATACATGCAAACTTCCAAGCAGCCCTGTTTCTCTCTCCGTGGCTGTGCGCTTTTTTCGCTGTCACATTTTGTGCCTGCTTGTTTGTTGTTAAATCCATGGCCACTGAGAACATCTATTTTGCAGAGGATAAAATCAGTTTTCCGCAGCCATCCGTTGGAAGAGATTCATCAAATCCCTGCGTGTGTAAAAGAATGTGGAATCCACTTGTTGAAATAAGTATAAGTATGTACATGTACATGTACATGTACAGTAATAACTAACTACCTGCTGGTTTTTAGGGCGGCCAACACCACTGGCTCGGGTTGTTTTGCCTGCAAAATCACCCAGCCCAGTAAAAGCTACAGAAGAAGGTATTTGGCGGAGTTTTCAGCCATGATTGATTTTTGAGTACGAGGGGAGGCGTGTTCGGGACAGGTCCGCAGAAACGCACTTGCCTGGGACTCTCCGCGTAAGTATAAATAAATAAATAATAATAATAATAATATGCTGCTGCTGGGCAGAAACTGTGTCAGACACCTGGCTATAGGTGTCTCAGGTGGCTTGTTCACATGGGGCCATGCACTTGGACAGCAGTTGAGCCGCTTTTCAACATTTGGATGGGCTGCAGAGTTATTACCATCAAAGTGCCAGCTGTGACATTAACATTCCGCAGCGGTATTGTTTGGCTGTAAAGTTATCCATTTTATGGTTATTTTCCGTGAACACGGAGGTCGATGGCGATGGAGGAGGCAATGGAATATCTAGTAATGCGGGGTCTGATACCAACGTCGACTGTACGGATTAACTGTTTAAAAAGAAAAAAAAAAAAAGATTTTTGAAGATGTGGGAAAAAGGCGGGGTCTGAAACAACAACACATTGCGAAATAAAACAAGAGCATAGAGCTATTATTATATGTTTGTTGTTTGTGTGTGCGGGACTGAAGCTTATCGTAGCTTCATTTGAAACTTTGTATACTCCGTAGCTCCCTAGAGGTCTGAACGTTCCAAGATTGCAGCTCGCGTATCGATAATGCTGGAGCTTATCTTCCTCCCACTTCCACGATTAGAACTTACGCATAGCCAGATGATGATATTTGATTTTTCGCTTCCAAACTCTGATCCAGACCAAAATCGCTGGCTGCTTGAAAGTTGCTGACAGATGCCAGCTGAGCTAATCAGAACGTCACCAACACGCCAAGTCCCCAAGCCACTAGCGGCGTTATCGGTACCGGGGCGGTAACCAGCTTACTGAAACACCGGGGAGGCAGCGAATCAGCGATACGACAAATACACACCGCGCAACAAACATCGCGTATACTTGTATTTTGTATGGGCAGTAGTTACAGTACCAGATACGATACATACGGTGCAACTGCGCTCGCCGCTGCGCTGCCGGCTGCGGCTTTGCCAACTTCTCAACATCTCAACATCTCAACACCAATCTTTCTCTCCTCCTCCTCCTCTCTCCACCAGCTTTCAGCTTGACGTGGTTTAGGTGGCTCCCGCGTCACTTCGCTTCGTCTCTTATGTCGATACATGTTTATTATTACGGCAACCAGCAGTATGGATGAATCTGCTGCTTCTGCTTGGTTTTGCTCCTTCAAACTTTAAGCTTTTAGCCGACGACGACGACGACGACGACGACGACGACGGCTACTGCTTCTCTTGAAACTCTGCGGCCAAAGCAACCGCCCCAAAAGTCCCCAATATAACATATCCTTGAATCGGGATTCCCTTTCTATCCGGATATCTCCCTTCACCGGTTTTGGCAAACGCTCTCTTGAATCCCTTTGAAGGTTGCAACCCCGGACCCGCCGAACACCACGGTTCACCCGTGCGGGTAGGGTCATACACAAAACAACCTTAACCCTAAAAGCTCTCCTTCTTGTATCGGCATACTCAAGGTATATTAACTTGAGTTCGATACATCATAGATGACCCACTAGAAAGCATATGCCCGGAGGTATAAACCTTACTAGAATTATTCTTATATTTCACAGAACCAACCCACCAGCAAAATGGCTCCTCCCAAGCTAAAAAAGACCTCTTTGAGCCCTCCCCACCAACATTTTGGATATAAAGACGACGATGCTAGAGCTGCCATAAGAGCTACGCGCTTCGTAAGTGCACGAACAAACCGCTCCTCTCCACGCTCAACAAGCTCGCCATCTAGACTTGACGGTTCGGAAGACTCGCAACCTTTCCCATCAGTGCACGACAAGCGCTCCGCTTCACTAGCCAACACTACCATTCTACCTTCGCAACCATCATCGAAACAGACCTGGATACACGACAACTCCACAACCATGCCGTTCCGTGGGCCGCGAAGTGATCGATCAACCAAGCCAAAGGGGACGATCAGATCGCATCTCAAGAGATCTAACCATAACGACTCGACATCCATCGACCTTGATCGATCTGCCCTTGAAAATGAAGGACTAGGAATCTATACGAATCTTGACCGCGATCGGAGGTACGCTGACATTGCTTCGTCCCGGAGAACTGGGCGGACCTCCCACAATAGATCTACAAGTGGGACATCGCAATTTTCTGCCACAACTTCGTCTACCACACATAAACCAGGATCTCAATATGTTCATCCCATGCGCCTGACTCCACGGCCCTATACTCCGCCTATAAGTCAGTCCTATCAAAATTCCGTCCTTGAGAGTGAACAGTCTACAGACGCCGGCCAGTTCAGCACGGACTTGGATGACACAACGTCCGTCAGTCGGGATTTCGCGCCAGCATCGGAGACACAGCCATATCAGATCAACACTACCTCATTTACAAATATCTCCGCCCCAGTCCTAGCAAACCATGCCCGAGGGAGCTATGAAACTCCTTCACCCCTTTCAAGAAACTCTCTTGAATTTACCTTCCGCTCAAGGACCCGTACCAATACGGACCCGGCAGCTAGAGCGGCTGCCGTCGAGGCTGCCCGACAAGCGTTTGAGGACAAAGAGGCGGCCAAACAGCGCAAGCTGGAGAAGCAAAGCATGAAAGCCCAGAATCGTGAACTCCGACGACAGGAGAAAAAGGAGCAGCAATTAAATTCACTGTCCACCGCAGCTTCCCTCCGTAGACGCTCCAATGACAAGAGAAATTCCTCCGAAGGCCGCGGTTCCGGTCGCAAGTCAATCAATGAGAAGCGCGGTGATGCGATTGGTGACTATGACTATACGCATGGTAACCGCAGTCGCACATTTGAGAGCCCGAAGAGCGCTTGGGTTCTATTCATTACCTGGCTGCGGACAAAGCTTTTCAAAATGGGCAGGAAGTTGAGCGTGAAGAGGAAGTCTTGATTTTTTTTTTTTTTTCTTTTTCTTTTTTTGGGTTCTTTATTCGTCTTTATTACTACCATGAGATTTATCGCCACGTATATCTATAACGACCATGACGAAGTGAGTTAGCGTTCTCTTTCGCTCTCTCTCTCCCGCACTCTGTCTCTCTCTCTCTCTGTTTCGTGTGTTATATTTTTTGGCTTCTGTTTTTATATTGCGAACTTCGGCGGGATCCGTGACCAAGGGCAATGACTATATGCGTTCTATATAAAGTCCCTATTTTCGTGCACAGGGGCGAACAAAGTCGAAGT